GAACTTTAGTCAGCTAACAGAAGGTCCACTGTATCTGTTATCAGTGTGCTGTTGTAACAGATGATCACAAACAGATAAATGATTTGCAAATATTTTCTCCCATTCTCAGGTTGTCTTCTTACTGTCTCTGTAGGATCCTGAGGAGCACAGAGGTTTTTACTTTTGTTTTTGACAAATTTTTGTTTTTGCTTCTGTTTTTAAAGTCAAGTCTATGAAACCATCGCCTAATTCACACTCATGAAGATTTCTCTCTTCTGAGAATTTTATAGTTTTAGCTCTTAGATTAAAAACATAAGTTTTTGATCCATTATGAGTTAAAGTTATATATGTTGTGAGGTGGGGGTCTACATTCATGCTAGTGCATGTATACATCTATCTGTCCCATTTGTTGAAAAGACTATTCTTTCCTCACTGAATTGTCTTGGCACATTGGCTGGTAGTCATTTATTTTATTTTTTACTATGCATTAATATCTGACACTCAATGTCACAATGAATATACTTGAAGGTAAATCTTTTTGCACATCTATGTTTATTTCCAGATGAGAGAAAGATTCCAGAAATCAAACTGAGAAGCTGTTTCTAAATATCATTAGACTTTGAACACAATTGCCAGCTTACAATTTAATATTTTAATGATTTAAATATTTTATTAAAAACACACATCAATCAGTTGGTCATCAATTAACCATAAATGTGAGTGATTATTTCTGGACTTTCAAGTCTAGAGCTCTTTTCTATATATCTGTCTTATGTCAGTAACCCACATTCTTAAATACTGTAACTTTGTAGTAAGTTTTGAAACTGGGAAGTGTAAGTTCTTCAATTTTGTCCCTTTTAAAGATTATTTTCACTGGTTTGATTCCCTTGGTTTCCATATTAATATAAGCCAGTAATACCCATTTTAAATATTTTCATATGGATGTTTGTTAATTTCTACCAGGAAAGCAGCTGAGTATTCATTAGTGATTGCTTTGAGTAGGTCGTACAATTTGGGAAGTATTGCCAATTCAACAATAAAAATCTTCTAATTCAAGATTTTCTAGGTCTTATTTAGTTTCTTTTTTTTTTTTTTAAGATTTATTTATTTATGCACACAAGAACTGGGGTACAGGGTAGAGGTGTGGGGGGTGAGAGGATTGAACAGAGACAGAATGGGGGAGCAGAACAGGTGGATCTACTGAAATACACTGCCAAGGGGAGCAGCGGGGAGACAGGAGAGGTCTGCTGCGCCATGTGGGTAGCTCCCTGGCCTGCTGGGGACCAAACTCATGCTGCAGAGGCGGATAGCTTCATAGTGCTGTGCTTAATCCCTTAAGCCACCAGGAGGCCCTTATTTAGTTTCTTTCAATTCTGTTTTGTAGATTACAGCGTAGAAGTTTTGCATTCGTTGTGTTAAGCTTATTCCTAAGTATTTAATTTTTTAATGCTATTGTAAATGAAAGTTTAAAAACCTAATATCATTTAATTTTTGGATTGTTTATTGCTATGTATAGAAATAGAATTGATTTTGTAACCTTGCTAACAGTTTTTTTGTGGATTCTTAGGATTTTCTGAATGTAAGGTCATGTGAACTGCAATCAGAAACAGAGTTACTTTTCCGTTCCTATATGGATGACTCTTCCCTCTTTTTCTTGCCTAATTACTCTGAATAAAATTTCTGTTACAATGTTGAACATAAATGGTGATAGCAGACATTTTTGTCTACTTTTCCACATCTACAACTAAGATGACTATTTATTGAAGTGTGCAAAGAAAGCAGGGTTCAAATGCAGGTCCTTCTGCCACTGGCAATGAACATGAATATTCCTCCTTTCAATCCTTCTACTTTAAAGTGGCATAAAATATTTATTAACTTTCTATTTTGGTTTTGGGAGGATAAATGAGAATTTGACAATCCCCTTACAGATTAAATATTATGTAAATTTGTAGGATAAAAACTGTGAGGCGTGATTAGGACAAATTCATAATTGGGAATGAAACCTCTGGCTGCAACAATTTTTCCTCCTTAAAGATCAGCATTATTAATAAATCATGATCTTTATTCTTAAGTAAGTCACGCTGGGGTCCAGGTGACATTCCTGGAAGACACAGAAAAGTCCTGCCTGCCTCAGGGGACCGTGAATAACCCTCCCATCTACTGGTTTGAACCCCTTTTGATTAGGAGTTCTGCTTGATTGTTCTTTTTATACCTTGTCTTCATAAATAAATTAGTATCCCAATTAATGTCAAAGTAGGTTGTAAAAGGATTTCCCCCTTGGGCCAATAATTTCCTTGCTTTGAAAAATGAGAAAAAAAAAAAGGGGTCAGAGCACTTTTTTTTTTCTGGAAATTTTGCCTGAATATGGCTACAGGATGGTTATAAGCTGTGAGCACATTCATGGGAAGCCTGGGTCACCAAGCAGCAGGGCCATTTCTGGGGTTCAGGGTCCCTCTGAGGAAGTGGGAGCCAACCTGGTGTTTATACTTGCAGGGGGTACTTGGATGTGGTGTAACATTGCATCTAATTCTTAGAAAGAGGAGCGTCTTGGTCTGCTTGGATTGCTAAAGCAAAATACCACGCACTGGGTGGTCTACAGACAAATTTATTTCTCACAGTCTGGAGCTGGAAAGACAAGAGCAACGTGCTGGCAGGCTCAGTGTTTGGGGAGAAGCTGTCCTTTCTCCTCAGTGATGGTCTGGTCCCTGTGTTCTCACAGGGCAGAAGAGGTAGGAGAACTCTCTTGATTCTTTATAGGAGGGTCCTCATCCCCTTTGTGAAGCCTCCACCCTCATGACCAAGGTGCCTCCTGCAGGCCCCACCTCTAAATACCCTTGCCCTGGGGACCGGGTTTCAACATATGAATTGGGGGTACAAACATTCAGTCTATAGCAAGGGGGTATCCCCAAATTTGGTAGCTGCTAGGGCAGTTATTATTTGCAGTAGTCACCTGTTAATGCTCAGTCCTGGGATATGTGTTTTCCTGAAATTATCTCTTTGTTTCCCAAATGGTAGAACCATTAGTATTAATTTCTACTTGGGAAAACTGAGGCTTAGAGGGTCTGGAGACATCCGGTTTTTTCCTCTCTACCTAAGGTTTTCCCCCTACCTAGTTTTTTGTTCATAGCACCCCTTTCCTTTGTATAAGTCTTCTGCCCAGTCCTTGTAACTCTGCTATAACATCCGGCCCTGCTGAGCTGATCGGGAATGTGAACTAATACCCTCAGATCAATGACAGTGCGAATGGGAATCTTAACAGGGACTTTACATCCAGGTGTTGAAAGGGAAGTTTTCTTTTTTTTCTTCTAGGGTCTTGACTTGGAAAAATGGAAGTTTGGGCCATAATCTTCTCTTCCACTGCAGTTTGGAGGAATCCTACCTGTAACATAAGTGGGTAAGACCAACACACCGAGACTGTCAAAGCCAAGAGATAGAGAATAAGAATATTGATATTTTGAATGTCTGATTCATTATTCTGCCTGTTATAAATCTATGCCTGTTTTACACCACTGCCATAGTTTGTTTAGCTTATATGGCTTGGAGCCAGATACTTTAAGTTAGTCAAGTAACAGAAATAAAAGGTATGGAATGCATATGCTCACAAAGGACAGACCTTCTGATCATAACCCTGAGCATTAAAATTCATGTCCTGAACTATGAAGAACAAACGTGCACATATTTTCCAAGGGGAAATACTTTATTTCATTTTCATTTCTTTAAGAATAAGTCACCATAGAGATTAACATAAAGTCTCAGGAGTGAAACTGAATATTTTCTGTGATTTGGGGTATGAATATCTTCACAGAATGTGGATGATCTGATAAAGTCTGAGACTGACTGCCAGTGGTTTCTGTGCAGACCAAGCAGTTGAAGAATGAGAATGAAGTGCAGCTCAGTGATTAGTCTGACCCGTGCCTTGTTTTTCAGAACAACTTGGCTCGGTTTCCCTGGCTGGGACAGGCTCACTTTGAATCCTCACCTCTGCAGACACTCTTATGTAGGAAGGGAATTCCTTACTCCATTTCTTTGCCTGGCAAACAAACTCCTACTTATCCTTCAAGACCCAGCCCAGAAGTCCCTCCTGTCTTTCCCTGCACACCCGGGACACACAGAGGCAGCAAGTCCCTGCAAATGGGGCAAAGAAACAAAGTCAGGTCCTCAACCAGCCACCTGTAGTCGATGGAATCTTGGGCCTCCAGGCACGAGAAGACTTGTCCTGACAGCCTTTCCCCAGGGAAACTGCAGTCTGGTGAGAGAAGATGTTCTCTAATATGCACACATTTTACTAATTTAATTTGCTGTGGCTATTCTTACCATTGCTTAGAATTTATTTTCGCTCTATTTGGCTTCATCGCAGTACAAAAAACCACCCTGGCAACATTCAAACACCAAGGACCCCTCCTCCTGGCCTCTCTCTGCAGCCCCTGCAGCTCAGCTGCCCCTCTCCTGCCTCTGCCCTCTGGGGGCTGCACTGGACCTGGGTGCAGGAGAGCGAGCCCTTTAGTAACAGGGGTGGGAAATCCTAACAAAACAAAAGAAAGTAAAACAGAACTCTGCATTCTAAGCGCCGACACTCCAGCAGCCCAGCATTGCGCGGCGCCAGAACCCAGCCACGCCGTCCAGGGGCGGCCTCTGCAGCCCGCGCTGCCGCCCGCGCTCCCCGCCGGAACTCCTGGCGCGCGGGCCTGGTGGCGCGCCCGGACTTCGCGAGGGAGCACCGCCGCGCCAAGACTACAACTCCCAAGGTGCACTGCGGCCAGAGCATTTTCTACCCTTGCCTCTTCGTTCCTTCCAGTCCTCACGACCAGGACTGATACCTAGGGACGGTGGGTCGCAATGACAGAGCGACTGTAAGCTTCTCTGGCGGCCCAGAGCCCGAATGCCGCTCCCTCTTGGCGTGGGGCGCTCCTTCGCTGCGGAACGCGCCGTCATGGGTCGGGTTTCCCGGGGGACAATGATGGCGAGCGGACGCTGTGGCGCGGCGGTTTAATTTTCCGCCGGCCGCGGCGCGGGCGGGCGCGATGGTCCCGCCGGGGCTCGTGAGGAAACTCGGTAACGCCCGGGCCGGCCCGCCGCGCCCCGAGGCCAGCCCAGCCCGCGAGCGCTCGCGCTGGCCCGGGCTGCCGGGGGCGGCGCCGGGACCCCCCGGCTTGGCGGCGGCCCGGGGCCCGGGGGGCGGGGGGTGGGGACCCCGAGGGTGGGGGCGGGGCGGGCGGGCTCTCGGGTCGGGGCCGACGCGCTGTCCCCCCACAGGCCACCCGCTGGCGGAGATCCGCGAGCGCGCGCTCCGGAGCATCCTCTGCAAGGAGGACCACGGCCTGGTGTGCGGCGCGGCGCTCGGCCGGGAGAGGCCGCTGCTGCTGCGCCTGCTGCGCTGGTTCACCTTCCCCGCCGCGCCCCTGCAGCGGGAGGCGCTGGGGCTGCTGCGCCGGCTGGTCCAGGTGGGCCCCCCGAACCCCGAGTCCCGCGTCCTGTGCTTGGGCAGGTGTTGAGAAACCCTCTGGGAACAGCCCTAGACCTCCACTTTCCGTCGATCGGGGTGCCCAGTGCGCACCCCCCTTGTGTCTTGCGGGGCACGTTGGGGTTCACAGAGTCCCCCCGCGCCCCGAGGGGAGGGAAGGGTCTGACTTTTGGTGCTGCTGAGTTCTGTGTGTTTGGACTTTGGGTTTTCTCTCTGCGGCTGATCCTGTTTTAACTTATGTTGTCATTTGCATCTTCATGTAAAATGTGGGTGCTGTTCTGTTTACAATAGCTCAGCTTTGGAAACAACCCAAATGCCCAAAAGTAGATGACTGGATCAAGAAGATGGGGTACATAGAGACAATGGAATATTACTCAGCAATCAAAAAAGATAAACACATGCAATTTGCAGCAACATGGATGGCGCTGGAAGGGATCATGCTCAGCGAAATAAGCCAGAAAGAAAAAGAAAAATACCGGAGGGTCTCACTCATAGCAGGAATCTAGAAAACCTAAATAAGGGACCAGGAAAAAGACTAATTATAATAAAGTAGAAATCAAAATCAACAAGCAACTAGGAACCAGACACACTATGCGGGGGCGGGGAAAGGAGGGATCAGGGTCAACATAAGGGGGTTGCAATTGTATGGGGAATATAAAAATAAAATTAAAAAGCATAAAAAAATAAAATGTGGGTGATATTGATTAAGCATAGTCTGAAACATGGCCTTAAAGTGTGTTTTCTTTCCTAAACACATCTGATTTTTCTTTTTCTCATTTTTTTTCTCATTTATGTTCCCCTGCCTAGCGCACGAGTTGTTAGTTGTCAAACTACAGATTTAACCTTTCAAAACTGTAAATCACTATTCATGTGTAGGGATGCATAATGCTTCGGCATCCTGTGCCTGATTGGAGGTAGGAGAGGTTAGGGTGAGTGTACACTTCTGAGGTTCAGTATCTGGTTTCCTCTCTCACAAGGATAATCAAATGTTTTATGCCTGTGTCTAAAAATCTATGTCAAATTAGTGGAAGTTCTTTACTTTGGGCTATAGCAACGCAAGCTTTAGTTTTTATGAAAGGAACATCTGGTATACCCAAACATAATTTTATGTTTTGATTGTTGTAAGATACAGCAGAGAGGTTTTGATATTTATAATTAAGCTCAAGGTTCTCCTCTCGTCAGTATCCTGCAGCAGTCCAGCATTTGCTTGATCTTGGCGCAGTTGAGTTCTTATCGAAACTTCGTTCTAATGTGGAGCCAAATCTGCAGGCTGAGATTGATGGCATTCTGGATGGGCTTTTTATTCTTCCTTCAGAAGTTCCTACACTGCCTTCTGCACCTCACCAAACCAATCAAACAGGTAACTGTTGGGAATCCATTTGATGCCTTTTGTTAAAACGGAAACATCTTGGTTCCAGTGGCTAATTTTAAGGAAAGAGACCTGAAACTAAACGCAAACTAACAAAATCCCCATCACCCACCTTTTCTGGTGTTAACTTACATGAGTTTGACCTTTTTCGTTCCTCTACTCTTATAAAGAGGGGGATGCATTTGTATTTATTCTATTTTGGCTCAAGAGGCCAGTCTTTTTGAGACTGGATGGACAGATTATTTCTTTAAACTGACATCTTTTCATTGAGCACTCATGATCACGTGTCAGACATTCTTCTAAAAGCTTTGCACTTGCATTTTTTTTTTCTTTAAAGATTTATTTATTTATGCATACAAGAGCTGGGGTACAGGCCAGAGATGCGGGAGGGGCGAGAGGATTCACCAGAGACAGAGCAGGGAACAGAACAGGCAGAGACTGAAGTACACTGCTGAGGGGAGCAGCGGGGAGACAGGAGAGGTCTGCTGCGCCATGTGTGTTGCTTTCTGGTCAGCCAGGGATGGAACTCGTGCTGAGAGGCTGCGATTGCTTCATAGTGCTTAACCCTTTGCACCACCAGGGAGACTCCTGAACTTGCATGTTTGGATTGTGTTCTTCTATAGGAGTATGATGGTATCTTCTCCAGCTATGATTTTGTAATGGCGTACAATTAAAGTGAGATAGAGCGAGTATTTTATAAGTTGCCTCACCCAGTTGTGTGGTGGTTAAAATGAGAACCCAAGACACTCTGAAGTCCTTAGTTGTGTGACTTTGGCGGAGGTAATTCGAAGGCTTTGGTTTCTCATCCCCAATTTGGGACAGTAAAAAAAAGCATCTTTCTTGCAGAATTGTTGTGAGGATTAAATGAGACAGTGCCTATGATGAGTTTGGCAGAGGGCCTGGCATATGTTCAACCAGAATTGTTAGCTGCTCTGTTGTGTTCTTATTGTTATTTGGTGCTCAGCGTGGTGTCTTGCTCGTGGAAGGCAACAACAGCAGCTGCCATTTATTGAGTTCTTGTGTGGTGATTTTTGTTTTTAAAGATTTATTTATTTATGCATACAAGAATGGGGGTGTAGGCCAGAGGGGCTGGAGGGAGGTGAGAGGATTCACCAGAGACAGAATGGGGAGTGGAACAGGCGGTCTACTGAAATCCACTGCTGAGGGGAGCAGTGGGGAGACAGGAGAGGTCTGCTGTGCCATGTGGGTAGCTCCCTGGCCAGGGGATCGAATTCATGCTGCAGTGTCTGTGGATAGCTTGATAGCGCTGAGACTTTATCTCCTGCACCCTCGTGTGATGAATTTTAATGATATGATTTGTAATTTCTAAGCCATAACAAACAAAGTAGGACCTTAAGTCATGAATGTTCAGTCTGTTTCTTGCTGAGAAATTTAGAAGTGTGGTCTAGGGTGAATTCTTAATTATCTAATGTATTAATGGGAGAACTTTTGGCATGAAAATTTCCAACAGAAAAATCATAAAACTTACTCTCAACTTTTTCTTCGAGCCCATTCTCATTGCTCCTGAGCTGCTAAATGTGTAGGTACGTGACACGGGATTGTCAAAGGTGTTGAAAGGTGGTGCTTTTGTTTTGCTTTTGATCACTTAAAAAAAGTTATTAATGAGGATTGGGTTGGTCCGGAGCTCTATAACTGGAGACAGTGGAGGGAGCAGAGATGAGGGTCCTTGAATAAGTGCTTTGTAACAGGCTCTTTATATCCACTGTGGATGTTTTTATTCGAACAGAAAGTGGTATTTACTTAACAGTAACAGAGAGGGAAAAAGAACCTCAGTTTGAAATAGATGCAGCAGTTATATCTTTCATCTCTTTAGCCAGACCAGACAGTTCAGAGAACAAAACAAACAACTGTTTTTCTAGTTGTAAAAGACACTCAAGAATGTAAGTGAAATTATAGAGAGTTAAGTTTTACTTTTCGTCAGTGAGGAACCAGTAATACAGTAATGCATTTTCTTTTCAGAATTACCACAACAGCCCGAAATGTTGACAGGGTACTTTCCTCAGGAGAAAAGTCATCTCCAGCAGCCGGAAGCACCTCCGCCCCCTCCAGGTGTGTATCTGTGGGAGTCGGTCCTGTTGGCCCTGTGAGCGGGGACCCCGGGCGCTTCTCGTCCCTGTGAGGACACGTCGTGGCTCAGCTGACGGTTTCAGCACCGGGCAGATTGTTTTGAGGGCCTGAATGCTTTGTTTTGGGGATGTAGAGTCTGCGGTAAACTGGTGTGTGTCTGAGGGACTGTCCTGCAGCCGGCGGTGCTGGGGGCAGTGGCGCTTGGTGCTGGCAAATGCCTGGCCTTTGTCAGGAGCTTGCCAGTGCCCTGTGCCCCAGACCATCCTTGCTCAGGACCACCTTAGTCTCTGGGCCCAGGGCCCCTGTATCCCTGTCTCCACACTTCTGACTCAGACCTTCTCCATGAAATCTCTCCAGGTCTTTTTGAACCTGGCCACGCAGGCCTGGCTCCGAGCTCTGCCGCCAGCGAGCCCTGCCGCCAGCGCGCTCTGCTGGCTTTAGCTTTTTTCCCGACACGCACCATGTTCTGAGCTTGTGCACGCAATTCTCTGTGTTTCCCTCCTTGTGAGCGTAGTGTAGCTGTGATCTCTGTGTTATACCCCGCGAGAGGAAGAAGGCCAGGCATGGGTAGACACGTGATGAATGAATGAACAAATCTGCAGTGCCACCTGGAGACGTCGTTTATTAGTATCCCTGTTCCACTGATCAGAACACCGAGGCTTTGAAAGGGTGACACCTCAGACCTAGGTGTTGTGACTGGGGTGAGCTGAGTAAGTCTGCACTTTGGTTTTATTGCATAGGTAGTTAAGGTGAAGAGGATGTGTCCTAGCGTGTATCTGCTGGTTTCAGCTCTTCAAATTCACTCTATTCAGCAGCCTTCTGTGTTTAAAAACTTCCTTAGAAACTCTTGGATCGAATAACAGCTGAAGAAAAACCAGAAAACTCCCTCCACTGTACAATACTTGACCTTCCCTTTCTGGAAAAGTTTTGTCAGATCTGTAGGGTGCTTAGGGTCGGAGACAGTAAATATCAATAGTTCTGTGGCTGAGCCAGCGGGGGTCGGGAAAGGGAGTGAGCACGCCAGGGTGGGGAGCGACGGGTGTTCGAGTGCAGCCCATGAGTGAGGGTCTGTGGGGTCTTCAGTGCAATGTGGCGATCTGTGGACCATGGCCTGCATCGATGGTCTGCAGATCAATGGTGTGGCTTATTTTGGATACTTCCCAGGTGTGCAGTGTAAGCATGTCCATCCCTCCACTCCCTGTCAGTTTTCCTTTAGAAAGTAAACCCTGCTTTATTTGGCACTTTTGAAGGAAGAAACTGCACTGTGCTAATAAATTTAATAATTCTGTTACCGGCCTTTAACTGTCCCCGGCTCTTTTTAGAGCATCTGGCGGAAAGACTCTTTGCCATTTGGAAGGGCTTAGGTAGCTACGACTTCTCAGTGTTGTCACCTTTACTGGTATGATATCAAATCTGTTGAAAAGAGAATTTGAATGGCAGTAGCTTAAAGTTGTGTTGGTTTCTCGGATTTCCTGTAATCTTGTTTGAGTGCTGATATTTGATCTCAACCTTCTGGTCTTCAAGTCAGCTTCAAAGAGGTGTCAACATCTAACACCACATAGGATATCTGAACAGGGCTATGTAAATATAGCATATGATTGTTTGTGTCACCTTTATTTTTTAAATTTAAACATTTCTTCCAAACACCAGTATCTTTTGTGTTCAATGTAATCTCTGTTCTGATCTGCACAGGGTAAAAAAGAAAGTTGAATTGAAACTCTAAATGCCATTCGGTATTGCTTTGTGTACAGTGTTCTTCAAATAATAATATATGAGTTATGTTTAACTTGTGAGGAGAGAGCTCGGTTACTTGTGAGGGAACAAATTGGCAACTAATCTTACTTTATATATTTCAGCTTATTGTACGATAGGACCTTTATTTGGAGACTTGTTATAAATGTGATGCTTCACTCTGAATGTGAATTGGTCCACCTTGGATTCTTTGATGCCTTAACTTTTCCTCTTCCATTGACAGCAAATCAGACTGTGAAATGTTTGAAGTTTTCCATGTTTCCCTGGCTGCCCCTGACCACGACTGACAGACACGTTCTCTCTTCCAATGAAAGGTATGGGGTGTGTGTCCCGTAGTTTGGCGCATCTGTGCATTTGCAGCAGGAAGAAGGGTACTCAGTGCTTGTGAGAGAGCGATGGGAATGTATAAATACTTCTCCTTTTTCAAATAGCAAGCCAGAAAATTCCTGTCCACCTTTCATTCGGCCCCACACCCCTCTTGTGCTGGACTCCCCTACCCCCTCGGTGACCGGAGTCTTCCTTCACTGACCAGATTCTCTGGCTGTTGCTTACGCCCTTGGCTAATGCAAGGAAAATTTAGACTTCTTTTCAGAAGATAATATATTTTAAAGCATGGACTCTTAAGAAAATCTGTATATGACTTTGAGAAGGTTGGGAACCACTGATCTAATCTCTGTAATGGATGTTGGTTGTTACCTCAACAGTAGATGGCTGATTTATAGACATCTGGAGGGCGTTCTCATGTCTAGAGTCAACTTCTTGCTGAAACTTTAATTTCAGTGAAAGAGTTGGCTTTTTTGGGTGAGAATCTGGAAAATACAGACCCACTTGCTAGGGTGAGGGCAGGTACAGTGGGTGGGTGGGGTTGAGGGGCTTGGTGGAGGCACAGCAGTCACCAGCAGGGTCTCTTGGCACTACGCACCAAAGGGGCTGAACACTGGTCCCCGAGTCAGCCACCAGGAGATGGTTGCTGTGCCTGCGCCGGGTGATGGCGGTAGGGGTGGAAGCTGCACTGAGAGAAGAGGTTTGGTTTCTTGGGGGGTGGTGGAGGAGACAGCTGCTCTCCCTAGGAGGGCAGATAAGGTCTGAGAAGTTGGGTGATGTCTTCTGTGTGGAATAAGTGGGGAGTTCAGGCCTCGTTCACCCAGCTAGGGAAGAAAAGTAGGAAATTGGAATTTAACTTTGATGGATTTTTAAAATTTAAATCTGCACTCTATTCATATCACAATTCTATTATAAATTTATAGTAAATAAAAATTAAGAAAATCTATCTTACAAATTTACTTCTGCTCTACTCTTCTGTCATTTCTTAGTCATTTAGCAGCTTTCATTGAATTTTGTGCCCTTTGACCTCAGTGATGTCACTTGTAGCACTTGGGATCATGGGTGGGGACCATGTAGTCCGCAGAGCAGATACAGTCACTGCAGTTCCCCTGCAGACACCGGCACATGGGTGAAGCCCCTGGCCAGAGTGGTTTAGGGATGAGGGATGAGGTCTGGGAGGACTTTGCGGGGCCGCATGTCTCAGCTGGCACCTGGAGGATGGGTTTGAGTCATTGGACCTGGGTTAAGTAGACTCTGGAGTCAGTAAACCTTCTGTGAGAATGACCACTGCCCTATTTTGTAGCTCTCTGAGAAGCAGCAACCACACTTTGATTTGGAACACCTGTGAACTGCTGAAGGACGTCATCATGCAAGATTTTCCTGCTGAGATTTTCCTTCAGAGGCCAAAGATTGTCCAGGTTCGCGTCCTCCGTGACCTTCAGATTTTGAAATCGGGAACTTTTTGTGATGAGCCCCATTTTGCAAAGTGGGAGCACTTGTGAAGGGCCTTTGCATGACTGTGCTCACCAGGTCGAGTGTCCTTTTATCTCAGCCCCGTCCCTAGCTTGTGGGGTCGTGGGGTTCTGGCAGGAGGGCCTCATGGGCACGGGCAGCGCCCGCCATTTGACCACTGATGTGCCTCGCCTGGGCCACCTCAGGGGAGACTCGCTCTGGAGATGGGCTCGGCAGCAGGCTCCCTTCTTGCCAGCAGCAGCGGCTTTGCTCTCGAGTGTGGTGTTTGAGGTGCTGTGCTGGCTGCTCTGCATGAGGAACACATGAGTGGCAGAGACAGGGCTTTGCTGCCTGGTCTGGTTGGCACCCAGGCTGGGCCTGTGGCACAACCACAGCATCTGGTGCCACCCTGACCTCACCGGGCACAGGCTGAGTGGACCCAGTGAGAGGTGGTGTTGACACAGCCTGTCACAGTGTTGAGTGACAGCAGAGGACACGCGGCTGATGGCTGATGCATGGCAGCGACCTAGTTACTGGAGGTGTGAGAGGCTGGCTGTGACTTCCAGAAGCCCCTGTGACTCCATGTCCCAAGCGGGTGCAGGGCCCCTGACCCTGCAGGCTCAAACCAGCCAGTCCCAGCCACTCTGCACCCACCTTACCACTCCCCGCTGCCCGGCTCCCTGAGTGAGGCCCGTGAAAGTCTACGCTTGCGTCTTTCCTTGATCACGGCGCGCAGGCAGCAGGCTCTCTCCTTCTCTGGGGTGGCGCTCGGCTCCCATGGTCAGCTTCCCCCTCTTCATTTCAGAGCCTGCTGTCTCTGTTGAAACTGGCCTTCGGAGGGAGCGGGAAGCACAGGCTGGCCTTGCAGTCCATGTCCTGCCTGCAGCAGCTGTGCGTGAGTCTGAGAAACAGGCTGAACTTCCACCGAGATCCAGGCTTCTTCTCCAGCAAGCGAGGTACTTGGGTCTGTCTGTCCCTCCGTCCTTCCGTTGCCCTATGCCCGGGCCCCTGTGTGTGCGTGTTCTGAGCGCAGCTCCCCACTCCTCCGGGCGATCAGAGGAGCATCTGGATAGCAAGCTGTGTGAGTGAGGGGCTGCTCAGAGCCCTGTCGTCTCAGGCTCTGTCTTGCGGATGAGAGACACTTGCAAGGTGCTCCTTTTCTTCTGAGCATCCTGCCTGGGCGTCAGGGACCAGGATTCTGAGCCCCGCTATTCATACAGAGCTATGGGTGTTTGAGCAGGATAAGATACATGTTGTGTGGGCAAGTCATTTGTTTAAAAAATACCCACTTATATTTTATGGAAACTGTTTTTATGCAACCTGTGATGTAGTCAGAGTATTATGATGGCAGTGCCAGACTTTTCAAGGAAAAAGCACCACCTGATGGTCAAAGAGAGCACAAGGCTGGCCTTTAAAGGCGGTATTTGCAGCTCAAGATTTCTGCGCTCTTCTATGACATGCATTAAATATTAAATCACAGCGATTTATCATCATGCTTCACAGCTGGCCCATATATATATATTTATGCTTTATTGTACCTCCATCTCAGGCTCAGCTTCCTCATTACCGTTCTTGAGAGAGAACTTGCTGCAAATGACTGATAACAGGGAGCTCCGGGCACCCCATATTTTATCAGAAAAAGAATTGTATGTTGGTAAAAATAATTGATTTCCCCGAAGACTTACTTATGTATAAAATAAAGTATTTATCACTAACTATGCACCAGCTGATATTCTAGTCTCTGAATGTTGAACACTGAACAGAGCAGATAAGGTCCCAGCTTTGTGGGCTTGTATTTTAGAAGGTTGGGGGCAGGTAATAAACAAGCAGACCCGTTGGTTCAGTGCTCAAAGGAAATAAAAGGGTGATAGCCGGGGGGTGGCCGGGGAAAAGGGTGCTCAGGGGCAGGGAGTGGGGCGCTGAGGGGGTGAGGGGAGAGCGGAGGAAGCCAGGCGCCGGAGGATTTTGGACCTTGTGGATCTTGGTGAAGATTTCACATTGTCTTTGCAGGGCTGTGAGAATCTCTTGGAGAATTTTTCTTTTTGCAAATACTTTTATCTAATTCTTAAAAAAAAATTATGATAAAATATATATATAAAATATATTATTATCACCATTTTTAAGTGTTTGGTTTGTGGCATTCATTACATTCATTCTGTCATGCAACCGTCGCCATTAGATATTTCCCCTGTCACTAGAAACAGTGCAACTGTCAGGCAGTTCTCCTCATCCCCTCCCCTCCTCAGAGATATGATTTACAAATACTCTCTCCCATTTGTAGGTTGTGACTTTCTTGATAATGTCTTTCGATGAGCAAAAGTTTTTAATTGTGACACGGTTCAGTTACATCTGTCCTCATGGTCGTGTGTCGGATCCCAGGTCGAGACCATCAACCCTGTGTTTCCCGCTATGAGCTTGATGGTGTGAATTTCCATACTTAGGAGGTTGATCCTCCTGGCTGTGGTTTGCAGTGGGGTTTCCCGGAGGGCTTCACGCAGGGAGGGCACAAGCTGCTGCTCTGCGTGTCTCTGATGCTACAAGTGAATAATGTGGGCCAGAAGGTTCCTCATTATCAGGTTAGTTAGACATAAGCCCAAATGTGCCAAGCAGATCCTTGCAGAAAAGATGACACTTCGCTTCCGGAAGCATTTCTTCTGTCTTAACTTTGCTCATGTGCTCGCGAAGAGTGACACGTGGGTGCTGGTGCTTGGTCTTCTCTCTGGACTAAGGGTTCATTCTGTTTATTTTTCCAGATACAGTTTCCCAGAATTCTTCTCTGTCTTACTGTCATGAAGTCAGAGTCGCTCATCCTTCCCAGAGCCCTTCCCCGGGGAGCAGCAGTCCCCGGCCTTCGGTGGTGGGGCGCACGGGCCAGCGCCCCAGAGGAGACGGGCAGGACTGGGACGCCGTGTCTTCCAGGTGACCCGACAAGCCCGGGAGAGAGAGAGAGAGTGTGTGTGTGTGGGGGGGGTGTGTGTGTGCGCACGCGCGTGCACATGTATGAGTGTGTTCACATCTCAGAGGGAGATCATTACTATTCCCTGTCTTCTTTTTGCAAACATTGCTGCCGGTGTCAGACGGCGTTAAACTAGCGACTTTCATGCTTTTTTGGCCACGAGTCACAGTAAGAAATAAACACACATTGTAGCTCAGTGCTCAGCACATGAAAAACACTCGGTATGTGTGCGCCTGTGTGTGCTTGTGCCTGTGTGTGTGGGTGTGTTGTCTGTGCATGTGTGTGCGCGCCTGTGTGTGCCCACACCTCTCTGATTCTGTTGAACTGTGCTTTCCCTGCTTTCTGTTTCACTGAGTTAAAGAATTCGGACCCACGACACTTTTTTACCAACACCAAATGGGACATGCTTTAGCTTAAAAGCGTAACTTTAAATGAAAGGTGCATCTTGACAATATCTTAAACTCCCCTTTGTAAGTCTAATCGTGACTTAAATGTGTCATTATTTACTGTTAAAGGGAGATCCCTGTAAGTGCAAGTCATGGTATCTTATTTGTTGTGTAAATACAGGTTTCTAACATGAGGTTTTCTTCAAGGGGCTGGCGTGGTATTCATGTTACCTCTCCGTTAGGCTGCTTGTGGCTGAGAAACATACTAGTCTCCTCCTCGGTGTCACTCTCACAAATGCCCAGTGAGATGAGCCCGTGTCTGTGGCTGGATTATTCTTTGGGGGCGCTGCTGGACTGCTGCGCCAGGGGCTCTGCTTGCTGCCCTAGTTCCCTGTCCTGGCGCCTCCCCGGGTTAGGGTTCGCCTTACTGTGCTCGTTTACTGAGATGCCTGCGTCCTGGAGAGGTCCAGACCTTACCCCAGTTTATCCAGTCAGGGAGCAAGGAGGTTCAAGTCTCGCTCCTGACCTCCCGGGGCCGCTGGTCCTGAGGGAAGAGCTTCCCCACGGCGCCTCTCCCAGCCTGCGCACAGCCTGGGCCTCTTCCATAGCTGGGGCGCTTGGGACCAGGAGCTGCAGAAATGACAAAACTCGTATTAAATTTCAGGAGTTTTACTTATCCAGGACTCTTACTGTATCTTTGCGACTCAGCTTCCATTGTGGGTAACATCAAAAGTCAGAATTTGTGAGGCTCTTCACAAATGGGAGGCCCAGGCCCTTCTATAGCCTGTACTGCCCTCCTGCCTCCCGTGAGAATGTACAAAGAAAAGCAATAAAGACGTCATGTTCCATTTTGGGTGCGTTTTCAAAAGCCATTATGTGATGTTGAATGTACTGAATAAAGTAATCAATTTCTCATCAAGCTTTTCTGTCATATTCTTCAGTTGCTCATGTTGGTTTATTTGGAGCATTTGGTGAAAATCACTGAAAATCTAGGAAATGACATCAACTACTTAGTTTTGCCTTTGTAAGTCGGTAACAGAGGACTTGGCTGCGAATGCGCCCACCTCCCTGTGGACGAGGGTGGTCCTCAGCACAGACTCCTGAGGACACATTGTAGAAAGTTGACACATTGTAGAACAGCAATCTGAAAAGCAAAATATGGGCCTATTTTTCATTTCACTGACAATAGGGGGACATCTTTATGGAACCCAGTCTCATAAATTTGTCAGGGTTTCCAGAGATCTGGTCGGAACTGATGCGGGGACAGCGGGCTGGGTCCAGCGTCCGCTCACATGGGCCGGGAACGCTGCTTGCTAGCGGAGGGCTGTCCTGTGGTCACTTACAGTGGAAGCAGCAGCCGCGCTCACGGGAATTCTCGGGCCTCTGTCCACTCACCGCTGGACCTGGCGCAGGTGGACCTGCCGGAGCTGGAGGCCGAGGACGCCCTGGAGCTGCAGTTCCAGCAGCTCAGCCTCCCCCAGTTCTGCGTCTGCGTCCTGGAGGCGGCTGTGCCGCTCCTAAGAACAGGTGAGCTGCTCCTCCGCACAGGCTTGCTTTTGCGTCACTCACGCTTGTCTGTCTGTCTGCTCGGGCTCTTCCTTTTGTTTGCCACCTTCTGTCTTAGGACAGTCAGGATCTATGTCTACTTACCTCTTGGGTTACAGAGTCCTAAAAACTGACTAGCGCGTCTGTTCTCTCTTCATCCACACGGACGCCACCGAGCACCTTTGCATAGAGCGAGCGGCCCCTGCTAGTTGTGCTTGTTGTCGCTCGGGCTTCCTCCTCCGTGCGGCTGTTGCAGATGTGAGCACCGCAAAAATAATGCAAGTGGGATGATTTCGAGGCGGGGGACCACAGGAGCTGACCAGAATAGACAGAGCTTTGGCGGCGCCCTCAGCTGCTCCCGCTCCCGCTCAGATCTCCCTCTTCCTGGGGCTGTGAAACGCACTCAAGACAAAAGTAAACCCCAAGCAGATTCTTACCTTTGCGGTCATAAATTTTTTCTTAAAAAACAAAACGAAAAATACCTCACGAAACCCAAACTTTCTGGAGTGACAGTCTCCCTCAGACGTGGTAGGTAAGTCTGCGAACTTGTGGTGAATACATGCCAGGAGGGAGTTCATTCCAGTGAGGAGGCGGAGAGCAGGAATAGGAGGCCAGCGGGCCCCGGGGGTCAAGCAGTGGTTGCTGTCTCGGGGTGCCCGCCCCGCTGTCCTGCTGGGTCCTGGGGGCTACCCCGTGCACACCTCACACCCGCCCCCGCCAGCCTTCCCCTATGCTGGCTGCTGCTTTTCCCCCTCTTACAGATCAGGAAACTAAGGTTTAGAAAGTTACTCAAAGCAAACAGCCAAGAGCAGAGGTTTGAACCAAGCCCACGTCCAGTGCCCCGCGGTATCGAGCCCCTCGCTTGGTGAAGAAAGATTTGGAAGCGGTGACGATCCCTTGAAATATAAGCGTTTTCTGTGGCTGGTAAACTTGTCAGGATAGAAATACAAGATAAATGAGTTTTTCCTTTTCTATTTTATGTTATTAGAGTAAAAAATTCACCACGCTAGTGGCTCTTGAAGTCTTGTGGCTAATTTTGGCCCACTTGGAAGGGGTGGGGCAGGTATCAGGTAGCGGGTGGGTACTTGGGAAGCATGAAAAACGTTTTTATCCTGAGGAAAGCGGTGTCCCTCGTTGCCCACTGCCTGCGGAACTGCTCCTGGGAGTTGGGGGTGCACATTAATTCATGGGCTAATGCTGGGAAATGAAGGAAGAACTGAACTTTGGCATCATCAAGTATATATGTTTGTCTGCCTGGTATTCTGAAAAGAACAGTTTTATATGTAATGATTTTGCATTTAACCTTTTTGTAATTTGCTGTAAAAAGTCAGATTGATAATTATGAAGCTCTATCTTGGTACATAAAGTTTTCTAAATGTTCTCTTGCCCTTTTGCGGTAACTTATTGCATGATTTGTCATCATTCAGTATCATACGAGACTTCTGAGAGAACTTGCTCCAGCTGCTCTAATGAAACAGTTTAGGCACTTGTGACCTGGCAGTTGGCTTTATTTTTATTCATTAGAACTTGACCTTTGCTGTGTGGGCCGGGGAAGTCTCGTTAGGAAGAGTTAGGGATCTCTCTGGGGGGGTCAGGGCGTCGTGGAATTTCTTGTTACTCTGTCTCTGGAGAAGAGATTGCTCTAGTGGGCCTCACTCTCACGGTGTCGTTTCTTTTGGAATTTTTTTAGTGTTTAAGGGAATATGGGATTGAGAACCTGTTTCACCAGCCCCAGCTTAGCTTCCCAGGCAGCTCCTCTGTGGGAAAATCCTAATTTATGATGAGGTGCAAGTAAGCCTTTTACTGCCAAGCAGGAGATAGCCGAAGGCATTCTCTACCTTCCCCGGGTGCTTGAGAGCACATGTAGCCTTGAGGCCTGTGAACCTGAAAATGATTTTGTCTGCCTCCCAACTGCTCTTCAGTCTCTGCGGCTCTCTTCTCGAGCTTCCTCCCCGCCCGCCTCTCGGCACGTTGGCTTTGCTGTGGTCACGTCATGTCGTGATCGGAATGAGAGGCGTCGATGGTAGCTGTAGATTGTGACGCCTTTTTTATCAATTCTAAAACCACCAAGAAAATAATGAAAGAAGAACTAGGAATTCAGGGCCGCAATTAACTGGAGGATCAGCCGTGGATATGCAGTTCGTGTCTGGACGTCCGCGCCCCTAACCCTCTCCCGTTTGCGCCTAGGGAGCAGGCAGATGGTCATTCGAGCCCTGGAGCTGCTCACAGAGGACCTGGTACTTATCGGTGAAGCGATTTCAGCAGATGTCTGGGATGACAGCAGCCTGTTTGCTATTGACATGGTGAGAATCAGTGTTTTCCGTGGGTTATGAACAGTAGTATTTTATTTTTATTTTGCTCTTTTTAAGCTGGTTTTCACTGTCTCATTATCTTGGAAAGTGTTCTTTCTTTAAGGCACAGGCTTGTTTGGCGTATACGCCGGCGTGGATTGCTTGCTTGCAGTGATGGAATGTGTGTGGAGAACAGGGCCAGGCCGTGGGGGGCCAATAGTCAGTGTGAGAGCCATGCCTTTGAGCGGCAGAACTAGGAAGTGTATGTATTTTTAAAAAATCCATGAGTTCAGATGACTTTTTGGTTTAACGTCTGTGTTCTGTTAGAGGCACAGTTGAGGTTTGGATACATGCATGTATGTATCTATGCTCCCGTGTGCATGCACACACATGTACCCTTTGGCATTTTGTTCTGCATACATGAGCTGGTAGTAAACATGCTGGTTTGTAACCTGTTATGTCTTCCTGGACTATATGAGTGAACATATTTTCATGCATATGTATGAAACTTTCTGCTCGAACTATAGATTTGGAGGATGGGTCAAGACCCCAAATGGTGGTAACAGGAAAGCTACCCTAAAATGCAATTCCACCAGATGATTAGAAGTAAAGTGAAGGGCAGAGACACGTCCAAAAATGCTGACAAAGAAAGCTAGGGCCAGATTTCATTTATTTATTTTTGAGGATTTATTTTTATTTGTTTACACATATAAGAACTGGGGTGTAGGCCAGAGGTGTGGGGAACCGAACAGGTGGAGCTACTGAAATCCACTGTTGAGGGGCGCAGCAGTGAGACAGGAGAGGTCTGCTGCGCCACATGGGTCAGCTCCCTGGCGGGGAATCGAACTCGTGCTGCAGTGGCAGCTGATAGCTTCATAGTGCTGAGACTTAACCCCTTGCACCACCAGGGAGACCCGGATAATGGTTCTTAATCTTCATTTTTCTTTAGTCCTTAAGGTTGTCATTATTTTGTAGCGCTGCTTTTAGAAGCCCTTCACCAATTGAAGTTTTCAGCAAGTTTTTCCTTAGAACTGTGAAAAATGTTTTATCAGTTGCTTCTTAAATTAAATTTTCTTGGCCAGAACATTTATCTGTAAAAGTTAGTCATTCACTTTTAACTTTTGGCTGCTGATGTTTTATGATTCAATGAATTATTTTTACTTTAAAGGTTAAATCTGTTGCACAAGTGCCAATTGGTATGTTAGAAATGTTAAATAAAGCAATGCTGCTTGGAATTGTCTTTGACTTACTTTTACTTGTTTAAAAGAAAAAATGCCTCCTAGGAAAAATCCTACTCCTTTGCCTACAGATAAATACAAACAATTAAGTAGAATTTCTAATGTTCCTGCTTTTGCCAAGTTTAAAAAGAAAGATAAAAGCGGTGTTTTTGTCGACTCATTAACGGAACAAAACAACAAATGTGTTGTTACTAATTCAGAAATTAAATGCCTGAGGATATATAACCGAGTCTCTAGATCTTTCCAATAGTGCTAACGGCAGTCATGTCTGGGACTCCATCACTCCATTTTTGTCAGCATAGTCAAAGACCCACCCCCGCCCCATTAACTATTTTTATTTCAATTGCTGTAAATAAAAATTTTTATTGGAATTATATTTTCATTGAACTCCAGTCGACTGCATTAAATATATTCACATTGTTGTGCAATCAACACCATGGTCTGTCTCCAAAATTTTTTCATCATTTCAAACTGGCACTCGGTGTCCACTGAACACTCACTCCTTTGCCCGCGCTCCTGGTAGCTACTATTCTGCTTCATTCCTTTACGAACGTGACCATGACCATTCCTGGCGCCTCGCGTAAGTCGAGTCACACACTCTGGGACTTTCTTTATCTGCCTTACTTTACTGAGCGTGCTCTCGAGGCGCATCCACCTTGTAGCCTGTGTCGGAATTTCATTCCTTTTAAAGACTGACTGCTATTTTGTTGTCTGCACATACTGCGTACTGTGTTTTGTCCATGGGTTGACACACACCTCTCTCTCTCTCTATCTCTCTCTCTCGGCTGTTGTGATCTGTGGATGTTGATGTACAATGTATGTTTGATTCCCCCACTCTGAGTCTTTTGAGTGGATCCCCGCAAGTCCGCTTGCCGGATCACGTGGTAAGTCTGTTTCATTTGCAAGGAGCTGCCGTGCTGGTTCCCCAGTGATTCCTGGGAAATTTCCTGTCCCCGCAGCGATGCGCCAGAGTTCCAGTCTCGCTCCAGTTTCTTGCCAACACTTGTGTTTGGTCGCAGCCGCTACAGTAACTTCATGAAGGGGTGTTCCATGTGGCTTTGCTCCTTTATGGGATTTGTATGGATCTCTTGCCTTTGGCTTTGTTTCCTGCATATTCATCCTTTAAAGAACATTTCTGACATGTTAGATTTCTGTCCTTAGCTGACAGGTTATTTACCATTATTATTTTTCATATATTTTCAGTGGAAGGTGGAGAGTGAAAACTTCTCTGAGTGTTTTTGTCCCCCTGACTTACTGATATCTTTTTACCCGCTCTCTGGGGAGAGGTGGGGAGGGTGTATTTGCTCTGTCTGGTTACGATTTGCAAATTAATCAGTAGTTACAGCTCTCTGTTCATTTTTATGCCGAACTTTTTGTCTTAACGCTAGAATTTCTATCTTAATAGTATAGGGTTGTCAGAAAAGTCATGACGTGTTTTTTCTGTTTTCTACGCAAAAATGCATCATGACTTCCCCGACAACCCAGTATGTTATCTAGAAATTGATAATGGCAGAACATTTTCCACTTGAAGCAATGTTATTCCCTGAAGGGTGTTTATATAATCTTACATTTGCGTATTGTTAAAATGTTTTGACTTTTCCTGTGTTGTTTCCTTGTAACTTTGGGATCAACTTTAAGGCCCTGATCCTATCTCTGGTACTATTGTGTTTATCCCCTACTCTTCTGCCCCATGTGCTGCACGGTCACCCCAGTTACAGCGCTTGATGGGAGATTTTCATGTCGGCGTTCAGATCTGAAACAGTGAAGCACTGGAACTAGGAGGAATTTATGGTTCATTAAACTTTTGCATATGTGTATTGTATTTGTTATTAGGACTGATCCTAGTTAATGCTTAGAAAGTGTTAATTTTTTCCCTTAAATCTGTTTGCTTATGATTCCTATTCTTTAAAAAGGATCTCAAGTAGGTTTTCGGTTATCCTTACAGAGGGGAAGCAGTTTTTGTTTTTGTCATTTAGTGAGTTGTCCTCTACGACGCTTGCACACTGGCCCTGAAAACCTTGTTTCCATGTTTGCAGAAAGAGAAGCTGCTCTCAGTGTTGGGGTCCCTTGGGGACACGCTGTGTCACCACAAGAGCGCTGGCAGCGTGGAGCTCCCCCCGGCCGTGCTCTTGCACCACAGAACGGCCTTCGTCAGCATCTCACTGTTCGCCGTCCGGCTGTTGCAGACGCTCCTCCCCGTTGAGAAGGTGAGGCAGGGAGTGGGCCCGGGGTGGCCAAGTGCCACTGAGACATGCTCCCTGTACAAGCCTCCAGGTCACTGCCTGGGTGCCCAGGCTGCGGGAGCTGGGGAAACCGGCAACTAGTTTTCAACTGTTTTGACAAATCATTTGATAGAAAAAGATACATTAATTTTGTAAAGATTTTTTTTCAGGTCATTTTTTTAAATGGTGGAATGACTTGTTTAGAAAAGTTCACAGGGCAACGCACTTTTCCTACGTGACTCTGTGTTTGAAAAGTGACCCCAAAGCACGAGGTGGAGTAGCAGCCTCCCCAAGGGCCCTTCCTGCCCACCCCCTTCCTGCAGCCTCTTCTTACTCTCTGTCACGACACATCTGTCTGTTTTTGAACTTTAAATAGTTGGAATTACAAAGTATGCACTTGCTCAAGATCGGTTTTCGAGATGTGTCTCTGTTGTTTATAGCAATCATTTGTCGGCCCTGCAAGGGTGTGGTTCCACTGTGGCTGTACTAAAGGTGTTTTTAATGGTCTTGAGTATTTCTTTAAGTCATCTTGCTGACTCTATTGTTATTTTTACTTATTTATTTATTTTAAAGATTTATTTATTTATTTATTTATTTATACAAGCACTGGGTACAGGCAGAAGCGCGGGAGGGTGAGAGAATTCACCAGAGCCAGAGCGGGGAGCAGAGCAGGCAGAAGGACCGAAGTACACTGCTGAGGGGAGCAGCGGGCGGCAGGAGAGGTCTGCGCGCCATGTGGGACCCTCGCTGGGCGGCCGGGGATCAAACCAGTGCTGCAGAGGCTGCGGGCAGCTTCGCAACCTAGCACTCAACCACTGCGCCACCGGGGAGGCCCCTCACTCTATTTTTAAATGGATGTTATGTCCCTCAACTTGAATGTTAGTGAAAAATATCAATAATCCATACACAGTGCTTTGCAGTGCAGTGTACTTCTTGAGGAAGGGCGGCGTAGCGTGCTTCAGGGAGGTGTGGGGCTTACTGAGGACTGAGTGACCGAAGATTCCACTGCAGATTTGGAAGTTGCTGCCTCTGAAGGACAGGCCCTCTGCCTTTTGTTGCCCTTTGTTACTAACCATTTGCCCCCTCCCTTTTTTTTTAAAAAGATTTATTTATTTATGCATATAAGACCTGGGGTATGGGCCAGAGGTATAGGGGGCGGGTGAGAGGATTCACCAGATACAGAGTGGGGAACAGAACAGGCGGATCCACTGAAATACACTGTGAGGTCTGCTGTGCCATGTGGGTAGCTCCCTGGCCGGGGATTGAACTCGTGCTGCAGAGGCTGTGGATAGCTTCATAGGTTGCGTCTTAACCCTTTGTGCCATCAGGGAGGCCCCCATTTGCTCTTTTTGCTCCCTAGAATTCTGCTGTGTGTATCTCTCAATGCCATTGTGTACTAACTCTTCCATATACAATGTGTTAGCAAGCAGGGCGTCTGGGAAACCCAGAGTGAAACATTACAGTTTAAATGTATTTTGCTTTAGGGAAATTACCTGTTAATTTTAATTTTTCATTGGTTGTTAGGTTTCTGAAGAAATTTTGTTTTGAAGAGTATTAATTTTTCAAGGAACAAGCATTATAAATCAAGGAATTCCAGTCATATAAGACTGGAGTGCATTTAAATACAATGTATATGAGTGTCTCACTCTATAGACAAATAGTATGTAACTGGAAAACTTGTGCTGCAGTAACTTGCTATCAAATATTACACATGCTCTCTCTAGGTGGGAGTATGATGGGCGAGTTATTTATCTTATAAATCATATCATCAGTTAATTGCCTTTTTGATTGTAGTTTTTTATTTTACCTATGTGTTTTTGGGGGCAGGAATTAATTATAATCGAAACTGATAATTTACTTTGCCTTGACTTAGTAAATTATTTGTCTTGACTTATTTTTAGCATTGGAATAGTTTAAAACCAAACTCATGCTTTTTTTTTTTTTTTTTGAAGATAACCATTTTAAATTTATTTTTGTTTTGAGGGCATATCAATATCTGTAAGTTTTGGTAGCTTTTCAAAATATGTAACTTGGAACTCTATAAAGCAGTAAATAAGATTGTTCAGGAGATTGTTATGAAGGCCTGGGCTTAGAGATGGTCATAGCTACTTGGATTGTTTAACCAGGAACTGTGGAATGAGGTCTAAATACAATTGCTATTCTGTTGTTAAAGTTCTTTGATTTCTGTGGAATGCTGCCCTCTGCCTGTGGCTAGACCACCTAAAATTGAAGTGGAATTTGGACTTGGAAATTTCTTACCTTCAGAGTCAGCTTTAAATGGTTGAGTTGCCACTTACCAAATCTGTAATTTAGAAGCTGGAAAATGATAATGTGGATCTAGGTAGAGATTTCTGGAATTGCAAAGTTTTGGCCCTTTTTGACAGGTTAAAATGGTGCAATCTCCGGACCTCCCTGGTAGTGCAGCGGGTTGGGCGCAGCGCTGTGAAGCTGTCCCCAGCCTCTGCAGCACGGGTTTGATTCCCGGCCGGCCAGGGAGATGCCCACATGGCATGGCAGACCTCTCCTGTCTTACCCACTGCTCCCCTCAGCACTGTCTTTGGTCCATCTGCCCATTCTGTTCCCTGCTCTGTCTCTGGTGAATCCGCTCACCCTCCGGCGCCTCTGACCTGTACCCCAGCTCTTGTATAAATAAATAAATCTTTTTAAAAAAATGACGCAATCTTCAGAAAGTGTCCTGTTGTGTAAAACAAATTGGTAAAAGAAATGAAGGTGGTTTCACTTGGGGAAGCAGCTGCGAAATAAGGGCTTTAGGTACTGACCCTGCTCTAGAAGCAGGAGCCCAGAGATTCTGGGGACCCCGTGGCTCTCAGTTAGCCAAGCTGACTGAGGGCGAGGAAGCATCTATACTGCAGCCCTGACTGTTTCAGCCAGGCTGTAGCATCTGACACCGCGGTAAAGCCGATGCTCCGGGTGGCACTTCCCCAGGAGCGATGCGCAGAGAGATCACCCAGAGATCTGGTTAATCAGATCTTGCCTGTTCTGAGCTGCTGGGTTTGGGGTGGGGCCAAACAAGCCCTTCGGCAGTACAGTGCCTTGGCTGTTCCCGGGCAAGGTTGAGAGAGAGCAGTGTTACCCCTCATACCCCCGCCCACACGAGGTGACATTGTCTATTCCTTATTTTATCTAATAGTGGTGATGGGCTTGCAGTGAGCTAGCTTCCTCTTTTTCCTGACTGATGAGTGGCCAGTGAATGTCCATGTGGGACGAGTGCCTGGTCCGGGGTGCACACGGGACCAGTCTGCTGCATGAGAGTTAAACTCGTGGTTTTACATGGTGCTTTGAGTTACTGAGATGTCAGAGTTTCAGATATATGTGTGCAGGGTGAAAATGTCAGAATTCCTCAGTGGTGGTGTGCAAAGAGGTGAGAGAGGAGATGAATAGTTACTGTGATATGCCAGACACTCTGCTCAGTGCTTATTCTTGCTTCAGCTGTTCCCATTTTTCATGCTTAGTAGCCTCAAAAGGTGATTCCTATAGTTTCTGAGGCTCATCTGATAACTTTATTTGATTTAAAAGCATTGTTTAGCTGATTCAGCTCTTAATCTTAGACTTTCAGGCAGTTAATGATAATCCTTACTATCGGTTATCCTTGAAATAAATCTGGAACAAACCTCTTGTCCAGACAGCGTTTCAGCCGTGAGCTCCGCCAGATGACTTTCTCTGAACATTGAACTTTTAATCCTTTCCGTTTTCTTGCTTGATGCATAGAATCCAATCATGAAGATAGAATCAGTTATTTAAAAAAAAAATCAAAAAAACTCAAGCCGTTCTTTCAGTTCCAAATCAATTGATTTCAGGTTATGAAGCATTCACTATTTCATTTGGGCCTGTGGATTTATACTCATTGTAAGGGACAGGAAATGACACAGGGCAGGTTTTCTGATCCCATGCAGACCGGGTAAAGGAGGAGTCAGAGTCCTCAGTGGGTTTTTGTAGGTCTTTTATTGGGGTTCACCAGGCATACGGCAGGCAAGGGTGCTGGGGGGCCGGGAGGCTGGCAGGCCTCCCAGCCCCCAGCAAATCCACACTCTGTCTGGGCTCACTGGCGTTCTCTACTTCTGCTTCTGCTTCTCTCTTGGCTTCTCTTCGGCTTCTCCTCGGCTTCATGTTGGCGTCCCCGTGACGCCGCCCCTAAAAGCCCAGTCTCAGCCCAGGTGAATCCCTTCTACCTATGCCCACCCCCTACTCCAGGTGCCGCCATCAGGCATGCGTTCAGGACCACAGGGATCCACCATCTATCCTGATGGCAGGAGGGCAGAAAAGCCTGACATTTTTCCTTACCTACACTCATTAAAGGACAGTCTTCTGTGAATGTTTACAACCATTTACAGTGTCATGTTGTCCCTTTCCCCTCAAATAAAACCAAATTCTGTTAAAATCCACCTATACCTGTATTTGATTAAGTGTTATCCAGTGTATATGTAGTTAATAAGCCCTGAGGTTTGTGTTTGGCTATGGTGGCAAGTGTTCTTACCCTTAGCACTTCATTTTTCTGGGGATTTGTGAACATGTGCATGAAATACTTTGAGAACAAGCCCTTGGGCCTAAACTTAAGCAGCAGGTGTGATAAACAAGGGACAGTGTGCAGCTAAAGGGACTAACTAATCTGCACACCGTCCCAGGTGTGCAGATAAAGGGACTAACTTATTTTCCAGGTTTTGGGAAACAGTTGATATTTGAGCTTGAGATTTTCTGGGCAGAGAAAAGTTACATTGAACAAAGCATAGAGATAGATGATGTATTGGGGAGTAGAATTTTGGGGGGAAACCATAGATTTTGTGGAAGAGAGCTACTAAAAGGGAAAGTTGACCTTCATAGATTATACTGCTCATCTTACACTGATAATTTGGTGAAACTATATTAAAATTAGTGTTTACCATGTTTCTCTAAGTAGGCGTCTTGACATTATTTTAAACTGTATTTTTTTAAATCCATCAAGGCAAGCCATACTTTACCGGAATCTATGTCAGCAGCACTGTTTCTGCTTTCTTTGGACATGCCTATTTCTTTGGACTATCCAAATATTCATGAAGCTGCTGTGGCCTATTTGGAACAGCTAAACTCCGAAAACTACAGCATCTATAAACGAACTGCAGAGACCGTATACTCCATTGAATGCACCTGTAACTTCCTGGCTGATGTTAGGAAGGAGGTAACAAGTTTTGTTAATGTCCCTTTATAAATCCCTTTAATAGAATGCCTTTGAAGTTTAGCCTGTACTTTTAGATTGATGGACATATAGCAGTTGGGTTTGTTAGAGTTGGGATATGTGATGACCGATTCAGTCAATCAAATAAAATTAAGGATGTGCCTTCTATGAAAGTGAAACTGAGACCTGAGAGTAATGTATGGTGTATATTCATGAGAGCAGTGGATTTTTTTAAAAAGCAGTAATTAGTACAAATATCTTTGTATTTTATAATGAGTTCATCTTTAGAGTTAGTCTGTATGAACAGAGCGGCAATTGACAGACCTATAAGGGCCATTGTAGTACTTACTTCTAGACTTTTTATTTTCCAATATTTTAGACTCTTAATATATCCTCACACAAAGCACCTGATTTAATTTATTATATAAGGTCATGCACTAGATTATTTATAAGGTGGTAGGATGACTTTAGGTATAATGTAGCTGTAATTATGTGTTGTTATTTATCCCTTTTAAAGATAGCAAATATTGGGCTATTCTTTACTATGTTAGCAGTGAAAGGATTAAGGAGTCTTTAAAACTCACAGGCATTGATTACAATAGTTCTTTACTGTCTGAAAATACCAGACTGGGTCCTGAAGAAGTTGGGGACAGAATTGTTGTTCCTCTCAACCCCTGCCTGGAGTCTGTCTGAACCTTATATTTATAATTCTCATTCCTTTCCCCACAGTTGTTCTTTCCTTTGTGTTACATGTGTCTTGATGCCTCTGGCTTTTGTCCTCCGTGATAGAATTTTCAAATTTCCACATCTCTGTGACGTTTTGTATGGTCAGTTAATCACACATGTGTCAACTGTCCTGTGCTCCTGAACCAGTCAGGGTGTTGTGGGGGAGGTGGGTCAGAGCTCCCGGCTGTGGCGCGGTCTCACAGCCCTAGGGGAGCGAGGACTCTGAACAAGGGGTCGAAGAACCAGGCCGCTTGACTGTGACCTTCAGTCTGCTCTGAGGCAAATAGTAAAAGTCTCCTGTGGCATTTAGCAGAGGATTTTCCCCACATTTTCTCTCAGAGGCTGACATTTTTAGTTTGTCTGTTGAGAAAGTGGGCTTAGGCAGTTATGAACAATCTCTGGGTCTCTGAATGATCTAGTTTCTTGGAGCTGCTTTGTTAGCTGTTGAGAATCTTATTGTACATGAACCTGACATTTACTGTTCCATTCTGCATTTTTTTTTTTTTAGGGGGAGAAGAATCTCTTAGAATTAGTGGAGCTGGCAGACCAAGTCTTGCTGAGCTTTTCCTATCATCAGCATTTTTCCATAATAAAGGACATCATCTGCATTTGCTCAAAGATGTAATATATTCTTTCTTAATTTGATTACGTTGTTGTAAGACATACTCTGTGTGTGTGTGTGTGTGTGTGCATGGGTGTGTGTGTGCACAGACAGATTTAGGAGCAATGAACGTGAAACTGGTTTTAAATCTTATTTTTTAGTTTAATTTGCTTTTATATGGGTCTGACATTTAAACTGTAATTGTAGAGCAATTTTAGGACAGTTAATTGTTTCGTTCAGAAGTAAATTTAAATGCTATGTCTATTACCAAAATGAGTTATCCTTAGATTTTTATTTACTTGTTTTGATGTCTATCCAAGCCAAGTGTTCAAGCATATTTTTTTAAAATTTATCTTTAATGTTTTCACTAATAAAACAGCCTCTTCATTGCTTTTGGAGAGAAAATTCCATGGTGATATATATATAAATTAAATATATTTATCTACTTATTAATTTATTTTTTACCTAACATAATTACTATTTTTTGTAAAATCTCTCTTTACAAAAACCAAGTATACGGTACAAAATTATTAACTATGCAATTAATTGTATCTCCACAATTTAATCAGCCTGTATAACTGAAGCTTTGTATTTTTTTACCAATATCCCCACATTTCCTCAACCCCTGGGCCCTGACAACCACCTTCTATTCTCTGTTTCTATGACTTTGATGTTTTTTAGCGTGCACATATAAGTGAGATCATGTAGTATTTGTGTCTGGTTTATGCCACTTAGTGTAATGTCCTCCAGGTTCATCCATCTTATCACATATCATAGAATTTCCTTTTTGAAGGCTGAATAATATTCCACGGTGCATATCTACCACATTTTCTTTATCCATTCATCCATGCGTGGACCCTTGCATTGCTTCCTTTTCTTAATCACTCTTGTAAATAATTCTGCAATGAAAATGAGAGGACAGCTGTCTCTCTGAGATACTTACTTCATTTCTTTTGTATATTTACCCAGAAATGGGATCACTGGATCCTATGGTAGTTCTATTTTTCAATTTTTTGAGGAATCTACATACTGTTTCCCATAGCAACTGTGTCAATTTACAGTCCAAATACTGATTTTTTTTTTTAAGGATAATTTGTTTTTATTGGTATTCTTTAAGACAGAATATCCTCTATCTTGAAAAAAGTGCTTGGGTAAATACTAATATTGAGTTAGTTAAATAAGACTCCAGGTGGGGGAGTTGTAGTGGGAAAAATTGCTTCCATTATGCTTTTCAATCTCTCATTTATTAGTTTATTTGCTTTATATGTCTGGGGTGTTTTACCATTTTACCAGCTGGAAATCTGCACAGGCCAGTCCTTTACTACAAGGGGAAAGTCAGAAGGTGTTTCTCCGTATGTTGTCTCACCCATTGCCACAAGTAAAAATTGAAACTTACCGCTGCTGTGTGGATATTGTTAAGGTGGGTTTTTGTTTTTGTAGGGAAGAACTGATAGTAGATTATCTTACTGTATCCCAAAATTAAATTATTTGACTTTTGGGATATAAAGATTATTATAAAAATAGATGGTGATTTTAGTTGACTCCAGAAACTTGTATTATTAAATATTAACTATTTCGATATTGAAAAGACCCTGGTACATACATATTGGAAAAAATATATTCCTGCTTACTCTTGAAAATACCCTCTGTATTTTACACTCTTACAAGTACTAGCTACATATTATAAATGTCTGCATTTTGCAATTTTTACTTCTGATCATTTTTTATTCAGAGAAATATTAATATTATAGTTATAACTGAGGTTTCTTTCCTTTTTCTTCTCTCTTTATTCTTCCAAGATAGCTACTTTATTTATAAACTTGGTGTTTTCTTGCCTTGCATGTGTTTTCTGTGTTTTTAGTGTACATACATATCTTTATAAATCATCTATATGTGCTATTGTTTTGTCTGTTTAAAAAAAGTCTATAATTTCACGCTGTGTTTTCATACTGTTTTTGCTGCCTAGTCATTTCATTTCATAGTATCACCTAGTTCATTCATCTTAACTGCTTTTTAATTTTGAATGTGATTCTTTTTATTTATTGGTAGATATTTAAGTTTGGTCTTTTTACTGAAATAAAATTCTCAGTATTTTCGGTGAAAGAATGTGACTGATGGTACATGAGTTTGCTAATGACTTAATTTTGCCCTCCTAAATTGATTTCACCTCACTTCAGTCTAAAGACACATGTTTGCCTTCATTTCTGGGTAATTCTCAGTCATCATTTCTCTTCTCTTTGCTGTTCTCTCCACATGGAACTCATATTAGGTCTTTGTTACACCTTACTTTATCTTTTGTGCTTTTTTAACCTTTTAATCCCTCTTTCATATTTCCCATGTCTTTTTCATTTGGTTTGGATGAAATTACTCTGCTCTCATCCAGTACATGGATTCGTTCAGCTGTGGCAAAATGTACATAGCACGGAATTTACCACTCCACCAGTTTGTTGGTGTGTGGGTCTGTGCTGTTTAGTCCATCCACACTGTTGTTGCCATTATCCATTTCCAGAGCTGCTTCCTCGTCCCAATTGGAATTCTAGTCACATTCCACAATAAGTCCCTAGCCCAATACGACTAAATCTGTTCTAGTTTTTCTGCCTGTTAACTAACAGCTATTATTTTTGTTCATTCTTTTTTTTTTTTTTTTGGACAATAACAATCCTACTTTCATTTGATTGCTTTTAATTTATTCATCAAAAATAGTTAGGTAAGAGATTTTTTTATCTCTACAAAGTAAAATAAAAGTTTCTTTGCGGTGAAAAATAAAATTGAAATTGAATTATTAATACAAGAAAGAGGAATCTTTTGGAAAAATCAGTGTCACCAAGTTTTAAAGTCCTTTGTTTTACTTGGCAGGAATGTCTGGGTATCCATAATGTCACTAAGCCCGTGTCTTCACTCTGCACTGGAATTCATTTCTTGCTTCATCCAAAAGTCTTATATGAAATCTCTGCTTTTGGCGTTCAAGAGCCCAAAAGTGAGGTATGGCATGTTAAAAGTAAATGCAAAAGACTACTGTGGTGCTTTAACTTGTAAGCAAGGAAGGCCAAGGTCATAGTCATAGTCTAATATAACTGGACAGCACGGTGAGAAACTGAAAGGAACTTAGCTACCACGTGGGGTTCAGTGACGTGTCAAGTAAAATGATGCTGAAGAACATGTGAGGGTCACAACACGGGGCGTGCGCCTTGTCCCAGCACCTGAGGCACAGAGAACTACACGGTTGTTACAGTAAGCAAGTTATTGCCTTAGAAATTTTTATTCAATGGAAAAGTATACCTTAAAGGTTAAAAAAAAGAAAGGGAAATTGCCAAGGGAGGAAGACTGGCTGAGACAGAGCAGAAGGCCACGGTCGCATCCTGGACACGCCCCGCCTCACCTGAGCGCGGAAGCCGCCAGGGTCTGGCCGGTTGGTCCTTGGATGGGAGAATCGAGTAGAGGTTGATGCTGCAGGACTGTGGCATTGGAAGGAAGAGTTGCTCGGTGCAGCGCCTTGCCAGGCCCATCAAAGCCCAGGCTCAGGGTGCTGGTGAGCGGTTCACCACACTGGAGGTCGCCCTGTCTGCCCCTGCAGGTGAGCACAGCTGCCAGGGCCATTCTGCTGCACCTGCTGCAGGGACGTCTGGTGATGGCAGCGCCGACCTGGAGCAAGTTCATTGAGTCTGTTTGCCCTGTCCTCGCCGTGCTCCAGGTATGCGGCGCCATTCCCTGCCACCACACTGTCGGTCTCTGTGCTGAATGTACACGCGCAGACAGCAGAACTTCTTACGTGGTGTGAGAGGAAGAAGGGGGAGCCGCCATGGAGGGGAGTGGGCGGCTGGCATGTTTCTGACAGAGGGTTAAGCCAGGAGAGCTAATTCACGTGCACTTGATGTGGCTGGGTGGGCCGGCGTTTAGCGCTGGCGTGAGAGCTAGAACCCAGCCCGACTCAGGCCTGCAGGCAGAGGTTGCAGCACTCCACACCTCCTGTCCCTGGGGACAGCCCTGTCAGCAGTCTCTCTGGGCGCTGAGGGGAGTGGGCGGCCAGGCCCCTGCCCCCCGTGGATGAGGAGTGGAGCTGGGGACACCATCAGGGGTCAGTCCTCTCAGGAACGGGAGGCTAGGCCTCGGCCCTGGCCATCATTCGGTCCGTGCAGGTGTCTGTCCACTCCAGCTTCGTGCCATGGGGACAGGTCTATAGATCTGGGGAGGGGCTCCTCTCAGGTGGGTGGCGCTACTGCAATCTTGGAAAATAGGAAAAAAAATAGATGAAATCTTCTCCTGAAGCTTAAGAAATGTTATTACATTTTATGTAGCTTTTGTAGGCTTCGTGCCTCATGTAGGTTATTTGGAAAAGTGCCTCTTTAGCTGAGTGAAAGAAGCGTATGAGTCCCTTCACAGGCCAAGGCAATTCTTACTTTCAAGTTGCAAAGCTAAGCGCTTGGTACAGTGCAAGCAGTGACCGCTCTCTCTCTGGCCTCGGTAGGGCTGTGCCGACATGGAGGACCCCTTGGGTCACTCTATTCTCCTTCTGAGCAAAGAGAGGACCGAGGATGGCGAGTGGATCCTGCCTGGCACCACCCGGGTGAAGGCCCTGCTGCGGCTCCTGCTGGTGAAGAAGCTGTCGTAAGTGACCCCCAGCTCCCCCAGCCACCGGCCCCTTCTCTCTGAGACTCTTTTGCCCTTTGGGTAATGGCAGCGGCTTATTGATGAATAGGTGGTTAGACTGAAAACCCAGGGAAGGTGGCAATAACCGAGATTCAGAGAAGGAGGGACATGAAGAGCCTGTGAGTGCCGTGTGAGCAGTGTCAAGGCGTGGGCTGAGGGGGGTCAGGTGTCCCGGCCCCCACTTGCTCTCCTGTCGCCCCAGCAGCTTCAGTAGTGTGCCAGGGTGCTCCTCCCCCCGCCCCCAATAACACAGTAGAAGGTAATTCCTGTTCAGCTTTGCAGGCCCACAGACTCCAGGTAACAGACACTTGTGTCAGCCAGGATTTTCCAGAGCCTTCAAGCGCCTCTCCTCGGCGCCGGGGCAAGGCCAAACCCCTGTCTGGGGAAGGCAGTTCTCTGTTACATAGAATTAAACACGATTCAGATGACATTTTGGTTTTCCATTATTTGATGAATTCTAGCCCATCCCTGCAGTCCATGCTCTCCCTGTAGACAGGATCCCTGCCCACTGGCTCATCTTCTCTGCTTCAGAGTGTCATGGCGCCCCTTGGACAGGAAGGGGCGCCAGGTGTAGTTGTTGAAAGAAATAGCGTAGAGGGACGCCCGGACATGGCCCCCGACCGCAGCTGCCGGATGGCAAATCCCCTGGCTGCGCTGGGGCCCACTCCAACACCCCTGGCTCTGGAGGAGATGGTGCTGTTGGACGGACAGACGCAGGACAGCCTCGCCTAGGGTGGCTGCTCTGAGCTTTTGGGAGGGAGCAGCAAACGGGGAGGGAGAACACGCGCCCATTCTCATACCTCTTTGAGTGAATATTAGTCCTCCAAGCTGGTGTAAGGTTACCACACCCAGTTCCTGCTCTCTCTTGGGCTTGGCCCGTGTGCCTGAGACCGTAGTCGGTGTGGACATAGCTGCTCAGGCCGTAGCCGCGCGGCCAACAGTCGGCGTGTGGTGGGGAAGAGGCCTTGTCACGTGTGCTTGGGAGCAGTCACAGTGGCTCTGAGTCGGTACGTGGGGACCCAGCAGGTGGCCCCGACCTGGCGGAGGTGGGGAGGCCCCCCAAGCGTGTATTTATGAGCAGCAGTACAAACCAGGCCACCCGAGGCAGACCTGGCCTGGCCTCCTTGTGGCTCCCAGCCTGGCAGGAGCGGTGGCTGCAGGGAGGCGCAGAGGCCCCGCTCACTGCCCTTTCTTGAACTCTCCTCCTCCCATGCCTTAAACCAGTCCAAATAAGACATTATTTTGGTGGGATGCAGAAGCATCTGCACTGTCCTATTTGAGAGGACGCTGTCTGGCCCTGAGGGAGGGTTTCGCACATCGTCACGACGATAAGTTCGGCTCCCGGGTGCGGCTTCATCGCAGACGCTGCTCTGGGGTCTGCGGAGTCTCTGGGGCTCGGGTCGGTCCCTAGGCTCAGAGTTAGGTCTTAGAGGTTTGATTTGCCGTCCATCTGCTCATTTGTTAATTGTTGATAATTCTTTAGTTCTGATGTTTGTCAATATAAAGTTAGAAGAATAATTTCAATTATAAACTAAGTATTTTAATAGGAAATTAAGTGTCATTATTAGTCATATAAGAATCAGCATGGCTAATCATTGTGCTGATAGTGATTCTTTGTGATTCTCGGCAGCAGCTTTGTGGGCATCTGTAGATGATGGGATGTTGACTTAAATACTTTGTTCCTCCAGGGTCCGCTCACTGGCGCTGAAGCTCCTCGTCTGTCACCTCACCAGGGAAGAAGGGACTGAGGCCAAGCGTCCTCTCCTAGACGCCAGACTTCTCTCCAGAGTTACCAGTTTGTTTATTGTGAAGAAACCCATTGAACTCAAGTTGGATGACAGACAGGACCTGGTCATCAAGGTGACTGTACCTTTTGTGCTGGTTCTTGGGTACATGGGTGTATTTCAGTTGATTCACTGTGTGTTGCTCCCCCAAAAGGGAGAGAAGAGGGGGCTCCAAGCCTGGTGAGTCACGGCCACTTCAAATTGTATTCAGACTTCACCTGGCGTCTGGATGGAGTTGTTTATTCAACAAACATTTCTTGAGCTCAACTGTATGCCAGAAATTGTGTTCCTTTGCATTTGGGACATCTTTGGAAATGCAAAGTAATGGGTGTATCTTAAATACAACAAAGGCTGATTTGATGGACAGAAATGTGTAATGACTCAAAATCAAATGTCCCCGGCATCACTCGGGAATTCTTGTTCTTCTGATGGAAACAGCTATTAGTAGCACAAAGGAAAAGTTCCCAAGACAAAAGTTTTTAGCTTCTTCATTACAACAGGCAAAAAATAGTCCTCCAGGAGGTACAAACGGTTACTCAGAAACGCTTGAGATCTTGTCGTTAATCCCAGTTCTGAATCTTTGGCTCCTTTGGTTCCTTCCAAGGTGCTGTCCCCTCCCTGACTTGACCACGAGCCTCCGTCACCCTGCCCGATGCAGATGCAGGGTCAGATTAAGAAGGCCGCCCCCTACCATCCTTCTTTGCAGAACCATCATGGGGTACTGGACAGCATCCGCAGGCCGTCTGCTCCCGGGGTCCCCAACAGGGAGGAAGGGGAGAGGCCCGCGGGATTCCAGCTGGTGGCTTCTGGGGGCAGCAGAACCCTGAGTCGCATGCCCGAGCTGTCGTCCCAGGGCAGTCTGTGCACCGTGTGGAGATGTTCTTAAGGCGGCTGACGGGCTGTGAAGAACTTCCAGCGAAAATACACGTTATGAAGAGAGGCTTCTTTGACACGACGGCCTTTGATTTAGAGCCTAAGGTCCTCCCGGACCCAGCACATCTAACAGATTTGCACTCTTGCAGGTTTATGTGTAACCTGGCAGTCACTTAAGTAAATTTTTTTAGCTTTCGCTTTGATGGTATGAGTGATAAAATTCTGTTGGAGAATTAAAAGTAGATGAAAAATAACTTTTTTTGTTTGTTTTCAGTTGGAGACTGTTGAAAAGCTGTATGAAATCTTTACCTCAGACGATACTGATCTTGTTTTGAGAAAGTCGGCCGCAGAGCAGCTGGCTGTGATCATGCAAGGTAATTTCTGTCCAGGGAAGTGATTTGCTGTACTGCTCGAGGAATGGAAGCCTGGTGTTTTTGTTCTGTCTTACAACTTCAAGATAAGAATGGTTTTTGAAATTTTAACCTTGGTTAAAAACAACTAAGGGTGCGTGAGCGGGAGCCCTGTGGCCAGTGGAGTCAGGCGCACTCACTGTCCTGATCTTTACTGCCAAGCCCTTCTTTGTAAAACCACCACCTTACAAGGCGTGTTTCCACGTCAGCTTGTGGGGAGCTCTGAGCCTTTGGGAAAGGGAGCGCTGTGGGGAAACAGCACAGATAAAATAACCCTTCGTGTCTGTATACTTTAAACTCTAGTGCTTTTCAGTGTCTGACCTAGTTTATTTATTCTCTTTTAATCGTTTTTTTATTTACACAAGATGTCCTTGTTAGGTAAAAGTTTTCAAATTGTTCAGATGTGTATAAAGTCAAAAGTTCAAAGGTTCATCCTATAATTACCATCGTCGGGGTAATTATTTTTAACAGATTGAAAGTCAGTGTTTTTAAAACTACAGAAAACGTTCTTTAACTTTTGCTAACTTTTTTTTTGTCTGCAGATATTAAAATGCATGCTATGGTGAAAAAGTTAGGCTTGACTGACAAGATAATTGAGTATTTACGTGACTGTGTGGGTCAGGATGGCGAGGTGAGATGTGTGTCTATAAGTTTTACAGACTGGCGTTCGTATTTGTCAGAGCTGAAATCTGATGAGTTCTTGGAGTTTGAGTCCTGAGTGACACCCATTACCATATTCATTGTTTTAATTTCTAAAAGTGAGGCCTCTGTAAAGGAGAACTCATCTTGAGTGTTCTATAGGTTGTGCAGGCAGAAGTATAGGCAAGGCTTATTTTCAGTGGGAAAAAAGTTTCATATATTTATATGCATTTTAATTTTGTTCAGTTTTGATGAAACAGTTTAAAATTTGGAGTAAGATGATATTGTGGTGTTTTTTTCCTTCACTTAAATCCATGAAAGTGAAATGATCATATTCCCCTCCTGCAGGTCACAGAGTGCCTGGTGCCGCCGAGCCTCACGCTTCTGAGGAAGGTTCTCTGTGCCGACCCGGCCACGCGTGTCTCCCTGGCCCAGCAGGCCTCCCTCCTGACCCTGCTCCTCAGAGGTGAGGAAGATGCGGTCTGCTCCCAATGAGGCCAGTCTTAAGCCGTGTTTATTCTTTAACTGTAGGTGACATTTACTCTGCATTTTACTGACAGAATCATAAAGTTTATTGGTGAATATGCCATGGAACAGCCCCACCACAGAGGCTGATGGACACTTTTGTGCAGACTTCCTCAGTGTCCCGAGCAGGCCTCAGAGCCCAGACAGGCCAGCTTCTGTCTCCTCGCCCTTGAGCTGCTCGTGCCTTTAGGTCCTGAGCCTGTGGTGCGATGCCTGCTTGTGTCGTTAGCTGGGGATAAGAGCGGAGACCCCATCCATCCACGAGGAGTGGGAGCTAGGCCTTCCTGAGTGGCTCTCTGCACGAATTATTACACTTTTCATAGTGCGTTTTTTTTTTTTTTTAAATCACGCTTGAATTTGGTTGTAATTTGGTGATTGGTTTAGATGGAAAAGTCCAAGGTATTTTGTTCTCTTTTTCTCTCTTCTGACTGTTCTCAAAAAGGTTTGGTTAAATTTTGTGCTATTTTCTTTCCTAGAGGCTTAGGGCACTGCTGTGAATAATCTACAAGAGGCGTCTTGAGCAAATGTCTCAATTTGCTGTACCTTGTCAGTTAGCGTGCATGGAGGAGTTAAATGACACTTGTGTTCAAAATACCATCAGAATACAGCCTAGAACACACTCATTTAACTGTAGCATTTTCTTTTCTTATAATGGCTTTTGCTCACCAAGTGAAGAGCACACTCTATTTAATAGCATTGGTAGAAGGCCAAACCAGGTAAACTTCTAAATCAACTCATTGTGTTCAAGCTCTTAAAATTTTGAATAGAGGAGGCGTTCAGTTCGAGGGGGCTGACTACCTGAGGGTGTGTTTGAGACGGTGGTAAGTTAGGATGACTGGCCTTGGCATGGGTCTGGAATGAGGGGAAATGATGGGACGAGGCAGGGCTAGTGGTTCGTGCAGGGTGTGATGGGCAACGGTCAGCGGCGAGAAACGACTGAAGATGGTCAAACAGGAGGATTGTGTGTTTCAGAAAGATTGTTCCATCCACAGCGAGGAGAGTAAATCAGAGGCACTATAATTAAATTTCAGATGATTGGCTTTGAGTTAGAAGTCTTATGTCATCACAGACTCCTATCCAGTACGTCAGGGTTAGAAATTCACTTAGAAATCACTGATTACTAGAGAGACTTAGCAACTTGGCCACGATCATAACTGATAATGGCAGAAGCAGAAGAATGCAGACAAAGATAAGGATCTTTGTCGATTTGTTTTTGTTTGAAATAATCACAACATAGAGATCCTTATTGTAAGGTTTCAAACAAAACGGAACTATACAAAACACAAAATTGAAAGTTTTTCTTTATTTTCGCTCTCTTTTTCAATTTCCTAAGGAAGAATGTGGCCAGCGTCGTTGGGCATACACCACCTGAAAGGGCCTTTGCTATGTACACATGCTGGAGTTCATTCTCTCCAGGAGCAAAAATATTTCATAGTTACACTTCTTTTTACTTCTCAGTTTCCTTGATATTTCATGAAGACTGTACAGTTGTGACTGAAGTTGGAGCATTATTTTGTCTCCTGCTATTTGATGAAGTGTCAAGAATGGAAATGTGGTGAGCTGCAAGGACGTTCGAGCTTTTATTCTAAGTGGTTGTGTAAGGTCCGTACGATCTGGCAGTGGGGCGATTCCCTACTCAAGAGGCTCCTACTTGCTGTGGTGGGCCTCGTGGTGAGGGTTTGTGGGTGAGGGTTTGTAGTATCAAAAAGCCTGTGGGCTCAAAAAGTCACCTTGGAATTTATTTTTGAACATTGCTAAGTATGAAATTTAAAAATTGCTGCAGTAATTTTCATCATTAATACATTGTTTGCTACATACTTTCAATTTGGCATTTTTTTTCTTAAATATTTTATTTAAAAATTCCTTTGGGAAGATATCTAGGATGGTAATACCTGATGAACACAGACCTGAGCTGGGTCAGTGGGAGAGGGCAGAGCCCGCCCGTGGGGGCAGTGTGTGCTTGGTGTGAATTCCTGGTTGTGTGCCCTCCCCAGGAAAAGCAGGGTCATTTTTTATAAGAACATCCAGATGGCAGCAAACATGTTACAGCTAAACTACATGATAGAACCAGCTGCAGCTCTTTTTAAAAATTGTATCATACTCAAAAAAAAAAAAAAAATTGTATCATACTCTTATTTTGGTAAATTATTTTTCCTGGTTTTTCATAGAGTAATGGGCACATGTCACAGTATATGTTTAAGGTGTATGTCCTGACAGTTTGATTTACGTAAGTTGTGAAATGATCACAACAGCTAACGTATTCTCATCGAGCTACAATAAAAAGAAGGAAAAGAAGAAAAGTAAAAAGGGAAATGTTTTCTCCTTGTGATGAGACCCAATTGCAGATGTTGATTAGAGTTTCCAAGCAGGGAAGCAAGGTATTTGCTAGAGGAACTGTTGTCCAGTCCCTTATCACTCTTCTTTTTCTTTTATGATCTAGGGCTGTTAATCCTTCAAGTAAACCGTCTTCACCATCCTCCTTCAGTTTGCCTGTTTCAGTTTATAGAAGGTAAAAGTTTTTATTTCTTTGATTTTCTTGAAGAGTGAAATATTGTTGCAGAAATGGAAACAAACATCTATAATTGGTCACAGTTTTCATTCAGCATGTAAATCACATGACCATGCTCTCTGCTTCTACAGTGGTGCTATTTGGATGCTGTTTGGGTGTGTTCAGCTCTGCAGGAATGTTGGACGACCGTGCAGTGAACCCCTGACACCACTCAGTCTAAATCCATCAGCTGTTAACACGGGGCCTGTCTTTTCCTCCTCTCTCACCCTCTCTGTCTCCATGTATTTATTTATATGTATTTTTTTCCCTTGACCCATTTGAAAATAAGTTCCAGGCATAAGTTACTCTCCTCCTACTTACTTCATCATGTGTCCCTTTAAATGAGGACAGTTTCCTACATAACCACCGTATTACCCGTGATCGCATCTAAGCCCATTGAAAATAATTGTGGAGTATGATCAATTATACCCCGAATATCTTTTATAGATTTTTTTTTCTAAATGCAGGATTCAATCAATGGCATGAATTGCATTTGGTTTTCATGTCTCTCTAGAGTTTTTAAAATAAATAATTTTTATAGGAGTAGGAGAGTGTACAGACCATAAGGGTGGAGAGCCGGTGAGTTTTTCCAAGTGAACACACTGTGGGACTAACATGGCGATCAGGGTGCAGAATATACCTCGCTTGTCAGGACCCCGTCACGCCCCTCGCTGCCCTCCACTCCCTCTTGGACACCACCTCCATCACCTCGGTTTTAGTTTGTTACTCTACATTATTTTTGTGGGCATTTCCACCCTATTTGTAGAGTATGTTCTTTTATTTGGCCTCATCTGTGGTTCTTCCCTTCGAGTGGCGTTGGAGAACATGAAGGTGAGTACTTGCTTGTCTGCATGTTCTCCAGGTATCACCTGCCGGTGCGCGTGCTCGGCCACCATGCTGTGAGCCCTTACTCCATCGTCCTGCCCCTGTCTGCTGACCGCCTGGCCTTGAAGCCGGTCTCGGATATGCTGCGGATAGCTTGGAACCTGTCGTGGTATCACGGGAGCGATAACCTGCTCAAGCAGATGAACTCTGAGACCAAAACCCAAGAGTAAGCTGTTGGTTTCGTTGCGAAGGCATTCACAGTAGACTAGTTATAATTAATGACTTAAGGTTTTATTTTTCGTTTAGGTCAGTAGCTTTTTTCACTGAAAACATCATTTTCCTCCTTCACCGCATATAAGTTCTGTTTTGTTTTAAAGGTGACGAGTGCCCATTACTTTAAAAAAAACCAACTAGCGGACAAGGATATTTAAATCAAAAGCAGCATGCTCTGCGCTGTTTCAGAGATTATTTCAAGTTTGGTTAGTTAATAGTTGGAATCACCAGGAAAAGCGCGTTGGAGGGGAGTGAGCGCCACAAGGGCGTGTGACTGGATGGGGCTGTCTGTGTGACTGGGGGGGCATTGCCCCCCTCCATCTGTCCCCTGGCCTTACTCTCCCTCTGTGCCCGTGTCCTGTTTCCTCTTTCCCGCTTCCCGCCATTCAGCACCCTCCCCTCTGTTAACCAGTATATTTTTCAATCTAAGTTATTTGCGATGCGTTTTGCCAGTACGTGCGCCCCGGTTATTTATATTCTCCACAGAGAAGCGAAACCATCAGTGTCTTTCGCTTTCTGACTCGTTTCACCAGCGTCATCACCTCCAAGACTATCCATTTTGTCCCAGAAGGCGCTCAGGTTGATGCCATGCCTTGGCCGGCGTGGCTAATGCTGCTGTGAACGAAGGAGGCACGAATCCGTGTCCGGGTTCTCATGTCCTCTGGGTGAGGGCCCGGGGGGTCCCCACTGTTAGGTTTTTAAGCATCTCCGTACCAGTTCCCCTCAGGGCTGCGCCGCTCACGTTCCCTCCAGCAGTGGGTGAGGGCTCCTTAGAATATTACTAATACCCGAACTCTCAGACTTTCTTATTTGAATGAAAACTATTTCTGTAAGCAAGAAAATGTCCACGTGACCACCCAGTAGACTGGGGAAAAGACTGTTTTTTTTTTTTTTCCCCAGCTGTGCTTTAGTCTTTAAGAAAAATGAGGTAGAAGAGAATTTGGGGGAGAAAGTTAATAATAAAAGTAAATGTGGGCTTTTGTTGAAGAAGCTTTCGGTTGTTCTGCTTCTCCTCCGTCTTTAGGTTTCTCGACACCCTGAGGTTGTCCGCCGAGGATGCGCTTGCCCTGCAGGTGACACACAGGGCCGCCGGGCTGGGGGACTGCCTCCGCGCCATCGTCCAGGCTGCAGCCCACAGGGACGTGCGGGCGGCGGTCACCAGGATGAGCTTCTATCTGCTGAATGACAGGCTCTCTGCCAAGAGTGGCGCCGGCCCGTATGGGGCTCCCTTGGAGTCTTTGGCTTGGCACACGGCACTCGGCAGGTCAGCTGAGCTCGAGCCCGCAGGCTCAGAGGCCTGGGTTTCATTGTCTGTGGGTTCCTCTCCAGGCCTTTGGCGACAAGAGCATGTCCCCTCACTGCTGCAGTCAAGAGAGAAAGTTGTAGAAAGACAGACCCCAGGCTTTTTATTGTCTGTAATAATAACAAAAAAAGAAAAAAAAATTAATGTCTCTGCTTTTGGGAGAAATTATCAATACACCAGTTTTCAAAATAACCTATCGAAGGAGATTTTAATTTGTTATCTCACAAAAGTAAATGATTAGGATAAGACGTGATGAACAACCCGCCCCTCCCAGAGGTGCGTTGAGACCCCACAGATGGGTTAATAGGTCTGGTACCTGCAGTGAGCTGTTTCATTTTGTTTTGTTCTTAGGTAAATTATCTCATGTTTCTATTTATTTGGAATTTCATGAAGGATTTGCCACTCGAAGGTCCCTTGGTAGTTACTGGGGAGGCTGTAGCTGTAAGTGTAACAGTGTAAACGGAAGCAGAGGACTGCATTTGTAAGTCGGCAGCCATGAGCAGTCTTACACTTCAGTCTTCTGCGACTGAATATAGAGTGTGTAACGTTCTTAATAAATATGAAGTGTGTCACTTGGTTGTTAAACATCAAGTGTGTAGTTTTGTGAAATGCGGTGGCGGGGCTTAGAGGAGTTTCGGAGGCTCAAGCTCCTGCCTGTGGTTGGCTTCTGCTATTGGGGCGTGTGCTTGAACCAGCCAGGACGGCCCATGATGGCGCTAGGGTTGCAGCTCAGGATTTTGGAGACTTGGTTGTTAAAACCATTCTTAAAAATTAAAATTATATAAATTTGCAATAAGCTAAATTATGAACAATAGAGGTAATGATTACACAAAAGAGCTAGAAACCATGATTATTGTCTTCTCAAGTGTAGGTTTTTACAAGTGCTTCCTGCTTGCACTGAAGATGAGAAACTGCTGATAGATATCATACATTTTTTAAATAAGTTGTTGAAGGACTGGAGAAGAAATTCATCAGTAGAACTCCTAAACTGGCTTCTAGAATTACTTCTTAGACAAGTAAGTTTAAGTTATTTGGATTTTAGCTTTGATGAATGAATGATTTGTAAAAGTCACTCAAACTGTGTTACGGGAAAGCTGATGTGCGCGTGGCCTGTGCTGAGCGGGCCTGGATGTTCCGGAGGCCTCGGCGACGCGACCTTCCTGTGGTGACAGGACTATGCGCATCAGTTGAGTCTGAAATGAGCGGGACCTTCAGCCTCAGCGTCTGTATCCGAGCTGCCTGCTGCAGCTGTTTCTCAGTGGCTCTCTTGAGGCGGGAGGCTGCTGGGGCACGCGGAGAGGCAGGCAGCAAAGCCAGGTGGAGACGGTGAGGTTGCTGAGACGGGAGGGTGGGAGGGGTGAGTTCCGCGTGCTCAGGCTTCAGCGTAAGCCTCTAGTAGTATTTCCTTCCAGTCCCCAACGCTCTCAACTTCTTGTAGCCAGCTGTGTTCTAAGAAGCTTGCCAAGAACCCACAAAGCTACTTCTCTACCACGTGTTGGCCTTTTTGTTTGCCAGAGCCACATAGTTTCCTTAGACTTGCTTTCCTTTTGTTGAGGTAACTCATGAAGCACCTCTGGAATTCAGAACAACTCTGCTAATGCATAGAGACCCACACTAGCTACTCACTAGGCCATATAATATATCTCAGTTAATCCAGAATATGGTTAGCAAGAAAAAAACTTTTAAAGAAACAACATCCACCTCAGTCAGAGAGTAACTATATTTTTTTATGATTCTTATTTTCTAGAGTCCAAACCCACTTTTAGATCTTCTGGTTCCAACAGAGTCCCAGGCCCGGGAAGAAGCTGATGACGTCGGGACTGCGGTCAGGCAGCAGCTGCAGAAGGAGCTGATGGGGCTCTTCAGCACCCTGCTGCTGGGCTGCAGGGCTGTCACTGACAGGTACCACATGTCTTGAGAGGTGGGGGCCTGCACGTGGGACCTGGGTTGCTTTTGTATTCCAAAGAATTTTGCTTTTCACTTCTTTCACCTTAGAAGGATGGACTGCAGGGGTAATGAGCCAGGTGGTGTGCATGCCCCTGTTTCAGTGGCTTCTCGGTGCAGCCCGGTGGTGGCTCCACACACAGAGTCTCTGTGCTTTGGCTCTGGTTCCTGGTCCTCTCTTGACTTCCACACGTGTGCCTGAGTTCTGTGACTTTTTCATTCACTTTCAGATTGGTGGGTTTCAAATGTGTCTCTTTAGATGTGACTTTTAGAAATTTTTAAAATTCACTCTAATCCTTTTTAAGTATATACTGGAGAGGTTTTTGTTCTCTTCACAATAGAACGCATGGTTGTTCAACATGTGGTTAAATCCCAGAGATCAGCCCTACCCCAGATCGTGGGATGAATGGGCAAGCAATTTTTATGAGAAATCATCATCTACTTCACTCTTATTAGCTCTTTTATACTAATGTTTGGTATAAAATCACAAATGAAGAAAATTGTTACCTAGAAAACATCTCCCATAATTAAGAGAAAAATGTTAATAGAAACAGAGCCACAGATGTCAAATGTGACAAGCACTTTAGAACTACCATTATAATACTATTTTAAATAATAAATATCATAGATATTAGTTGAAAAGATGGGCAACATTGATAAAAATATGGATAATATTGGGTTTTTGGAAAAGTCATCATATATTTTTTCTTTGAAAAACAGAAAAATCGTGTCATGACTTTTTTGACAACCCAACATCTGGTAGAGAAATGGATACTACTAAAATACAAATTCTACAACTGAGAAATAAAAGTTCTAAAGTGAAGAACTCAGTGTATGGACTTAACAGCAGACTAGACACAGTAGAAGAGAAGATCAGTGAATCTGGAAAACAAATGAGTAGAGATTTCACTGCAGAGGGTCCGCTGGGAGCTTTCTGAGGCGCCACCTGATCTGATGTGGTGGCAGGTGCATGTTTACATCCATTCAAGCCATGGTGGAGTGTGTACATCGGCTTGTGGATTGCATCACACAGAAAGTGTACCTCAACATCGTACTGAGAGCAGCAACAAACTAAACCAAGGGTAGAGTCTGTGCAGTTGGACCTGTGAGAATCTCCTTGGGGCTTCTAAAATACTAGCATCAGTAGCTCAAGAATCTGAAAACTGAGTAGTCGTACACAGAGCTCCCTGCAGATGGTCTTGGGCTAGGCTTTGAAAAACAACAGTGTGGGTTCTGTCCTTGAGTTTTGCTATTAAAGGAAGGACTGAGTGTGGCGTCACTTAGGTGTGTTGGTCGTGAGCAGGTTAAAATTTTTGTTTGTTTTGAATGGGAGAGAATTAGACATGCTTATAGGTTTTGGGCATGTGTCCATTTTAAAGGGTAATTAGGGTGAGAAGAGGAAGAATATGGGGCGTCGGAATAGAGAAGAGAGCAATAGTGAAGCAGAGCAGGACATATGAAAAGAGTAGGAAAGTGACGGGAAGGTAAGACACACTGAGGAGAGACAGCTGAATGAACAGTGTTAAAAGAATGTAGGGTAAAGGGATATGGGGCAAGGTAGGTAAGTGTTTAGGTGTGAGAGAAGGATATTGAGGGAGTTAACATCTGATCATTTCATTTCTCTTTATGAAATGAAAGGCAAGGCCGTTGGTCTTGCTACAAGGGCTACCGAGTGATTAAAAGTGCAAGCTTATCAAACTCATTTTAAGTTTGCACTTAATTTTTCATTCCCACTTTTTGTCCTGTTATCACGCAGCAACACTTTTATTTTCCAATGTCATTGTTCCTGGTATTTGACATCCTATTCCCCAGGTGGGAGTTGAGCTGTATTTTCCTTGAGACATCTTGTTTCGAGATGGATCTTTTTCACCGTTTCCCTGGTTCCTATTTTTCTGAAACAGCAAATTGTTGGGGATTCTCTCCCCCCAATAAGCAGGCCCTTTCATCTGCCCGTCACTTGTTCTGTGGGTGACTTTCTTCTCTTCTGCTTATACAGGAAGTGCTTGGAACTCCTCCATGTTTTCCAAACGCAGCTGGCCTTGAGGCTGCTGCAGTGCCTGAGGGTCACGGATGCACCTCACTTCTATGGGCTGCCGTCCCTAGAGAGGACCTTGCGGGGCATGGCCCAGCTCACGGCCGAGCCGGGCTGGAGCACGCACTCTCCACTCACAAAGCCGCTCGAAATCTGTACAAAGTACTTGTCAGGTCTCCTTGAAGTAAGTGAAAACCAATGATTACAGCAGCCACAATAACCCCTTCTGCCCCCAAATGATAGCTGGTTACTATTTTTGGGTCGTTTTCTGACTGTGGGCCAGGCCCTAAGGTAAGTGCATCATGTAGATTAATGGAGATTATGCAATATTTGAGTTATGATATGAGTCATCGTAAGGTAAATGTTTTAATTATTTTATCAGCGAATGTGTAAGAGCTGTATTCTGAGCACACTCATTGTCAAGAAAAACAAACTCAGTCTTATGTTTAAGTCCCTTCCTTACAATATTTTGATTATTTGCTTATATTGTTTAACCTTTTTATATGTGAATCATAACACAGAGGCAAAAAATTCACAAACATGAATACCTTTAGCTAACATTTAAGGCGGAGTCTTCATTGCTTTGTCTTTTTCACTTTTGTCAAATACACATATTTAGCTCTCGTTACGTTCTGTGTGTGACCATAACTCTACCCCACGTACTCTGCTGTGCCATGCCTGGTCATTCTCTGCTCATTACAGTCTTGGGAAGATGTGCTGGCTCAGAGCAGCGCTGCTGCTGCAGGTCCGAGGGTAGTGTGGCCCGGCCTGTGTGTGCGCGCGGGCGGGTCGCTGCTGAGCTGCAGCTGCTGAAGTCTCAGTGCAATGTCCTGAATATAATTCAATCTAAAGTACTTAATTTATGGCATTATTTATAATACGATATAGAAATATTAGCTCGATAAACCTTTTGGCACACATCTCTTTAAGATGCTTTTTATCTGTTTTAGATCAGGGCTATATAAGTGGTAATTGAAGAAGTTAAGTGTTCCACTGTTTATATTTAGAGATTATCAAAAATGCTTTTGTTTTTCAAATTGTGTTCAAGGAGAAACTTCAGCTTATACCTGTGTTTCAAATCTGAAATTAAAATGAGCTTTTTGTGGTATTAGAGAGCGAAAAGGCCTAGTTCTAGGTAAGGTGTCAAGGCCGACATCTTCTAACTTCAGTTTTGTTTGAGGTAATGAAAAGCAGCACAGTTTATTAAGTTAGAAATAGATACAAAGTTTTATAACGTTCAACACCTACCAAAAAAAAAAAACCCTGGTTAATCTTACTGGGAATAAGCAGAAGAGCACAAGTCACCTTCATACACCATCTGGGGAAGTAAATCTTTGTCTTCATGTTAAATGGTAGGGAAACAGTTCAAAGAAATTTGTCATGTTAGAGAATGTAGGGGTGTCTTATTTTATCTTAATTAGTTGGTTTTAAAGAGTTTTTTATTTTACTACCAAATACATTTATTTTTTAAAGAATAATTTAGTAAGACTCAAATGAATGGGTAGCGACACAGGGCCTGCTGGCCCCAGAGACCTGCTTCATGTTCCTCACTAATGAAAGGAGCTTGCTCTTAGAATGGGGTCATATTTCAGTATCTGATACTTGTCTCTGCCCTTTGGAATTTGAATGCACGTATTTGCTTTCCATGGTTGACAATGAGACTTTTAAACTCCTCATGATTCATTATGATAGGTAAATAAACTATGGTGATTAATGCTCAAGCCGGATACACATATGATTCCAGGGACCTGACCAGCAGGTCTCGGCTTGTCCCTCCTAAGCTGACAGTGAAACCACCACTCAGGTGTTGGGTACTCTGCCTCCCCTGGCTGACAGGGAGGTAACATGGGTTTGGCCATTCAAGCTTCTTATTTCTAAGATTGTACTTTAAGGTTTTAAACTTTTAATTATGAAAAATGTCAAGCATCAACATACTTGTTTTATATTGCTAGCAATTTCTAAGTATACTTTTTGACAAGTTACTTATAAACTTTGACTGAATTACTCCGACACTTGAAGAAAGTCATGACCATGTGCCAGATCACAGACACCTCCAGGGAAGATGCTGCACCTTATTTGTGCAAAGGGAGAAAATTTTAAGCAATAAGAAAATATTCTGTCTTATTGCGGTAAAATGCACACAACATAAAATTTTCCATCTTAGCTTTTTTTTTTTAAAGATTTATTTATTTATTTATTTATTTATACAAGCACTGGGTACAGTCAGAAGCGCGGGAGGGTGAGAGAATTCACCAGAGCCAGAGTGGGGCGCAGAGCAGGCAGAAGGACCGAAGTACACTGCTGAGGGGAGCAGCGGGCGGCAGGAGAGGTCTGCACGCCATGCGGGACCCTCCTCCAGTGCCGGGGAGCAGCCGGGGATCGAACCAGCACTGCAGAGGCTGCGGGCAGCTTTGCAACCCAGCGCTCAACCGCTGCGCCACTGGGGAGGCCCTTAGCTTTTTTTAAATGTATAAGCTAAGAATATAGTACGTACCTCTGTGGGCAGGTTCGGCGTAGACAAGAGTAGAAGGTGACGCTGCTGTCACTGGTCACGTGGTCGTTGACACTTGTTTTCCAGGTCATCACCTCCTTCTACGTGGAGCGTGGTGGGAACGCCATGTCCTTCATGGGGAAAGGGGTCACGAAGAGCACCGTCCTCTGCCTGCTCCACTTGTCCCATGAGATGATGGCCCAGGCCCAGAGCTCGGTGAGCGCATGAGCAGCCTCCTGTCTTGGGAACACTTGTAGGGAAGGAATGTTCGGGCCTCTACATTTGTGATGGGAAAATGTCTCTGCCCTTTTCTTCTTAGAAGACAAAAGTGGTTTTGATTAAGCTAGTCCTTAGGGGTTATGTTTCACACACATCTGATTATTGGAAATTGATTTTGATTGAGATCTGCCTGTACCGGAGAACTCTGATTCACTAAATTGTGGGGAAAACAGCTGTTCTGAAGAAAAATTTTCGGATTAAACTTCTTAAGGGGAAGCTGAGGTTTTCGTCTGTCTTGTTTTGCTCACTAATGAATTAAAACCAAGGCTTAAGTACATTTTAAATGGCTTTTGATTTTTTTAAATTCGGAGTGATTTAAAGCGGTTTTGTTCTTAGAAGCCTGCCTAACGTCTCTCTGCCCCTTTTCACTCCAGGAGTGGATGTCACTGTGGTTCCTGCCTCTGGGCGGTCATGGTGACGAGCGGGCGCCGGCTCAGCAGGGACTGACTTGGCTGATTCCACTGTGGGTGGATCGAGACCCGGAGGTCAGTGCGGGGAGCGAAGAGAGGCAGAGTCCTTTGTGTCTAGATGCAAAACGATGAAATGAATTTATATGCACCAACTTCTCAAAGTGAGCTGATTGCAGTGACTGGGCCTTAAGCCTGTGTCCTCCCGTCCTGGCCGGCTTGGGCTGCTGTAACAGACCGCGGCTGGGGCCTGCGCCGGCAGCGCTGGGGCGGAAAGCCGGGTCGAGGGGCAGGAGGCCGGGTCCGGGGAGGACTCTGGCTTTCGGATGCTACCTGTGCGCCTGAGGCTGGCCCTCTCTTCCATCTCTTATGAGACCACCAAGCCCAGATGCCCTCACTTCGTCTTTTAATGACCCCCTAAGAGCCTCTCCTTACTGTCACGTTGTGAGCCAGGCCTCACCAGGTGAATGTCCACGAACATAGTCACGTTCATTGTGCCCCTCCTTCAGTCGGATGCATTAGAAGACAGGTTGAAAATAGAAAAAGGAAGGCCTGTAGGACCCAGGCCTGTAGGACCTAGGCCCGTAGGACCCACCACTTTTAGAAAGAACAGTAAAGACTTGTTGGAGAAGCCTGGCCGTTTCCAGCTAGTTTAGAAGGTGAGTGAGTGACATTTAATAGAACAGAATCATCACAGTGCAGAAGTTTCATACTGATGAATTTTGCACTTTTAATCTACTACCCTGCTTTTTTAGAAGAACTCTTTGTGGGGGGGAGATTGACACACAGGCGGCACGTGTTGGCATAGCTCGATGGCGTCCAGCTCCTGCGGGGTGGGCTCGTACCGTCATGTACAGAGGCTCCCCCCGCCTCCTCCCTGCCCGTGTGCGTCTGTGCTTAGAACACTTAACAGATGCGCCCGCTTCACAGTTTTCATTATAACGCAGTACTGTTGATTAGCTCGAGGTAATAGCCACTCATTCCAACCAAGAAATGGTTCTGTCCTATGCTAAACACCCCGACCTGTAGAAGTAGTGTTTGATCCGACTCTGGACGGCACCGTCTTCAGACTCAGCGTGGGGGGCTTGCTTGATCACATTCTAGCCCCACCGCTGGCACTGCTGCCGGCACCCATTGGCAACATCCCATTGGGTCGGGGGACTGTGACAGACACATCATACCATGTCAGTCTTACCTGAAAGGCGTTTATTTTTATTTTATTTTATTTTTTTAAGATTTATTTATTTATATATACAAGAACCAGGGTATAGGCCAGATGTGTTGGGGATAGGAAGATTCACTAGAGACAGAGCGGGGAACAGAACAGGCAGACTTACTGAAATCCACTGCTGAGGGGAGCAGCGGGCAAGTCAGGAGAGGTCTGCTGCGCCACATGGGTAGCTTCCTGGCCGGGGATCGAACTCGTGCTGCAGAGGCTGCAGATAGCTTCATAGGTTGCATCTTAACCCCTTGCGCCACCAGGGAGGCCCAAGGCTTTTATTTTAAAATAATTTTGGGGAAAATAATAAATGCCTTACAAAAAATAATTTTTTTAAATAAATGATTTTAGAAAGAACATCTCAAAAGTTAAAACCATTTATTGGGGAAAATACACTAAAAAATTAAGGAAAAACAAGATAGTAGTTTTAGCCTCTATAAAAATGAGGACTAAATAGGGTGCATGTTCATAAAAATATGTGAGTATCCTATGTGTTCCCTAGGAAAAAAACTTGTGGACGCTAATATTTATTCCTGGTTATACTTAACTTTGATTTTTTTGGTGATATTTTCTTGCATTTAACTTTTCTATATTGTTTTCTTGAGTCATGGAATCAGAATTTTTATTGATTCATAAGGTTATAGAGCACTTCCTTTGGAAGTGTCTTTTATAACTTAGCACAGTCAAGACTGTCATAAAATTATGATTTTTATATATCAGAAAACTTAAGAATTCTTGTTACAAAACCAGTGTCTTTGATTTGACAACTTTTTCTTCATTTGCTCAGGTGAGATTTACTTCCCTGGGATTAGGGTCGGCACTCACCACTCTGGAAAGTGGCTGTGTGGTTTTGGCGAACAGTTGTCAGAACATTTCTGGAGGGCTGTGGGGCACCGTGGTGAACATTCTCCTGGACCACTCGGAGTGCAGCCTGGTGCGCCGCGAGGTGGGTGCTCCCCCCAACCCCCGTCCATCGGTGGCCCTGCGAGCCATACCCTCTCCCTGCTCAGCTCGGGACTGACCGCTCACCGGTGTCTCTGCTGCCTGCAGACAGCCTACAGGAGATGGCAATAGAAAGCAAAAACAGTTTGAATTCCCTGTAAAAACTGAAGTTTTCTAGTCTGGTAAGATCAAAGCAGAAGTCGGTTTAGTTTATCATCTCCCTCTTTTTTTCTTAATGCATTGACAAGCAGATCACATAAAAAATTACTTGTATATTACCCAAGCATTATGGGCCTCCACTGCTCCTAAAAGTTTAATTAAGACAAGGGGTTGTCAAAACACTGAAATATTTATCATATTATGTGTAAGAGGAAAAGTAAACCCTATTTGAATTCTTTCAAAATAGTTTGTGGTTTTCTTTCATTCCTGTTTTTGTCAAAGTGATGATTGAAGCAAATAGTTTTTAAAACAGTAATCAACTAGAGTTTAGAGATTGTAAAGAAGCGTGCAGCTACTGGGTCTACCACTAACCAGTTTCCAGTTCCCAAATCCAAAGGCTGTGGTTTTCTTGTTATTTCCTTTTTAATGGCAGCGTGTGAGCTTGCGGCTTCCTCTGGATTTACCATATTTAGAGATTATCTGTTGACTTCAGTTAAGATGAAGTTGAAACCTCACTCTTTAGAGCTGCTCTGTTGCCCTCGTGTTCTCCAGTTCCATGATCAGCTTTCATTGAATAATCAGAGTTCATATTAGTAGGATTGTTTGATTTGGTCATCTTCACAACCTAGAGAGTGAAGTGGGACATTTGCGGTTTCTATTTCTAGTTAGCAGTTTGTATCTGAGGAGTTTGTAGGACAGAGAGAGGGACAAAGATGGGAGTGTGTGTGTGCGTGAGATCTGTGAGGGCATAATAGAAACAAGAAAATATAGTTCTTAAATGCTACCATATCTGTTATTTTTTTAGATTTTTTTTTTGAAAACCAAAAGTCTGAAATAGGAAAATATATATTTCCTGATGAAGTCATTTCATCTGTTGTTAAGCCATCTCCTTACAAAAAATTCCCACGCAGAGTGACCTCTTAGTGTGGCTGTTGATCATCGCTGTGTTTTTGTTATTAAAATGCAGTCTATTGGTTATTTCACAGATGACAGCAAGGTGGCAGTATTGACTTTTTTTTTAATTTCAGGCTGCATTTATTCTTCAGAATCTCCTTGTAATTCCAATGCCTTCGGAAATTATAAAGGATTATACTTGGCAGGTGAGTGACTTTAAACAGTTATCAGCCTGCTAGAAACTCGAAACTTGAGGTTAACTGATGATAAAATTTCCGCATATATATTTCATTGATGATGAATGTTTTTATAGTTACATCTGCTTTGTCATTAACATTTTTCTTTGGGGAAGCTAATGTACAGTTTGGGTTTTACTTGATCTTTGGTTTCTACTGGATTATTTGATTTTCAAGTTGAGAAGAGCAAATCAGTAAATAGTACACCGACCTGTTTTATAGCCTTCTGCTCTAGGTGATTTGGAGGGCACCGGGGTGCTCTCGCTGTGGGGTGAGCTGTGCCCTTTGTCCTTAAGTCCTCCTGTGTGTGGTGTATTTACCACACTGTACAGCCCTCGGGATCCAGGACAAATCTGGTTTCTTTGTACATTTCCACTAAGCTGCTTGGGGTGGGGAACTGAGTCACGTGAGGAGCGGGCATCCCGGCAGGCTGTTACCTGACACGGGATCCCAGCGGCTGGCGAGAACGATCCCTTTGAACTCTGGGAAGGCTCACTGCTCCCAACTTGACAAAGCCAGGTTAACTCTGCCAATTATTGAAAATCCCAGGCCACTTGACAGTTTCTCTGATTTCCTTTTTGATCTTGGTTGCTTATTTAACAGTCTGTGCGGTAACAAAACCATAGGAGACAAAACCGAAGGGAGTAGACAGGATGAACACTCATATGAATAATGTAGGAGTTTTGATGTGTTAGCCAGTAAATGGATTTCAAAACATGTGCTGGTTTTGGCTCAAATACAAAGCATTTCCACTCTCATTGTTAAATTAGTGACACTTAACTCTGCTATGTGCTTGATGTACTGGCAGTGGATTTTTTTTTATTATTGAAATAAGTATAAAGGTAAAAGTAATAAGATTTCTAGCTTCTGTTAAAGCCTTTAGGATGTTGTAATAGGGAACCATGTGTGGAAGTTGAGATTTTTCTCTTTCGAATTAAGTAGTGGGCAGTTCCATTTGTTGCATGACATGTTAACTGCAGCTTGTTGGTTTAGTGATTTTCTAGCTCTTTGTCGTGGAATGGATTATCTACTAAAAATTGAAAATAGTGGACCTCCCTGGTGGCACAAGGGGTTAAGATGCAACCTATGAAGCTATCTGCAGCTGCTGTAGCAAGAGTTCCATCCCCGGCCAGGGAGCTACCCACATGGCGCAGCAGACCTCTCCTGTCTCCCTGCTACTCCCCTCAGCCGTGTACTTTGGTCAATCTGCCTGTTTTGTTCCCCACTCTGTCCCTGGTGAACCCTCTCACCACCCACCCCCCACACCTCTGACCTGTACCCCAGCTCTTCTATGCATAAATAAATAAATCTTTAAAAAAAAATTGAAAATAGAGGTTTAGGTAAGTTTTTGGAATTTTCTACCTTACCTAAGTTGGCTAATAGCAAGTAAGTTCAAGAATTACTCTAATCCCAAAAGTATGTGATCTTGAAATGGTTGCTAATCTTGAAGAAAATTAGAAAAATAAGGACAGTCTCATGTATCCCTTTTTTAAAATCTCTTTGGTTATTATTATTTTTATTGTTCTTAAGTGTCCTCACGTAGCAGTATTACTAGCTGACAACCTAGTCTTTGTTCTCCAATTTTAAAAATGTTCGGGGGCGGGGGGCTCTACCCCTCAAGGCGGATGGAGCTGCTCTGAAGGAGGAGACAGCCCTTCAGTACCGATGGGGGGTTCTTATATATACGTTGTGGCCTTTGCTAGTTTATTGCAGCCAGAAAGAAGCCTCTGTCTCGCCAGTCTTCTAAAATTAAAATGCTCTTGGTCAAATGATAAAGACGCTTGCACAACACAGCGTTCACTTACTCGTCTCCGTGTACTTTTCAGGATTGGAAGACATAGCCAGAGCTCGCACCAAGGTCTAGGGTAACCTGCTACTCCCCTCAGCCGTGTACTTTGGTCAATATTTTGTTTTGGTCGAGGTAGGCGCTTGATGCCGTTTACAGAGACAATAGCTTGTATGACTTTGCGTTTTGTTTTGCTGCCCCTGCAGGTACCACTTTGCCTCCTGGGCCCCCTCAGTGCTGGCTGTGCCCTGCCCCCCAGCACCCCACCCCCAACCCCCAGGGCCTTGTCTTTGCCACTCTGGTGTGCTTGTGCTTCTGCGTGGAGACAATATGCGCTAACATACGCTCACTTATTGTATATGCTGCTTTCATATTTGTTGTGATAATCATCCAGGCATCTTTCCCGCTTGAGCTGTTTCGCCACGAGCCATGTGAGCTGATTTCACGGAGCCCTGGGTGCTCGGGTCAGGGCGGCAGTGTCGTCCCACATGCAGTTAAGGATTCTTATGGAATTAGGCTCATTTTCTCAATCTCTGATTGCACTATAATTTTTAAATTTTCAAAAGTATCAAGATGGTTCTTCTTGAAAGTATTGTCTATTCCTCCTAAATGTAGTTTTCATCTTGCCTATAGTTCCCCTTGAGCCATGGTGGGTACATTAGAGCTGTGCAATTCGGAGCAAAAAAAAATATGTTTTTAAATTAATATTATAGCTTATTGCATCTTTGAAACTTTTCAAATTTATTGGCATGTTTAACGACAGTCAATTTGCTGTTTGCAAATTTATTTGAATGGTACCTGGTGATTTGAAAGTTCCCTTTCTTTGCTCTCTGTCCTTCTGGGCCCCCCTGGCACTGCCACAGATGGTATGGCAGCCCCAGTGCTCACCTGAGGGCAAGGCTGGTAAAGATATAGACATCCTGTGACAGCAATTAGGCCGGGCTTCTCTCCCCACTTTGCCAGAAGACAGCCCCATCAATTACGATGGATCCATGGAGCGGAGCTTAGAGCCGCATGAGAGGCTTCATTGTTCTGGCCCAGGCACCATTAGTCATCTCTGGAAAGGCTGAGTCAGACCAGCCTTCACGCATATGCTGGGCTTGGCCGCGTTGCTGAAGTCAAGTTCTATTGATGACGTGCCATTGTCACTAGGAGAAGCTCTGGTATTTGGAGACTGGGGATTTGGACTTAATGCTCAGTTCCAATAAATCAAGCAAAAAGTAAATACTGGTTAGAGGCTATGTCCATATTCCAGATCGTGCGGTCTTCCTTGCGAAGTTCAAAATATTTTGAATGAGTTACTGGGATTTTATAAGTAGTTGTTCCTTCAGGTAATAAATATATAAGGTTAAAAAGCTAAGTAGGATAATAATGAAATTCACTACCCCTCCTTTCACAGAGGCACATTTGCCTCCTATATCGTGATGCTAGTTCTGCAGGTCGTGTCCTTTGTATCTCGAACATACTGTGTTCGCAATGTCTGTTCCTTTCCTGTGTTGACGTGTCAGACTTAGTTCGTTTACACAGTCTCCTGCCGATGTCGTCCTGTCTCTGCTCCGAGCCTCTCCCCTGGTCACTGACGCGGGTGTGTCCTGGCCCCGCTGGAAAGGGGGAGCTGTGGCTGCAGTGTGCCTGGCCTTCCTGTCCTTCATGTCTCCTCCTGGCTTCTGCTGCCCTCCTCTGCCTGTTTTGTCTTTAATTTTGCTTTACGAAGGTTGATTATTACATTTAAATTCTCTTCTCAGACTCAGTTCATCTGTAAGCTGGTTGTAAAAATTGAAAATCAGTAATTCACTCCAGAGCCACTGACCGTACCGGGTTCCGCTTCCTTCCCTCTGCCTCTCGGGCCCTGCCCGCTGGAGGCAAGACGCCTTCCCGGTACCTGTGCAGGCGTGTACGTGTGTGTGATGTAAAGCATTGACGTGGGTGTTGTTTTTTTCCCCTTGGAATTGCTGCTTCCCCCTTGCATCATGAATCTAGTTGTGTTTCAGGGTTTGTAAGCTTCTGGTCATCCTTCCTCTTCGCTTGACCCCTTCCTCGTGGTCACCCTCCGGCCAGCGCGTGTGACCCCTTCCTGCGCTCTTACATACTTGAAGATGTATTTCAGTGGCCTGGATGGCCATCTGGGTGGTGAGCGGACATCAGGTTGAGATCATTCCCCTTAATCTCGCCCCACAGTCCTCTAGCGCTGTGACCTGATGACAAGCTGCATGTCCTGCACGACTTCTTGATGTTTATTTTCTTAGTCTTTTTGTATTCATTAATTATTGCTTTTGTTTTCCTTGCTATTGTGTCACGTCCCCAAAGACACCCCTGAAGCCTGGGTCATGGAGAGTTTTCCTGTGCTTTTATGTATTTTATGGTCTTATGTCCATAAGCCATCACCTCACTTGCCCCTAGTTTCTGTGTGTGGGGTGGGAGTGTTCCTCTCTCAGTGTTCTACACGTGACTGTCAGTTTCCCCAGCACCATTTGTTGAAGAGACTTTCCTTCTTGCTTGTATATTCTGGGCTCCTTGGTCTAAAGTTAACTGTCCATATAAGTATGGGTGTATTTTGGGGTCTCAGTTCTCTTTCATTGGCCTGTGTGTCTGTTTCTGTTCTGGTATATTTTTTTTTTTTGAAGATTTATTTATTTATGCATAGAAGAACTGGAGTACAGGCCAGAGATGTGGGGATAAGAGGATTCACCGAGACAGAGTGGAGAACAGAACAGGCAGAATGACTGAAATACACTGCTGTGGGGAGCAGCGGGGAGACAGGAGAGGTCTGCCGCTCCATGTGGGTATCTCTCTGGCCGGCCGGGGATCCAACTCGTGTTGTAGAGGCTGCGGTCTGCCTCTTAGTGTGGTGCTTAACCCCTTGCGCCACCAGGAGGCCCTGTTCTGGTATTTTGATGCCCTGTACTGTAGTTTGAAGTCTGGGAGCTTGATTTCTCCATCTCTCTCCTTTTTGTCAAAATTACTTTAGCTTCTCAGGGTCTTTTGTTTTTCGATATAAATTTCAATAACATTTGCTCAATTTCTTTGAAAAATTCCTCTGAAACATCGATAGTGGTAGCATTGACTGTTTATCACTTTGGTCAAAACGGACATTTTTACAATATTAATTCTTGCAATCCATGAGCATAGAATGTCTTTCCACTTCCTTGTGTCTTCTCTTTCTTTTGACGATGTCTTATGGTTTTCATTGAGCAGGTCTATTAAGTTTATGCCTAGGTATTTATTACTTTTCAAATGCTACTGTAAATGGGGTTGTTTTCCTGATTTTTTTTTTTCTTCTAGTTCATCATTTGTATACAGGAATGCAACACATTTTTTAGGTTGATTTTGGAGGCCTGCTACGATGGGTCTCTTCCAGGGCTTCTAATAAAGTATTTTAAAGTTGTTCTGGGCATTGTTATGAAATGCATTTAGAAAAATAGTGTTGCTCTTTCGCTTAATTTTATTTTGTTGATTTATTTGGCTTTTGTTGGGTAGTTGGAGGGAAGCTAGTATCCTTGGTTGAATTATTTATAATTCTCATCTTGGTTGTTAATTACTTCCTAGAATTACTATAATGAGGGCTTTCGTTTGTGATGGTAAGCAACTGCTGTGCTGCTCCTGTGTGTTTGACTTGTTCATACACTTAAGAATGTAAAAAGTTGCTTGGGACATAGACGTTTTGAAGCTCTGAACGTTCAGATGTAGTTCAGGATGAGTTACTTTATTCTGAAACGATTCAGTTATTTCTTGCATGGCAGGGGCCCACTGCCCGGGCCATAAGCCACGCCTGAGGAGCGGGAGCTGTCTGCTCTCTCCTGCTCCGTCTAGACTCTGATTTCAGGGGACAGCAGTGACCGTCATGTGCTGACTGCTCATCAGCTAGTGTTGTACCTCATTAACTTTGTAAATTGCTCTGTTTATGAAGATTAAGCTCAGTGTTGGGTAGGTTTATTAGAATACCACAATAACCAATTTATAACCATAAAAGCTATTTACTATTGAAGTAAGAGTTTCAATTATAAAGGTAATAGCCTTAAAAAAGGAGGGTTAATGGAAGTTTATCATTTATATTATGTCAATAACATAAATTGTTCTTGCACCTTTAACTCGTGAATCACTGTATCTTCCCGGATAGTGAACTTTAACCTCCACATCTCTAGGTGAGGGGAGGGGAGCGCAAAGGCTCACAGACACGGTTCCCACAGGTCGGATGAACATCGCCTGTGTCTTGGCCGTGTCTTCCTGTGGGCCCTTAGAGTTCTGTTTTCCGACTTTTGTTTTTCTCTCTGTTGTGGGCTGTTTTAAAGTCTTAACTTTATTGATCATCACTTTCTGGAAAATGGAAGTACTTATAAACTAATGATGGGATTATTTGCAAACTTTAAAACCACAGCTGAGTGTTTGACTTTTGCAACTGGATGTTCCAGGGGAAAAAGTGTGTGGCAGTGGGAAGACTACTTGGGGGAAAAGTGCAAAGAGGTTCAAATTGTGTAATGGCAGGTACTCCTCAGCCTCCTGGCTGTGTGGACAGGTGTGTGCGTGTGTGTGCACTCTTGTGCCTGTGCGCGCGTACTTTTCCCTTCTCAGGGTTAGCGCCATGAGAAGTAATGTAGCAAGATGCTGCCATGGATATTAAGGAACCTTTTCATTGTCGCTGGCATATTGATAAGCACAGTAATTATTGGACCATGTTATTTCAGATATTTTAATACATATTTCTTCCTGTGTAGGTTGAAAAATAACTTTTTTTGGTTTTGCGGCTCAAGTGTGTGTACCATTTCATAGAGACATTTTAAACTAAGAGCCCCCTCAGGGGAGACCAGAGCCAGCTGCTGCCTGCAGAGACCTGGAGAGCTTTGAAATGCTTGGCCCTGGGCCGGGCTGCCTGACTGTGGGGAGGCGGAGGCAGGCCGGAGGAGCCCGGGCACCCGGGAGCCACGTGTTTCATTGAGAGGGGATCTCAGCGGGTGGGTCCTCTTCATAAATGATGTCATGAGCTGAATGTCGTTCCCCTCCCTTTTCCTTCAGGGCCCCTGTGTCCACGACGAGGACTCGGGCCTGTCGCTCACCGGGAAGCCCGCTCTTCAGGCTCTGCTGTATCACTGCCGTTTCTATGATCATTTGAGTCAGATGATTAAACATTGCTACCGGGGGCGGTATGTGTTTCACTGGAATTCTTCAGCTCTTGATGGGGCTTCAGAAGGCAGTGACATCAGTGGTAACTACAATACGTTTATATTTATATTTTTATAGTAGGTAGCATTTTTAAACTTTTAAAACCTATTGTGTTTGTTACAAAGTATTTGGAAAATGATAAGTACGGGGGTGGGGTGGGGCGGGGTGGGGAACACTCATGCTCCCTGCTCGAAACCCTCTCTCTAAGGTGGGGTCTGTTTGCCTCCAGTCTTCTTTCTTGTAAAGCTTTTGTTTGTTTTACGTAATTGTGTTTATATCTTATGTACATTTTTGTGCTGCCTCCTTTCACTAAACATTGCCTAAGCGTTTTTCTGGGTTATAAATTCTTCATGGAAACCATTTTTGACATCTTATTAATGTTTCATAAGTTGTTTCCTGCCCTTCAGTGGAGTTAATAGAGTTTTTTCCCCTCAATGTCATATACTTTTTGGAAAGTTCTTCCTAGACAATCAAGAATGAGCTCTTTTCTTACTAAATTTTCTGATTTGTTCTGTTAATGTGTTGAAAAGCTGTTCGTGGTATATTATGGTATTATAAGTGTTGCTATTATAATAAGATATTATCAAACTATCTTTTTTTTCTCATTTTAGATTCTCTTGGATTTCATAAGATTTTAATACATTTAAGCATGTACTAAATTATGACTCACCATAACAAATAATAATAATAAAAATGTGTTTTAAAATTGACTTTTAAAAATTTGAGTTTTAAAAAAGCATTTTTAAAGTAATTGCCAGTTTCATATAGAAAAGGTACGAGAATAGCACCAAGGATTCTCAGATGTTGACATGCATTGTCTTTGCCCCTTCACGCCATGTGCATGTATAGACCTGTAAAAATAAAATTTATATGTATGCATATATGTATATGCATGTATATATATGTGTACACATGCATGCATTACACATATGCGTTACTGATTTCTGAGCCAGATATGAATTTCACTTCTGAATCTTCACACGAAAGACTTAAATGTAAATTCCTAGTTCACTTTTCTCCTTACTTCTTGGTGGAATTAAGGGAAAAGTGAGATCTGATGAAGTCATTTAACAATCTGCTAGGACAGTGGATTTCTCTGAATCAGCGCTACTCAAGGCCTCTGAGCTGGCCGCGTTGTCGCTGTGGGCTAGTAAGGAGTGTGGTGGTGGCCCTGGCCCTGCAGGGGAGAAGAACCCCAGGTGTTGGGACCCAGGAGACTGTTTCACAAGCTCTTCATGATTTTTAAGCACATGGAAGTTTGGGAGCTGCTCTGGATAAAAATTGTGCTAGATTAAGCTAAAGCAAAGTCAATTGGTTTATGTATTTTTATATCATTTATTTTCAAATTCGTGTTTCATATGTATACCTTAATTAAGAACAATACAAATTGGGCAGACTTCCTCCCTTGGCTCTTGATTGCTGTCCCATAGTGAGCATTCTCCCTGCCTATTGGTACATTGCCCAGGAAGCTACTCACGTGCCCACTTTCCTGTTGTGGCAGGTTTAGATGACTCATTCAAGTTCTGGAGAGCTCCATCCAGGATGTCCACTCAAGATCGGGATACCAGTTCTCTCTCTACTTCGGAAACAATGGTACCCCCAAACATTGCTTGCATGCTTCATTTCAAATCTGAAAAAATTGCAATGTGCCTAGTGAAGAGAGAAGAATGGATATAAGAGATAGAAGATTATGATGTTAATACCTAGCATTTAAGCTTGATCTTCCACCTTTTTTGATAGAACCAGTAGCACAAACGTTTAAAAGTATCTATCAGTCGTAGGAGAAAGCAGATTCTATATGATTAGTAATGATTGATGACCTTGAAATTTTTCTCAAGGGCAAGGTCATTTGGAAAATGTTGACTCATTCAAATGATCCCAGTGTGGTGCTGATAGATTTTTAAACCCATTTCTAAACATTTGCATCAAATAGAAGCTCGTCTTGAGTATGCTTGCGTCCCTTCTTTCATTCATCAATTGCTTTATTCTGAGAAGTTTGAGACACTTTTTTTTTATTGAGGTAACGTTGGTTTACTATACTGTGGATCATTTAGGGGAATAGGTTCATACCTCCTCAAGTGTGTCACCCCCCCCACCCCAACACCGAGGCACCCACGGTCCTTTACCATAGACCATCCACCCCCCGCACCCTACCAACACCACTTTGCTCCCACCCTAACACTGTGACTGATGCTGCGGTCACTTGTTTCCAAATAGGTAAACTAACTTATCGTCAACAGGAAAACATCATCTTAACTTGTCAAATGTTCTTAGAACTATTGTGTGTCATTAAAAACTACTGGGTTGGCACTCCTGCTTCCCGGGGCAGAGGTAATATGAGAATAAACAATTATATGGGCATTAATGAGACTTATCTCTCACAGTTCTCAAGAGAATGATATATTTTGCTATGGTTTTAAGTGTCTAGTCTTGTTTTTTTCTTGACTGGCTGGTTTGTGTTAAGTGCTAAATTGAAACTTTGTTTGGAAAAGTAGAAGAATTATCCCAGTTCCACTAGATGTCATGCTCCCCAAGAGAAAGCATGCATCTTTGTCTCAACAAGAGAATGATTTGATTAATGAAAAAGGAAGTTGTATCACTTGGTCATTTGTTCACATAAGGGCAGCGCTAGTATGTGCTTAATGGTGATTCTTTTTAGGTTATTGTGTTTGCTAAGAGGTCTGTAGACCTTTAAATCTGTACTTCCTTCCATTCTTTGCCCGTAGCAGGAACTCAGTAATTGCTCTGATTAACTCTGAGTTATCTTAGCTGTTTGGTAGGTACCGAGTTATATTCATCTTCTGCAAGAAGACAAATACAAAAGCAAAAGCAGATCTTACTTTTGCAGTTCCCTATTTTATAGCCACATACAGATCTTACAGAGTAGGCTAGTAGATTTTCCAAGTAGACTTTGGAAATGTGTTATCTATTGTAATCATGATTAGGAAGCACCTTTATTAATGTAAAAGTCTTTACTTTTTTTTGTGTTTGGAAGTCACACAGAATTCTAGAAATATATACCAATGAAATATGTTTCTTTTTATAAGTAATTCTTATATATAGTCATATGTAAGATTTATTTCTTGTAGTTTCTCAAAGGTTAACATTATCTTTAAAGTAGAAATTTTAAAGTAAACTCTTGTTTTATTTTTTGGATTCCAAGTAGAAGAGTTTGGGTGTTAGTGACTTTTACTCAGCAAATTAGTGACTTGGTTCAGTGGAGCAGTTGACTCCATTGACAACTATCATGTTTCCCTTGCCATGCCAGAAATACCCTCTATCTTCGCCCCAAAAGGAGAAAAATCCTGGAGCGTTCATTCATTAAACTCTTTATCACTTTAAAACTAAGCTGGCCGTACCCAGAGCCACTAATACTTACTCAAGTACAAGAAAATGTTGAAATTCTAAATTGAGGTTTGAGTGGCTATAAATCTTACTTAATAAGCTTATCTGGTTATTTGCATCATTATTTTGTGTATCTCCTAGAATTGAGAGGAAAAATGCAATTTGTTTATTGACTTCTTTGTTTTGCATGTTGTCTAGAAAGACAACATGGGAAGCGCCATCTTTGATTTGGGTTCTAACATCCAGTGGCTGTTGCTCGGTCATTATCCTCTCTGTGCTGTTAATGCTGCATCGGGGACTTTGATGGTGCTGGCTAATGGATATTAGTTCGGTTGTTTGGCAAGCTGTGTAAGAACTGGGACTTGTATGTTTTGAAATTACAGCGTGAGGAGTGTCATTGTCATCTTGGGGGCTTTGCCCTTGTAAATAAATGCCTCTTCAGAGATGGCTTCCCTCCAACTCACAGGCTCCTTCCCTGGAGTGGGGGAGCCAGGCATTAGTTGTTTTTTCCTCCTGAAATCAAATTTCTCGTTTTCAGAAGTATTCAAATTGGCACATTACCAGTGTGCGAGGACAGATTTATCACCAAAGTTTGGTCTCTCTGCCCTTCTAAGCAGAACTGTGTCTGTGTCTTTATCTGTTTTATCCGTTATCAAATGAAGGAAATGTGTTTAATTTCCTTTGTGAAATATGTGATTCTTTTCAGTTTTTTAGAGCACCAGTTTAAGGAAAACTGATTTTGCTTTTGTTTAAGTCTGTTTAAATGTTTAAAGAGAAATTTTACTAGTGAGTCTCAATATTCTTAAAAAAACTGAAAGTCACTCTTACCGTGACGGTTTTACAAGAAGCAGCAGCTAAAGACAAGGCGTGGAAAACGGTCTTGTTTGTGGCCACAGTGTGGTAACTGGCAGAGTGTGCTGGGCGCTGGCCCCAGGCTGCTGACCATGAGATCAGATTCCTCCGCTGCCAGGCAGGATGCGGTCAGGGCTGTGGTAGGTGGGGGTCAGGGTGCAGTGAGGTTGTGTTGAGGCCGATGAGGTGGGAAGTGATTTTGTGTAAGAAATGACAGTTGAAATTGACTTCAAAAGATGAATCCCTTCTCTCTCATAAATACTCAGACATTCGCAAAGAGCTGAAAAGATAATCAAGTACATCTTAGGGCTCAATACCCATTTGTAAGAGTTGAAAGTCTCGTTGAGAACATAAAGAAGAATTAGAAAATAATTGAATGTCAAATTTTGTATTGTTTTGTATTGAAAACACTAGATATTCGGAGGATGCATGAGGTGGTTTGGCGTGTGGGAATGAAGGCTGAAGTTTGATTAGCAGTGGAGTCAGATAGGGGATAGTCAGAAGAGCTGAGTCCATTTTGGGATTTGAAGGGGAGGAAGCTGTAAGAGCTATAATGGTATGAAGATACGTCAGCAGATGTATGAAGATGACATGAAACATTACGATTAACACTAGAGAGGTATGTGTTGACGTTTGTTTGGTGCTAGTTGAAAGCTACTAAATAAAGACTAGACCAAGGGCAGCTAAGGCAGGGAAGGTTCTCAGAGGCAAAGTTTTTAGAAGGAAAATAGCTTTGCCGTAGGGATCAGTAAGAGGGGTGTGCATACCTCCAGTAAGCTGACCCCAAGAAAACCTGGGGAGACAACAGTTTGCATGATGGTGGAGAGAGAGAAGTATATTCTTTGTTGAAGCAAACTTCTACTACCCATGGATTCTCCAGCATCAGAGAATCTGTGTATCTTAGTGAGAAGGAACACACACGTGAGAACTTAGCTTCTAAGTGTTGGTAACGTAGGCGCTGTCTGTTGTCCAATGAAGAGCGACAAGTCTTATTTGTTTTTGGTAAAAAAAAATGCATATCGATTCTGTTAATAAAATTAAGATATAAGATATTGGTATTAATACACATTAGTTTTTCTAATATAATAATTTTTAATAAGTGACATTAGATGAGTACAGTGGCAGGTGAAAGTAAAAATATTCTGTCTGCCTACCATGTACTGTCTTACAAATATTTAAAAATCACTAGAAAGGGTAAATAATACTTAATTTTTTTCCCTGTATTTTAAACTCACTTTCATGGCTTTGAAATTTTCCAAACTAGGATACTCTACCCGTGATTACTACCAAGTGCAAACATTCAAAAAACTGACAAAAATTTTCAACTAGATTTCAGCGCTTTTTATTAAGCAGGAAACTCTAATGGAAACGTGTAAAGTATTGTTTGGGTCTTACATTTACACAAAAACACATTTTCTTAATTTCGGTAATAAGAGGGTTTTTATGCGATGCGTTTTGGCGCGTGGAGTCGGCTTCCTGGCCCTCAGCCCGCTGAGGAGCCCCCGGCTCGCGGGTGGCTGCCATGTCCCCACGGCAGGGGGTGGCCGTGCCAGTCCCCGTTGTTTTGGGGTGGTGGCCCTTTCAGAAATGAAGAGAGTGCCCTAGACGCTAACAGAGGGTGGCATCGGACAAGCTCTGGAAACGTGTTGAACTGAATGCAGGAGTCACAGGCCCCTGACTGTCAGGAGCTTCTGGAGGCTGACAGGCTGTTCCTGCAGTGCTGTTTTCCTCAGCTTTGTGTCTGTCTTTTCCTTTTTGTATTGTGCACAATTTATTCGAAACACAAATCTTTACAATATATACAATTGAATTGATTGAAACTGGCTAGAACTAATGTTCGCAGGGGAAGCTTGCAGAAGCATTTCTGCTCTCGGGCATATAGACAAAGGCCTCATTTACAAGAACGAACTCATAGCACCCAGAGTCCCTTCGAGACTTTTCCTCCTGATATTTTGCCTTGTTTTATGAATGTTGAGTAAGTTTGTACACTATCTTTTTCATGTCCCAAATCCTCATTTCTTCCTCCAGTTTCTTAATTTTTTAAAAAACCAAGTGATCTATTTAGGCACCAATACTGCTTTTGATTTAGGAGGATGGAGGGTATAATAAAATCATTGTGACAATTAAAATCTCCAAGTCCTAAACTAACTTTCAAAAAATTTAAAGTATCCAGTGAACTCTTATGCTTCCCTAAGCCAGAATACAAAGGAAATAGTGGGACACTGGTGCATTTTGCTTCAATGACATTTTTTTTTCTTTAATTCAAAATGTACTTTGATATGGTAAATGACTTTGCTGTTGTCTTCTGTTTCAAAGGGAATCTCCTAAAATTGCCACTGCTTACTTTCTAATAAAGCATGATTTTGAAAGCTATGTTAGTTATCCAGTCTATTGATAAAGAAAAGCTTGCGTTAGGTATTTAATTTTATAAGCAAAATTGAGTCTGTTTTAGGTCAGTGACTGTCAGTAGCATCAATCTGGCCACATTAACAGGATCCTGTGCCTTCTATCATGCCAGTAAGGTGATAAGGCTAGAAGTATATATAGTTCAAGGAAAACTCAGTTTTATTTTTCTTATCATAAAGGGAATGTAAATGGAAAACCTCAGAATGTGGATAATGTGGCTGATGTGAAAGGGAGGGAGGAGTCTAGGTTGTGGTGTTGCATGAGGCCAGTGAAATGACGAGAATACATTTGAGTCAAAAAAGTAAGTTTTAACCTGTTAGCACTTGGGCAATAAGAGAGACTAGGACTTAATGGTACCTTAAAGTCCTAAATAGGCTTCAAATCAAAACTTGGCTGTTTTGAGTTATGACTTGCGTAAACTCTAGCAGGTCTTAGAAGAAGTAGAAAATGCAATTTAAAAAACGGTAATAACTCTCAAGATAGGGAATGTTTTCCAATTATACCGACTAGTATAATTTTGTTAGATAAACGCTCTTGTTTAACGACACCCTGTGTGTTTATTGCTGCTGCTTCCTCTCGGGCTGTAGCATTAACGCCCTCTCTGCTGGTCTGTAGGTGACACCTTCGTCAGGGAGCGTGGGATTTCAGCCCCTTGTGCCCTCGGCGACGCTTCCGCCCGAAGCCGCACACGACCACTTTGTGACTCAAGGTATGCTTTTAGGAAGACATTCTGCTTTCAGAAAGCGAAGTGACAAGTCGGTCCAGACAGATATTTTGAAAGTAAATGTCTAGATAAGAATTAAGCAAGTCACAGAACAAAGTGTCTAAGAGTGAAATGAAATGTCGCAGAACATGACAGAACAAATTATAATAAATATATCAGAAATTAACAAAAAAAATATCCTCAACTGAAAACGGGCAGTTGGCCATCACGAGGGCAGTGTGGTTGCTGTCGGCGTCCTTCCTACTTTAGCTGAGATACCTGGAGTTTGAATTGGGGAACTGATGGGTATTTGGTTAATTTAATGTTTCTTCCTCTTTTGGCAAAACACAGTTACCACAGTGAAAGTCAAGAGAATCTGGTCACAAGTCACTTTCAAAGGCTGTGCTTCTATTTTAGAGCACACAGAATATATTGCATTTTTATTAGAAATGTGGGATGAGTAGCCTGGGATTTATTTTTATTAATGGCAATGTATAAACTTTACTCTTTATATTTAGAACTTGCTTCCAGCTCTATTATGCTTCAAACTTTGTATATTTTAAAGGATTCAACTTAGTTCTTGTTTATTCTAGAAAGTATGTAGCTTTAAATTCCTAACCTAAAAAGAAGGTAATTTGAACATAGAAGTAGAAGCAGAGAAAATGCTTTCTAAAATTCAGAAATATTTGTTTAATAAGACTTTACTCTGAATTGTAGTTGTTCCATCGCTCGCTAAACAATGTTCTATTTTGGTTTTACTTATTTAATTTATTTTCTGTAATTATACTTATTGAGGTAAAGCTGGTTTATGTCACCGGATTTGTTTTAGGGGCTATAGACTTAAACCTCGGCAAATGTACGTTCTCACACCCTGCTGACCACCAAAGCCACAGTCATCCTTCCCCGGGCTCCACTGCCTCCGCCCCCCACCCTCCCGCTCTCCCTTCCTCCTCCATTTGGCAGTCAGGTGTCAGGGGTTGGCTATGGGTTTGGTTTTGTTTAACTGTTGGTTTTATTTGTCTGTATTCCACGGATTTGTTTTTCTCCTTCTGACTTATTTCCCTTAGTGTCATCCTCTCCATTTCCATCCACGTAGCTGCGAACGGCAAGAGCTCTTTTTTTCTGAACAGCTCATTAGCATTCCATCAGATAGCTAGATCACGTGTATGCCTGGGGGTCCTGTGCTTTTGTCTACCGTGTACCAGCAGGTGCCAGAAGTGGATCTAGTTCTGGTTGTCTCCCCAAGGCCGGCGCAGAGAAAGCTGCTGGGCAGGCCCTATGCACTGTGGCCTCCTGCAGTTTCTTCCTAGGCGCTGGAGGTCCCTGGGGTTCTGGGGAAGGAGGGCGGGGCACATTGACTTTTCATAATTTATGTTAACAGTAAATAAAAGTGTTTAATTGTAGAAAATGCTCGTTGGATCATCGTAACAAAAGGAGCAAGCCCAGATTGTCGAAATAACTCAGGACAAAGCTTTGAATAAAATTTCATAATGAATTTCATGAACATTTATCCCTGAAAGTGTGTTAAATTGCTCTTTTTCAAACAGCTTGATTGAGAGTATGTGCGTTTCATTTGTTATTTTGCTTGCATTAATGTTGATTTGGATTCGTGTTGTTTCCAAGGATTGCACTTAGCCTCTGCATTCATGCTTGGTGTTACTGGCTCACACAAATTACTTTCCTGTGTGTATTTGACATAACTTTTTAATCCTTTTCGTTGAAGCCTCCAACAAATCTTTGAAGCTTTAAATGTATACATTGTCAATGAACTTCAAGGCAGACAGTTTTTCTTTTGTGGTTGTTAGATATCTTCCTGAATTCCATCTCTTTAAAACAGTAAAAGGTAAGATATGATTTTTTGTGTGATAATGGGATTTTAGTTCCCTCAGCTGGAACATCTATCACAATCTTCCAGAGAAGCTGATTAGCCCTTTTACTGCTTGTTCTGTTAATTCCTGATTAGCCTGGGAATTATCATGCCCCAGAGTGATTTGGAGTAGGATGACATCTTTTAGATGAGAAAAATTTTCTTCTGCAACTTCTCATTTTTAAATTTACCTTCTAAGTTTTGTAAAAATAAAGATTCTTGAGTATTATTAGAAAACATCAGGGCATCTCATTATCTAGAAGCCCACCTTAGATATACAGGGTTGAAAGGAACCATTAAAAATAAAAATGTCAATGTTAGTATATTCAGTACTGCAAATATAAATAGCTGTGATAATCTCCAGATAAAATTTAAAAAATTATTAATATACTGAATGACCTTAAATTCTTTAAATGCTATCTCCTTCACACATTTTATTGCTGTTCTTCTGTATGCTTTCCCTAAAAATGCCAGACATATAATACATACTTTGTGATTATTTTAAATTTTCCCTTACAACCATCTGAACTAGGCCTCCCCGGTGGCGCAACCGGTTGAGCGCCGTGCTGTGAAGCTGTCCATAGCCTCTGCAGTGTGGGTTCGATTCCTGGCCAGGGAGCTGACCCACATGACACAGCAGGCCTTTCCTGTCTCCCTGCTGCTCCTCTCAGCAGTGTTTTTGGTCATCTGTCTGCCTGTTCTGCTCCCCCTCTGTCTCTGGTGAATTCTCTTACCCTCCGGTGCCTCTGGCCTGTACCCCAGTTCTTGTATAAATAAATAAATCTTAAAAAAAAAAAATCTGAACTATTTCTGTGAAATTACCTAAATTTAATTCTTCCAACTTTGATTTAAAATACCAAATCTCTCTTGACAATATGTATGTCTGTCTGCTCTAGGGAAAGCTAATTCAGTATATAGTTGACATGTGTTTTCATTCATGTTGCCAATTTGTTTTGTAAAGTTAAGCAGCACATTTATTGCTTTGGTCTCTTTTTTCCCCCAAATTTTAGAATAAGACATGGAATAAAATTTGGAAAAAAGTGTCCCTCCTATAATGTCACACCTCATCAGGAAATCTGAGGAATAGCAGTGATTACGAGGTAGCCGACACTGCCCTTTATTCCTGTGTCTTTTATATCACACCCATGGTGGTTGCTGATTTCATTTTCTTCATTCCACAAATGAGGAAAAGATATTCAGGATAGAAATGATGAGAATTTGACCTCAGGAATTTGAAAAGGTGCTGGTATTGTGGGGGGGAGGGGAGGAAGTAGAGTAAAAGCCACTTAATATAATAAAACATTGTTACAAGGAATAGAAGAGATTTAAAACTCTTTATATATACAAACTACAGCATAAAATTAAAATGGAAATGAAGAATATAGATCAGTAAAAAAAATAAGAAAAACATTCTTGAAGTAAACAAAAGTGTAGACATTGAAGTGTGTTTTCTTAACAAGATAGAACGTATTACCTTCTTCAAGTCAGCATCTTCCTCAGTAGGGCAGCGTTAGAAAGTTCTCCCTCACATCCGCGACTGTTCAACATGTACTGTAGGTAATAAGTGGGAGACATCAGTGAGAGGTACAGGATTAAAGAAGTAAAACTGTCTCTGTTTGCATAAGATGGTGAACTTGAAATCTTCAGAGAATTAAAGATGAAACTAATCTGAACAGTGGAATGCAGTAATATAGCATGGTCTAAAGCGAATGTACAGAAATTAATCTTTTTTTTTAAGACTGATTTATTTATTTATACAAGCACTGGGTACAGTCAGAAGCGCGGGAGGGTGAGAGAATTCACCAGAGTCAGAGCGGTGAGCAGAGCAGGCAGAAGGACCGAAGTACACTGCTGAGGGGAGCAGCGGGCGGCAGGAGAGGTCTGCGTGCGATGTGGGACCCTCCTCCAGTGGCCGGGGAGCAGCCGGGGATCGAACCGGTGCTGCAGGGGCTGCGGGCAGCTTCGCAACCTGGCGCTCAACCGCTGCGCCACCGGAGAGGCCCCAGAAATTAATCTTTATATGGACATAGGAGCAAATGGAAATTATAACGACAGAGAAAACTACCATTTACAACTGAAGCAGCCGAATTCCTCAATCATCCCTCTTTGGCGTTTTAAACAACTTTGCTTTGATTGTCAGGAGCACAGACATTGTCCCTGGCCGCAGGTACACAGAGCGGCGACGACTGTCATGCTTCTTGTCCACAGCAGGTCAGCACGAGGCTGCGTCACCCCGGCTCCCGCACGACTCCTCCCTGTCGGTCCCTCTGCCCCAACCGTGCGTGCTTGTCACCCCCACGCTCCTGTCCGCCATCTGCAGCCTCTTAGACAGCCTCTTGGCCGTGACTCCAGGAGACACTGCAAGTGCCTTTCGACACGCTGGCCTCCTGGAGCTGCTGTGCAGGTGGGGGAGCTGGAGGTGGGTGGCGGGGCCGGTCTGCACAGCCTGTCAGGTCGTGGGGGGCTCCCGTGTACTGGCGTGTCTCCGCTCTTTGTGGGCTCAGTGCACTGGAGGGTTGGGCTTTTGCCAGAATTGTCTGGAAGGTTTCTATCTGAGATCTACTAATGCACTCATATTGCTTTATGTTCGCTGTTAAAGACCCCACCCCCCAAATCCTGACTTTTTCTAAATTCAGAGGTATGAACCTCCTTTGTCCTCCCCCACACTTGAGGAGCAGCCGCTCCCCTTGGTCACGCTCAGCAGTAAAGGCGCTGGGGATTTGGCATCGTTATGTCATATTATTACTCGTAGCAGAATAACAGCCATGGGTTGAAAAATCATTTTTTAAAAATCCTTGGGGTTATTTAGTGATGGAAGACTAAACTTCTTATTAGGAAGTATTACAGAATGCAGGGAAGTCATGATTTGGTTCTTTGACCTAATAGTACATGACTTTTTCTGATTTCCTTGTGGGTGGCCCAGTACAGCGCACAAGACCTTAGCCCTTGAGTGGAGTCAACTTAGGTTCTAATTATAGTTCGCACACTGTGGCGTCGCCGCCGGGGGAGGAACTTCCGTCTCTGCAGTGTCACCCGCACCCCTGTGTCGAGGCTGGTGCGAGGGTTAAGCGTGGGGTGTCTAGAGCTTGTCTCTCCTCCCCCGGCCTCCAGCCCCGCAGCCAGCATGCCGGCTCCTGTGACCGCAGGCTCATCCTTGTGTGTGCCTTTGGACCTCCGGGGAGATGTCTTCCTCCTCTTTGCAAAGCACGGTGCTTGCTTTCTCTTGGGGTATTAGTGAGCGTCTAGGAAGAAAGAGGGTGTCCGTGTTTCGCGTACCGCCGCGGCGCCGCCCCTGTGCCGTTATTGGCAAGTGGCGTCTGTGTGCCGCCTTCCCCCGGCTACCTGCTCCCTGGAGCTGGAGAGGGGACTGCTGGTGGGGGGGCGGGAGCAACTGCCCCAAGGGGGCTTCTGGAAAGTGCTTGCCTCTTGAGAAGGAGAGTCGGGTCCCTGGGGCCCCAGGCTCAGGGTGGGGCACTCCTGCGGCCCAGCTCATATTTCCGTGCCTGGTTTTTATTTCCCCCTGTTTTGTTTTGCATTAGATTGTCTTTTACTTTCTAACTGGGAGCATACTTCCCAGCATTTTTTCCCCTCTTCTAAATAGGAATGCAGTCACCCAGGCCCTCTCCTTGATTGCTTTCCTGCTAAGAGGGTTTCATTATATTTTATTCTGCCTTTGAGAAGGTCTCATTAGATACTTTTTCTCCAGAGTTCTTTGCTTCCCACGTTTATTGGTAAGATCTTCCCCTGTGTTTGCAAAGACTGTAGGACTCAGTCTTACAAACATCTCTTTACTTATAAAAATCACTTCTCTTGAGTTCCAGTCAGGGTTACCTTCAGCCTCAAATTCTGATGTATTCATCTTTCATGCACGCGTCTGAGCGTCTAAAGGTCTTGTTCTGTTTCTCACAGTCTTGCAGACGCCGCCCTCGTAGAGACCTGCGTCCAGGAGCTCAGGGCCCCGCCGCCTTCGTCGCCGCCCGCGGAGCACGCACAGGCCCAGGTGCGCCCGTTGCCTCCTGTCTCATGTCCATGTATGTCTGCGTCTTGTGCTCCATGCGGAGCAGGTGCCAGGCCCGGGGCAGGTGCCAAGCCTGGGAGTCTCTCAGGGCGAGCTTGGGAGGGTGAGGGCGTTTGAAGTCGGTCGCTTCACATTTTCATCTGGGGGATCTTTGCAAAGAGCAGTGGGATTTGCAGTCCTAGATTCTTCCCCCGATTCCATCATTAGCCAGTTGCAAAGGTTCAGTCTGGGTATCTTGTTGCGCCACGTTCAGGAAAGGGCGTGTGGTGTTGCCCACCGCCAGGACTTCCGTGACTTTGGCCTCTGCCTGTCATTTTCACCTAAATACTGCTAAAATGCTTATGACAAGGTGATGTATATATATTTTTTTAATTCTTTTTTTTTTTTTTAAAGATTTATTTATTTATTTATACAAGCACTGGGCACAGTCAGAAGCGCGGGAGGGTGAGAGAATTCACCAGAGCCAGAGCGGGGAGCAGAGCAGGCAGAAGGACCGAAGTACACTGCTGAGGGGAGCAGCGGGCGGCAGGAGAGGTCTGCACGCCATGCGGGACCCTCCTCCTGTGGCCGGGGAGCAGCCGGGGATCGAACCGGCGCTGCAGAGGCTGCGGGCAGCTTCGCAACCCAGCGCTCACCCACTGCGCCACCTGGGAGGCCCAGTGATGTATATTTTTAAAACCCAATCTCATATATTACTTTTGATCCTTCACAGATGTTTATTATTTTCACGCTTTTGTCTATAGCAAGAGTCTGTGTATCGAGTATGCTAACACTTCTCTGTGTAGCCGTTGGCCACGGAAATGTTTTCTCAAAACCAGATTTTAAGCCGGGTTACGGGCTTACTTGGGGTGACACTTGCACTGCAGGCTTACTTGGGGTGGACTAGACCGGCCGCCCCTGCCTTGTGGTGCCTTCCCTGGGCTCCCGAGCAGGACAGCCTGGGCCAGCTGGGAGACTGAGCTGCCCCATCCTGCAGCACAGTGACCGTCGCCTCCGTTTATCTGTTCGTCCAACCTGACGGTTTCGTTGTGCCGGCATCATCCCTAGGGAAATAGAGCAGAGGCCCTTGGGAGCCAAATGTCGAGCAAATCCACAGGTCTGAGGAGCTCTTAGAGGGACACCTAAGAAGAAAAAGCAGAAAAACTAAAGATAGGTGGTGATGCCAGAGTGTGGGGCAGGGCCTTCCAGACAGTGACACGTGACCTGCAGTGAGAAGCTGGTCCTGTGGGGTGTCCCTGGGCCCTGAGACCTGGTGTCTGAGATTGGGCCCTGGGGAGGGGGGTCGAGGAGGGCTCTGCTGTTCATGTGCCTTCGTGGCCCGAGCGCCCAGCACGGCACCTGCCCCTTGGGGTGCCCATTCCTTTCATGTGGAGTGAGTGATTAATAATGGTAACATTCATTTAGGGGGCACTTTAATTAATTTATGGAAACCTCACAACCTGAGATACCGTAAGGAAGGTGCCTGGAGCCTGAAGAGCCAAGGGCCTCACCTGGCAGCGGATCCCCCTCACACTCCCCTGCCTCGCAGACCGGGGGCCTCTGGCTGTCTGTCCTCATGCCAAATCATTCATCCATTCCAGAAGAATCCTGCAGCGTCTTCCCTGCCAGTTTCCGCTCCAGGTCTGGGGTAGATCCAGGAGCAAAGCAGCAGCCCCGTACAGCTGGGGTCTGTGTCCCAGTGGCAGGAGACAGAGGAGCCGCCTGAGATGTAAAATAAGTTACCAGATGGTGCAAAGGGCTTGAGGCCGGGTGGAGGCTGTCAGCAGGGCAGAGAGGGCCAGAGAAGGCCTCTGGCGGGAGGAGGCGCGGGGAGGCCGGGCTGAGCCCGTGGTGGGAGTCGTGTGCCCGAGGGCCGGTACAGGCTTGCTCCCCGGTCTGTCCTGTTGAAGAAAGAGTTTCCTATGTAAGAAGAGAGTGACTTTATGAGCTACTATATTAACATTTTATTAAATCTTAAGTATGGTAATTTACGAAAGGTCCCTTAGCGATTCAGGTTTTCCCTCTGATGCTGCTTTTGAGCTCTCACCTTCCCTGCTTTATCCATTTCTGTTAACACTTCAGGTGGCCTGAGGTCAGACTTGCTATGACTTCAGTGGTGTAGAATGTGAAAGGATCAGAAAAGACAACAGCAATAAGGAAATTAAATTTCACAAACTGCTTGCTTTTTACTGCAGAGTTACCTGGATTTTTGTACAGATTAAATAAAGGGAGGCCCTCTTCTTCAGGAAGCGTGGGGCGGGAGAACTCTCTGGAAAGTCTGAGGTCATGTGCAGCTCCACAGATGCAGCTAGTCCTTCCCTGTCAGAGCAGAATAAGGTGGAGGAAAGAAGTGTTTGGATTTGCGTGTATGTGTGCGTGTGTGTGTGCATGTGTGTGCACGTGCATGTGTGTGCATGTGTGTGCGTGTGTGTGTGTACTTGTGTGTGTGTGCAGATTGAAGGGGAGGTCTCAGGATGACTGCACATCATTAGTAGGACGGTCTCTTTGCCTGGGAATGATGGTTATGAGACGTCACAGGTTATTCTTCAGTTGCTACATACCAGAGAATTATTTTTTTTGAAGTGCATTTGCCATTAATACGATAGTATTATTAAGCAACATTCCAGAGATGGTTTTATTGGTAATACTGGGAAAGATTTATTTTTCCTTTTATAATTAAGAATAGAATTTTTATACTGAAGGATAGCTGAGGACAAAAGCAGAACACATTTGCTTTTTATTTGCAGCAATAATTAGGCTCTTAGACTGCCTTTCCCCAAGCCCTGGTTGTACACTTTGAAGAGGATTTTGTAATCTTTCTTTCTTTCTTTAGGAAATTGGAGGCTTTATGGCTTTAGAATGCCCCCTCTGCATCTTCCAGAATATTGAGTCCACAATTTAGCTATGTACAAAATATAAAGGTTTACTTTCTTTAATTTTAACTCAAAATTTAGCTTTGAAAGTGTGTGCTTTATTTGAATGTCTTTTTATAGTTGACAGTGGTAAAGAGGCCATTTCTGCCATGCTTATAATATGAGAAAATAATTCTTGGCTGTGCATTCATTTCAGGTCTTTAAAAGTTACAATTAATATTTTATTAGTTTTTTATTAATTTATGTTACAAAGAAGTGACTTAGAGTAACTCACAGACAAGTGCGTTACCTCATCACTGAGGTGGGCTTTGGTGCGGCCCGTGCTGTTTCACGTTACCTGTTACCTCCCTTTTCCTCAGGCGTCCTTTCTCCTGGAGTACGTGGCCTCTTTGTCCAGGCTCCTGCAGTCCTGTTTACTGGTAGATCCCGACCTCGTGGTTCAGGACACTCTTTTGACACCTCTCATCGCAAACATCGTTGGTGTCCTCACCATATGCACCAACGGACTTGTGGGTAAGCCTCATTGTTTTAGTTCAGGGTGGAAGTAAGTAGTGTTGTGGGGGGAATTCCGCATTCTGCGCCAGATACTCATGTCCAGGTTCCGTTTTGGGGTTTCTTTGCCAGTACTTTGGGTGAACCGTGTAATGCATTTGCTAGTTGGGAAGTGGCCCCAGGAGACCATCAGAGGCCAGTGCAGTGCTGAGGGCCACCTTCCCCTGGCTGTGGTGAGATGAGAGCTCAGTTCTTCATGTGACGTCAGAAATGGCGCTGAGCTTATGGCGGAGCCAAATGGTCTATAGTAACTCACTCGCTATAATAGTATTTAGCAAGTCTAGCATATAATGTCACAAATTTCCTAAGATTCTAAATTAGTGGACAATATACTGTGACGAAATTTGAATTAGTGCTCAGTAGTAGAGAGAATTAAACCAATACAGGCGTTTATAAAATTAAAATACAATTGTCAAAGATAGTGTATAATGAACTAAGTACTAATTTGGTCTTCTCTGCCTCTCAATTCATTGTTATTTAGTACTTTGAGTTTTATAGATTTGCGTGCTTTCAGGCCTGGTGAGAGAATGGTTTTATGATGCTGGCGAGCCCCAAGCTCAGGGGCCTCACCCACATAATGTGGTGCCAGCCCTAGAGGAGCAGTGAGTTCTCTCTGGAAGTTCTACACGTCACAGTGATGACCTAGTTGTGCTTGTTAATAGGTCAGAGTGTGCACTGTCCACCAGGCTGATTCTGTCCCCCAAAGGGCAAAAACCTGATTCTGGGGGGAAAACGAATCTTAGCCCTTACATTGATTTGTGGGTCTCTAGTGCTCACCTCTATTCAACAAAATCTTATTCCTGAGCTTTTAATTTTTTGGGTTAATTTGTTGGCCTTTGCAACCTGGACAACTCACAGAAAATGCACAGGAAATGCGAACAGTCTGCCCGACGTGTGGCAGGGAACGGCCCCCTGAGGCCTTTAGTTGGGGCTTCACTCCACAGGCACCGGGCACAGGGCCTGGCATCCTGTCCGGGCTGCCACTGGCTGCCTCGTGGGCTTTGTTTTTTATGGTTCTCTTGCTCTTGTGTGTGACGTGGACTTTGAAAATTAAATAAGAGCTGTATATATTTTATTACTTAATTACATAAGTTGTTTAGCCTGTCATTAATTGTGTCAAGCGCTGAAAAGTGAAGGATGCCATTGTGTCTGACATGAATGTGTGTCTGGCAGCTGGTTCCGTTAGGAGTGATTTTCTCAAGTCTAACAAAAGTTAAAAGTTCACTAAAAATATATTTTAAGAAACTACGTTTTTTCCTGAGAAAATAACAATTATGAATGATTATATAAAAAATGTTTTCTATGTATTTATAGGATTTGCTTATTTTATATATAATTTTATAGATCTTAATTTAGATAAGTAAACTAAATTAAAAGTTGTTCAGCAAGTATAGTTAAAAAGTTGAGTTAAATGTGAGTACCTTTTTAACCTCAACTGAAGTGCTTTATGTAGCCACATTAAATCTGTACAGAATAAAATCAGCAAGTTTTGTACTTCTTTTCGTATGTGAAGTACAGATACATGACAGCACAAAGCTGCTCGAGAGGGTCAAGAAAACAGGAGAAACTTGCCTTTTTTTCAAAATCTCTATTATTATTTATTGAGGTTATGTTGGTTTACAAAACTGTATAGGATTCAGAGGTACAGGTTCAGCCCCCCCCCAGAGGTGTCACCACAACACACCCACCCGCCACGGTGCCATGATCCTCCTGCACAGGCCGCCCTCCCTCTTCTCCCATCCCGCCCGCCCGTTCCGGAAGCCTCAGCCTGTAGTTAAATTTCCAGGGAGTGTTTTGTTCCTTAATATTCCGTGTATGTGTGGAGTCATGTGGCATTTGTCTTTCCTTCAGGCTTATTTCACTTAGCCTAGTGCACCCATGTTTTCGCAGATAGCAAGATTTCATTTTTTTTTTAACAGCAGAGTCATGCTCCATTGTGTATCTATATCTCGTATCTTCCTAATCCCGCCTTGTGTGTGTAGATATCATATCTTCCTAATCCCCCGTTGTGTGTATATATATTATATATTCCTAACCCACCCCTTGTGTGTGTATATGTCATATCTTCCTAATCCACCCCTTGTGTGTGTATATATATCATCTCTTCCTAATCCACCCGCCTGCCCATGGGCACTTGGCTTGTTTCTGTAGCTTGGCTGTTGTGAACAGTGCTGCAGTGAGCACGGGAGCGCACATTTCCCTTCAAACTAGTGTTTGTATTCTTTGGGTGGCTGCCTAGGAGTGGGATTGCTTGATCTGTCAGGTAGATCCATTTTTAATATTTTGAGAAACCTCCATCTTGTTTTCTGTAGGGACCGGGCCAATCTGCCTTCCCATAGGGTATGGGGCTCCTTCTCCTCCATGGTCTCGCCGGCACTTGCTGTTTCTGGTCTTCCTGACACGGGTGTTCTCACCGCTGTGAGGTGGTGTCACACCGTGGCTTTGATTTGCATTTCCCTGATGCTCAGCGGTTTTCTCACGGGCCTGTTTGCCATTTCCGAGTCCTCTCTGGAGAAATGCCCATTTAGCTCTTCCGCCCAGGTTTTGATTGGGTTTTCTCTTTGTTGACTTGTTTTTTGTAGAAATTTCACTTTTATTAAAGTAGCACAATGACACATTTTTACAAGGTGTCCTTTCTGTAGTTCAGAAGTGATCACTTACGGATAGATTTGCCACGCTTTCTGACTGTTGTTGATAGACCTTAGTAAGAGAGGATGTGAGAGTATGTATTTGGGTGTAGGAGGCTAGAGAGAGATCTTTAAGAAGCAATGAGAAAGACCTTTTGGATCTTGCTGAATTGCATTTGTCTTCATTTAATAAGGGTGTAATGAAGTGACTGGCAAGTTTTGTATCATGAAAGTTTCTTTTTTTCTTTATGTTAATAACTTGAAATGTTTTGATTAATTTTACAGATGTAGAGTTAATATCGGCTTTTCATCACACGTGGACACATTTATTTAACTTTCTGGCCACACTCCTGAGGAAGGCCGGGATTACCTCCCTCCCCTCTATCACGATGGGGCTGGCCAAGCACTGGACCGCTGTGATTGGTAAGAAGAGATGCACATTGGACCTGCTTCTTTGGGCTTTCGGCTAATAAAAATTAAGAGAGTCATTTGCAGTTATATATATATATATTATGTGTGTGTGTGTGTGTGTATTATATACTCAAATAATAAGTAATTTTGGCATGACATACGAGAGATAGCTTGCTTTGAGAAATTTGCAGTGCTTTTCAGGAGCATAAAAAGTGCATTTTTGAAAAATTGAAATACATTTCAAGACACTATAAAAACCAGACAAGAAAAACCTGTGGTGTTATGAGGATATATATTTATAATACAGGTTTATAAAAGAATGGGCTAGATTTTCTTGTGTTGGTGTAAAACCAGCCTCTTTCCTGACACGGGCACCGTCACTGGGTCAGTCTGCACGTGGAAAGCCCTGCCCAACCGCGACAGGGACTGTTAAAGTACAAGCTGGGTCTTATCTCAGGGCACAGGATTTTCTCACAGCACAGGAAGTATACAGAGTATACAGCAGCGAACTATTCTTATAAGACATTCCCTTATAGTAGTTGCATAGCAGAAGACGCAAATGATCAGTTGATTAAATTTAGCATAGCAAGAAGCCTTTTTTATAAAAATATTTATAAACAACATTAACGCTACCTTTTTTTAACACCCAGTTTCAGTGTGTTCCAAGTTGAGTTCTTTTAAGTTTCTCAGTTATCACTAATTCAGTTCACTTGTATTTTTCACATCTTAAGTTAGCATTTCATTCTTTGCTTTGATGTGTGAATCTTCCTGTAACGGGGCTGGTAGTTTGCAGGTAAGATTTATGGGGAAGGAGAGTACTGCAAGGTGGCAGTGCAGTGAGGGTGCTGGCTAGCTCCCTGCAGACCAGCAGAGCAACCCCACAGCCCCGGAGAGAAAAGCTAATTATCAGCATACACGACAGTAGCACCCGCCCCACTGAACGGGAGGGGAACCCTAATGAGCTCTGCTAATGGCTCAGTGCACCCCACGAGTCGGGGCATGGCTGCGGTGCAGCGCCCCCTGACCTAGACGCTCACCGCCTTCTTTCAGACCTGCTGTGCCAGTGCGTGGGCTTGTCCAGTGCCAACCCGGCGCTCTGTGCTGCCAGCCTGCAGTTCCTCGCTGTTCTCTTGACCCAAGAAGCAAAAAGGCAGCTCCAGGATAGAGACAGAACTCACTTAGGCCCCAGCCTCACGGTGGCTTCCCTTCTTGATAAAACTCAGGAAAATCAGCCGTCTCTGGAACGACTTAATGAAGTAATTCTTCAGGTATGTGATTTTTTTTAAACTTTGGTTATTGTTTAGGTGAATTAACTTTAGTTTTTGTCTTGCAAAGAAGTTTTCGATTGTTTGTATTAAAAAGTAATTAATGCTCATTCTGTTTCAGTAATGTATAAAGGTAAAGTAACCGTGCGGCCGCTCTAGTCCCATCCGGGATGTTTTCTTTTATGAATATGATATGAAAGTTTCTTTAATGAATATGATATAAAAATTTTAAATGAAATACCAGTCATCTCTAAGTCTATCGGTTTGTCAAAAGAATGTGGCATAAGAGGACCAAATGGGTCTGCCAGGAGTGCAGGTGTCATTCATAATTTATTTCATTTTAAAGACACGTTTACATGTCTGAGAATACATTCACCTGAATGACATTTGATTTATGTACGTGTTCACAAATTTAACGTGGTTCTAGAGGTCTGCAGGCTAGGTGGCAAATATGTGAGAAAACTGCCTTTTTCCGAGCTGTGCTGCTTATTTTCTTTTATCAACTTACTTCGTTCATCAAGAAAATATCCTGAAATCACTATTGTTATTTTATAAAAAGATGAACAAAAATAAACACACAAAGTGTTTCTGAAGCTGCCCAAATGTTTTTTACAAATAGTAATATTACTAAATTGATCTGTAAAGAATTTCTCGACAGTTGTGTCTGTGGCTTTGGCCTTCCACTGAGAGGTGGAGAAGCCGCGTCCCTGCACACCTGCACTGGTTGCTGTGCCCGCCAGCCTCATCCCGCCAGGGCGGTTCCCGCCTGCCCGCCTGTGAGGGTGAGGGTTTGGGGTGTTTGCCTCTTGTCTGCTGTGAGCAGAGGGTCGCACAGTCTTTCTGGGGCAACTGCTTGAGGTTTCACTGCCTGGGTGGAGTTAGACTTGGGCTGAGGCTTGGACCTGGCAGGCATTAATGTGCCCACTGAGGCTTTATTGAGTGATTTTCTCTTGGGGAAAGGGTGTGGCTCTTGTGGATTTGTCTTCTTCAGGGATTTAAATGGCTTGGGTTTCCTTCCCTCAGTGAGGGCAGTGCCCATCGGCAGGAAGGCCCAGCAGCCCTGGGCCTCGGACACAGTCTCCACTGGGGTCCTGCAGCCCGTCGAGCTGGCCACATCCGGGCCTTGTATGTCCTGGCCTTTCCTCCTGTGCGTTCGTGTTGCTGTGACTCCTAATAAATAGGCGTCCGGGTCAGCATGTGGACCAGATGAAACTCACGTGCTCAGGGAAGACTCTGTGCCTGGGAATGTGTTAAGTTCACCTTGCTCTGAATTTTCCCTGATACTTTGTAATGTTAGTCATTATACAAGTTGTTGTTTGTGAGGTTTGGCTGCTACCTGCTTGGCCAAGGAAATGAGACACCTGGAGCTGCAGGGCGTGTCCACAACTTCCTCCCCACTGGCCAGTTTTCCTCTCCATTTCTTCCAGATTGCAAAAGAGACAAAATGTCCTGTGTGGCTATGGCTTATCCCACTACACTCGCCCATGCGAGCTGCCAGAACACAGCCAGCGTCAGTGCCTCGGGTCAATCACACACGTCCTTACTGCCCGTCCCGTGGGCCAGGCTGGTGCCAGGCAGTGTGTGAGCACAATCAGCTCAGTCTCCGACTGACCAGAGGGAGCAGGGTTTTAGAATTGATGCCCTTCTGTCCATCTGTCTGTCTGTCTGTCTACCTGCATGTATACATGTACATATATACCCACATAATATATGGATATAAATATACTTGAAATTCACCTCCAACCACATCAGATGTGTGATGCTGCCATCATATTTGAGGAGCCGTGTTTTGCTTTGGTGCTCAGTGAACAGTAAAACTCATAGTGAATCTGCTCAGGAAGCCCGTATCCCAGAGACACTGCCGGGCTCGCTGACGCTGCATGTTCAGAAGAAAGCCACGTGCCTTAGCCCAGCAGACACAGGTCACTCCACGCACAGATGGAGTGAGACCTAAAGGGAAGTGTAACAACTAAATAGATGACACTGAGTCGTCTTGTGTCCCTTCCACCCGTGGTTCACTGAAAGACACGGTTCCCCGCTCTGTGTCTTCTTGATGGGCTTTTCCCCCTCCGCACAGTGCTTCGTCTGGTAGTTGTGTTAGACGTGCTAGTGGCTTTATGGGTACGCCTGCTGGACTGAAGACTGCTGCGGCAGGTCTGCGCACCATGTGGGATGGCCCAGTGTTTACGCTTGCGCCAAGGCCCTACTTCCTTTTTTTTAAATAAGAGGATTTGCTACTGTGTATTCTCTGCTTTGTCATCTTGTAATTGCTTAGAAATTCGAATGTGTAAAGGAAATAGACCAAAATATTAGCATTTTCAAAATTATAAATGAGTTTTCATTTATGAGCCAGAAAAAGAGAGAATCTCTTTTGAAAGACGTGACTTGTGAGAGTCCACTTACCGTGGACGTGGAAGATGGAAAGAGCCAGCTCATCCGGGGGCCGCAGGGGGGCCTGTGTCTCAGGGAGGAGGTGCACCGGGTGACTCCTCGCTCCTCTCCAGTTTTCCAGGGCCCTGTAAGTACGTGCGTGGACTTGCCATGTGTTAGACCTGAATATACTTTATCCTTTAGAGGAGGTTTGAGTGTGATTGTTGGACATTTTCATCTTAAATTTCTGGTACTGTCTCATCCTCTTAGAGCATTCACAGATCTTAATGATTTATCACATTCCAGCGAATTCCTTGGAATAGTTGTCACCTAGCAAGACCTGTTCAGTAGAACATGTATTTTCCTCCCAGCAGTTTTGTTCCACATTGTCTGTCTTCACAGTTTGATCTATGTTCTTTGCAGTGCTATGAAGTAAAATCCTCCAAAGACACCCTGAAGAGAGTGGCTGCGAACGCGCTGCTGTCCCTCCTGGCCGTGAGCAGGCAGGCTCAGAAGCTCGCTCTCCAAGGTGAGCCGCTGGGCGGCGGTGGGTTATGTACTCTACTGCCTGTGCCCCTAATTCTTCTTTGGACTCAAAATGCAAAGAACTTATAATCTCGGTGCAACTAAAAGAAATAGTTTTTTTTTTTTCCCATATGGAAACATGCATTAATATTTTTAAAAATAGGATAGAACGATTGTGCATATTTATACGTTATTTTGTACATGATCGTCTTTAAAAAGATTATGCGTTGGGGTAGATTATTTTTTAGGGCAATGATTCTTCCTCTAGAGAACCTATATCTAAATACTAGAGAAGCCTGAAAAGGAGCACACCACTCAGTTTCATAATAATTAAGCATTAGTAACCATAAGCACATATTGCGTATCTGAAAAAAAAAAAAAAAACAAAAACCCACATAGTCTGGATAGTAATCACAGCATTGTTAGGGGAGTCTGAATTTTCTTACATGTTTCCCCTGCAGAGTGCTATAATTTCTCATCTGCAATCAGGAGACACAGGTCTTAGGGTTGAGAGAGAATAACAGCAACATCAAGTTCATTAATTTTAATTATGATTCACTGCTAAGACCAATTACGCCTCCAACTGCACGACGCATTTGGGGCATGTCAGACTAAGTTGAAACCAAGCGGGCTTTAGCGTCTCAGCGCTCGCTCTTTTCCCTCTGATTCATTCATCTGTCACTGAAAACACTGCGGTGAAGGTGGGCAGAAGTAGAGGTGCTTTTCTTTGCGAACTGGAGTGTGCGTGTGGCTTGGGTCCGTCTGGAAGTGGTCTGTCCCTGTGCCTGTGGGTTTTCCAGCCTCCCTGATCGACACCTGCCTGGCGCAGATGAAGCACATTAGCGCCCAGCTGAACCTTGACTCCCTGAGGCCTGGGCGAGCAGCCCTGAAGAGAAAGGTGAGCGGGTTGGGACCCCAGGGGTGGCGGGGGCCCTCGCCCCGTGGCCTCGTGCTTCAAATTGACCCCTGAGTTTGGTGGAAATGGGTGGTTTAGAGGCTACAGCCAGAAGCGTTAATGGGATTTCTACATTGGCAGGTTTGAGAGATTGTGTGTGTGTGTGTGTGTGTGTGTGTGTGTGTGTGGGGCATAGTTCCCATGTGAAGATCTTTTTTTTTTCCAATAAAATTTTACTGATTGGCCATTCATTTGTAAAAATAGATCCTTTCGGGAGTAGCTTCACACCTCGACGTGTGTGTTCCTCCCTCACCCTCCACCAAAGGCCAATACAGTCTCTCACCCTTCCCACCCTCCCTGGCCCTCCCGCTGGCAACCATGGTCTTCAGACTCCAGCAGCCATTTTTATTGTGTTTTGCCAGTTTGTTTCTCTTTGGCTATTTACATTCCACAATGAGAGAAACTGCACGGTGACTGTCTTTCGCTTCTGACTCATGTCACTTAGTATAAATGCCTCAAGGTCCATCCGTATTGGCCCCAAAGTCACCGTTTGATCTTCTCAATAACCGAGTAGTAGTCCATTGAGTATATAAACCATCATTTCTTTACCCAGTCACCTGCCAGTATTTAGGGCGACTCCATGTCTCAGCTATGGTGAATCACGCTCCTGTGAGCGTAGGGGTGCGTGAAACATCGCCGATTTGCCTTTTTGTACTATTCAGATAAATACCCAGGCTTGGTGTTCCTGGGCTACGGGGAATTTCCATTTTCAGTCCAGGAAACCTCCGCACCATTCCAGAGATGCCGCCCCAGGCGTGTCCCCTCTGCGTGGACAGGCTCCTCGTTGTCCACATCCTCACCGGCACTTGTTTCTGGTCTTTTCTGGGCCATTCTCACAGGGTGAGGTGGCACCTCACTGCGGCTTTGATTTGCATTTCCCAGATGATAAGTGACATTGATCTTTAAATGCCAATATGGTGGAAAACCAGTCTGTGGTTTATCCATCACTTTACTGAGTGGGTTGTGGAGCCCACACTGCACCTTGGCATCCCCACCCCCCTCTCTCATCCCCCACCCCCCCACCCCCACCCCCCCCTCGTGCTCAAAAGAACAACAGCCTTTCTTGCCGTGTGGTACCTCGTGGAGACCAGGAGCTGTCAAGGTCTGGGAAGGCCTGGCGGCCGCGTGGTACCATCACTGAGGGAGAGGGAGCCGCTGAATTTCAAAAGTGGACGAGGATCGTGTTGCCATTTTCAGCTCCTCTTTTGTTTCACAGGAGGATGGTTTTACTAAAGAGTTAAGCACTGCCATGCAGCTCCTGAGAAACTGTCTTTATCAAAATGGAGACTGTAAGGTCAGTAGAGCTGCTGCTCAAAATCTCGATAGCCTTGCGGCCAATAAACAGTTTTTATGTGAGATACCAGGGGAGGGAAGTGGAAATCGTCTGGATTTTACTTTTTTAGACCTGGAGTTGACCGGTCTGTAAACTCCGTGTTAATCTTCAGCGCTGGGGGCCTTTCTTGTTTATGTCCGTCTCTTCACTTCAGCTTTGGCAGGAAACTTTGGCTTCAGGCAGGTCCAGCACCTCGGGGCTCCTCTGTCCATCTCAGCTGTTTGCTGGCCAGGCTGGGATGACTCGCGTGTGTGGCTTAGAAGGCGGGTGTTTTCAGCGGCAGGGGTCGGGCTCTGGGGCGGCTGAGCGCAGGCGTCTGAGCGGAAGGAAGGGTCCGTGGCTGCTCCCCCGTGGGGGTGCCCGCAGCTCCTGCCCGCCGGCCCTGTCCACCCCGCAACCTCCCCCAGCCCTGCCCGGTGGTCACGCCAGCCAGGGAACCGCGGAGGTGTGCACCGGGGCGGGAGGCCCGCGCCGTCGGTTAAAGCACCGCGTCCCGGCTGTTCCCAGGGCTGAGGTCTCTGACGCTTTGATTTGCCTGTCATAGTGAAACCACACTTTTGAAGCATGAGTTTTCACACAGAAATACTGTGGAAAATGTGTAAGACAGAGATAAATGATAGAAACTGCCTTTTTAATTTTTTTTTTTTTTGGTTCTCTTTGATAAAACTGGAAAAATGTACTAAATCTGAGACATGAACATCTTAAACATCATGTATTCCTTAAGCCGTGTCTAATAATTTGTTCAAGACACGTCACTGACAATCTGTACTTTCAGTGAAATTTGCTGGGAAATAAGTGTTTCACACTTCATTGACATCCCAAGTTTTTTTTAACTCAAAAGCGGCTGGTTGTTTAAAATTTGTGATTGTTTATGCTAAATACTATCCCTGTGGCTGGATGCAGTTACTACTCACAGGTGAGTAGTAACCCAGGGAATGTTCTGGAACACTTTCCAGGGGGGATCTGCCTGTCGAGATGCCTGAGAGGCCAGCCCTGTGCTGGTGGCAGGTGCAGCCCGCACAGCTGTCTCAGCAGTCTCCCAGCGGGCGCGGCCCTGTGCGGCCCTGCGTGGCGCAGTGGGGAGTGAATTGGAGAATGTTGCTCTTGCTCTTGAGCACATGTGCCCCGCGGGGCGGAGCTTCTGGCTGCTCGTCCTGCCCCAGCTCACCTGAGCAGTCTGGCATCATCACCCTTGGCTATTTTTCGCTGAGTGGTGCGTCACGGAGTGGCCCCCTCCACCCCAGGGTCCATGGGTGTGCAGCGTGAAGGAAGGGGTGTCCCGTGTCTGTTGGGTGCGGGAACCGTGCAGGGCGAGGCCGGGGCAGGGGACTGGTATTCCAGGCAAGAGGCGATGAGGCCCCAGACACGGTGTCAGGAAAGGGGCCGGGGCTGGTGTAGATGCAAGATGCTGAGGAGAAAGAGGGGGATGTGGATGGTGTCCAACGCCAGCGTGTGCGGCCGAGCAGAGCTGGGCAGGAGGCCTGAGGCCCGGCCTGTGCCGCAGCCCCTCCTGGTGTCTCTGGGGCGTCGGGGGAGCTGGCCCTGGTAAGTGGGTTCTCTGGTCTGGGACTCTGGGCGGCGCTGCAGGCTGGGGTTCCAGGAGTTAGTACCGCGTGTAGCCCCCGTGATCGGGGAAACTTCCAAAGGGAGGATGTAGTGCCAGCTGCGGCCGCGTCCTTGGCAGCTGTGGCTGTGCAAGAGAAGGCAGAGAGCGATGGGAAGGGAGCGCCGGGGAGGGCCTAGAGGTGACCCAGGCTGCGTGGAGTGAGGAGCAGCGCCTGGAAGAGGAGGCGCAGGCGCTGCGGGGGGGGCAGGGGACAGCTGACGGTGCCGTCTGGGCAGCAGCCCTCAGGACGGAAATGGAGGCGAACGGAAGGTCGAGCCCGAGCTGGGGAGGTGGCTGCTGCCACACGTGCTCTCCAGGCTCTACTGAAGGGTGGTGTTGACACCACCAGGCGTCCCGTGGTAAGGCATGTCAGTGTGTTTGTTGCACCGTGAGGTCAACCAAATAGAAACTGAAGTGAACGGACGGGGCCTAGTTATGGAGGAGACAAGTGGTGAGGAAGGCTGGATCCGCAGAGGGTGGAGCTCCCGGGCAGGGGACGGGTTGGGTCTGTGCTCTGGTCCCCGCGCCCAGCGCTGCCCTTGCTCCCACCTTCCCGCAGGAAGCCGCGCTTGAGGCTCACCTCGTGCCTGTCCTGCACGGCCTCTGGCCTTGGCTTTTGATGGACGACTCCCTGATGCAGGCCGCCTTGCAGCTCCTGTGCGTCTACACGGCCAACTTCCCGAACGGTAAGCAGAGACCAGGCCGCCTTTGGACAGTGCGCAAAAATGCTGATTTGAGGCAAAGATTTGAAGTGGCCTAGAAAAACGAAGAGTGTCTTGAAGTGTTCCTCCTGCTTACTGGGAGTGTCTGGTTAAAGGCAAGCTCCCTGGTGGCTGTGCAGGAGCAGGCGGGTGTTTATCGAGCCTGCGTTTGGGCGTGGAGGCATCTGACAGGTCGGAGGCAGAAAGGGAAATCGGCCCAATCACGTGGCAGAGGGAAAGTGAACTTCTTGGGGAACAGAGAAAGGAAAAGCTGAGGCATCTGGTCTTAACCCAGAAAGGGGAGGCCTCTGGGCGTCTGGAGCAGGAGACAGCACGGGTCCCAGATGCGGGGGGCCTGGTGGCGGCCTGGCTGTTGGGTGCCCTGGTCTTTCCCTCATTTGAGGACGTTATCGAGAGTGTACGCTGGGCCTGTGCGGGAGTGGAGACGGCAGGGGTGACCTGAGGGAGCCGAGGCTATCTGGGAGGAGGGGAAGCAGCCCCGGGCGGCAGGAGACTGCGGAGGTGCTGGTTTCCGGTTTGACCTGCAGCTCGTCAACTTAAGGCCCAACTAGCCAGCAGGCTCCTGTGCTGCCCCGAGCAGCAGTCAGCAGCCCAGCCACCGGGTTCTGCAAATAAAAGATTTTCAGAGAAAAGGACAGAACTCAGGACCACTCGGAGCCCTCCTGGCACTGCCCTGGCCCACAAAGCCCCTGTTGCCCCCGCAGCACCTGGCCTCTTGGGGGGCGTCCGTTCTCCTGCCCCCGCAAGCCAGTCTCTGGCCGCGGAGCCTGAGGACGCAGACTTCGGCTCCCGAGCCCTGGGCTCTCAGGGTCACAGTGCGGGCGTCTGTGCTTCTGCCTGACGTCACCGCCTCCCCAGCTCACCCCTTGCCTGTTGCTCGACAACGAGCAAAGGACACCTGTGTCCTAGCAGCAGTCTTGGAATGAGTCTGTGTTACCTTCATGCTGAGAATTGATGTAAATGTTAGAATACTGGTCAGATCACCAAATCGAGGACAAAATTCTTTTATCCTATCTGGTTTGTTTCCAAGCAAAATTGCATCATTTAGTAACAGTTTTCCTAAGAGTCACGGGGGCCATGGTGTTTGCACACTGCTGCCCGCAGGAGTCCAGGACCGGACACCGCGTTTATTTGTGTTCCCTTCCCTTCTTACGGAATGTGCCAGCGCTTGGGAGCTGCGGGCCGAGCGAGCTGGGCACTGAGCGCTCTGACCCGCCCTCCCCTGGGGCACGGCTGGTGTGCGCTGCCCCTGCCTGGGAGTATCGGACTCTCATTTTGTTTTCCTCCGGGAAATGAAGGTCTTAGGCTAAGTTATCTTCCATTCCTAAAATTCTGTTCTACACAAGCCCCTATTTGTGGCTGTCTTCTTGAGGAACTGTTAAAACCCGTTCTGCTTACTTTAGTCCTTCAGCATAAATCCTGTGTTGGAAATGCCTTCGAGATCATTAGGCCCCTAATGAGAGCAGTAGCTCCAGCAGGTGGACTGTGGGCACAACACGAGCCCTCACTGCTACCCTCAGCGCACAGGTTAATGGCCAAGTCACTTGGTAGATGCTTTGCAGTTCAGGATTTTTAAAAACGGACAGTGAAACAGAGGCATTGGGTGGGGGTTTTGCTTGAAGGTTGCAGTTCTGTCTGCTGGTCGAGTTCTGGACAACATCCCGTCCATGCCGCCTCCCGGGGGCCCCCCGGCAGCTCGCTGATGCAGAGCGTCCTCAAGTTGGCCTCCCAGATGTCCCTCGAGAACAGCACCGTCCAGCAGATGGTCTTCACGTTTCTTTCAAACCTGGCCCTGTCTCATGACTGTAAAGGAGTCATTCAAAAGGTAAGCACTTCGCCTCTCGTCACGCAGAGAGTCACCCAGTATGAGTGAAAGTCTAGAACTGAATCTGTAGGATTAATTTGACTGCAAGACATTTTATTTTAAAGGATTGTAAAAGGATTAAGGGGTTCGCTTTGTTTAAGCCAGTTGAGGGCGATACATGAGAAGTGACAGAAGCTAGAATATGATCGCACTGTTTCCTCTTAGTTTATCTTCTTAGCTTTTGGATTATATTTTATCTCTCTCTCAAAAATGAGGGTTTTAGAAAGACAGCTGTCTCACATGTGTATGAGATCATAAGAGTAATTTATTTGATCTTTAAAACAGACCAAATTGAGCAGTGACAATTCAGATTGTCAGGGTGGTTTATGAAATCACACCCCCCCCCGCCCCCCGCCCCTGAACTAGACCTGACTCTGGCAGAATAGAACTAGAACTGTCCTCAGGGGCACCAGTTCTGGAACTTCTTCTTTTTGATTTTAATTGAGGTATTTTAAAAGGGATCGAATGAATTAAACAAATTCTAGTACAGGTGTCCGGTCACTCTGTATTTGATGGGTATGAACAGGATCCCTAACCTGGAGGCCCCCTTCAATTTGAGTCTCCAGAACTAGCACGTGGTAACATGAGTGCTTCTGCGTCTCTTACCCGAAGGCCAAGCCAAGGGCAGAAGTTGGCAGCATGGCTAAGAATTGGGTCTCCTTATCTTCCACTGCGTCACCTCCCAGGCCCTCCCCCACTTTGAGTGTAGTCTCCAGATAAACAGCAGCCTGGCTAAGGAAGGCCGTCCCGGGGCACACTGCAGCCAGCGCCCGCAGGCTCACGAGTGTCACTGTTAGTTTTCAGGGGCTTTGAGAGCCAGTGGGTGTCGCGGCGATGGTGTCAGGACGGCAGCCGTGGGGGGCCACGCCCTGTAAATGGCCCGCAGACCGGCGCCCTCACTCCCCCGAGGCAGCTGTGTGCTGGCCGTCCCGTGGGGCTGGCCACCTGCTCGGGCAGCGGTCGCCATGCTCCCACGAGCGGTGTACAGACCGGCCGTGCTCCCTGCGTCTTCTTGGGAGCACCTCGGCGGGAACCCCAGTGGGACCAACACTGATCTTGGGCTGGCAGGACTCTGAGCTGGAGACTCCTTCTGGTACGCCTCGGCGTGTTCATTTTGAGAATTGTTAGGTTCAACAAAACCAGCTCTCCGGCGCCGTCACGTCTCACTCTGGGGTTCTGTGCTGTGTGATGCTGGCGGGGTCAGATGCCGCTTGGGGCCAACTCCTGGCGTGGCTTTCCTTGGGCGCCTGCCCCAGCGGTGGGGGAGGCAGCCCCCACTGGCGGCTCTGCCTTCTCCCGCATCTGTGGTCGTGAGCAGACAGGCCGCACGCACAGCCCACCCGCAGGACGCCCCGCGCCTCCTGCCCGCCGTGGGGAGAAGTCCACCCTCCGGGGTCTTGGCGGAAAGAGGACGCCCCGTCACACCAGCAACTCATACCCTGCCAAGGCCTCTGCCGCCTGCAAGGCCCCAGTGCTCCTGCGGCCCGTGTGGGGAGCGTGTGGGGAGCGAGGGGGGAGCAGGAGGAACTTTAACTGGGAGGTGGGGAGGAGCTGGGAGAGCGCCAGGGCAGAGGGGAGCTTACAGTTTACTGGTTGCCTGGGTGACGTCTGCTGTTTCTCCTCTTCTTAGAGTCCTTTTGCATAAGTGTTAAGGTTATTATATAGATTCAAGCCCACATCTTGAATTAGGGCCAAGAGAGCCCAGGAAATAAGCCTGAGGAGATCATGGAACAAAGACGAGATATTCTGGGCGGTCAGGACGGCGAAGTGTTAACACTTCTGCGCCCTGACCCACCCACCTGGGGTTCCCTCTGTACCCCACTGCCTGGGATCCTACTCCGTGGGGAACTTCAAGACTTTTCCCTTTGTTTGCCTCTCTTCTAGCTAGGGATTGAGTGGGCTTTCCATAATGGAAGGGGTTTTATGGAAGCTCGAAATGACTTCAGCGTTTCAAGTGGCAGCTTTCTTTTCTGCAAGTTTCTGTAAGTTGATTAGAATGACCCGTAGCCATAAGAAACCATGTGCAGCTGGGATAACATGAATATAAGGTGTAGCCACATTTTTCTTCTTTTAACACGGTGACCCCAGTGATTCCGATATCCTCACTACCAGAGTTGTTAATTGGTATCCAGACTGATTGGGGGTTTGTTTCTTTTTCCTCCCCATAGGATAGCTTTTAATGAGTAGCAAAATTGCCAGAAGGCAGACAGAAAGAGAAAACTCAAGAGGCCTGAAATAAATCCCCAAACTGAATTATCAATCCTAAATAATTGCGTTCACTATAGTTTATCCGAATCATGAAAGAATTAGTACAAATTAAAATTTGATCACTATTTTGTTCTCTAACTCTTAACTCTTTCACTTATACCTGGAAATAATGTAGATGGGTATTTGGAAGGAATTGGGAGGAGGGAGAAATTAAAGTTGGGGAAAAGAAGAGCAGAATCCCAGCTAATTGGTCTCCAAGGGACTGGGAAAATAATGAAAAGACTCAAGAAGAAAATAATATTCTCTCTCTTTGCCCTCAGAGTAACTTCTTGCAGAACTTCCTGTCTCTATCACTGCCGAAAGGAGGAAATAAGCATCTCAGTCACCTGAGTGTCCTTTGGCTGAAGTTGCTCCTGAGCATGTCCTTCGCGGAAGACGGGCAGCAGGCCATCCTGCGGCTGGACGGCGGCCTGGACCTGCTCACAGAGATGAGCAGGTTCAAGCCCAGGAGCGGCCCTCCCTTGCCTCTTCTGATCTTCCATAATATTTGCTTCAGCCCTGCTAACAAGCCCAAGATCCTGGCTAATGGTAAGTATTCGTATTACAGGCCACGCAAATGCGTATCTATTTATACATGTGGTTATTAAAATACAAAATGGTTCTATAAATAATTTGCCAGGCAGTTATTAGGTGCCCACCGTGTTCACGAGGTCGCTGTAGGAGGCTCCATCCTCAGAAGAGACTGGGAGGCCTCAAGGACCTCGGGGCTCTGGGCTGACGGGTGAGGTCGTGACACACAGGCTGGATGCAGAGGTGGGAACCTGCGGCTGGCCGGCTACTCCCTGCCCCCCGCCCCCCGTAGTCTCTCTGACTCCTCGCTGCTCTGCTTTCTGAGCGGAAGCCGGCCGGTGCGGGGAGCCTTTGCAGACCCTTCTGCGAGGTTGTGATCCCCACACCCTTCTTTCCGTCGTCTTCTCCTCCTTCCAGGCTGTTTTTTTGTTGTGTCCAGGGAGGTAAGAGGTGCAGAGAAAGCTCCTGGGCTCAAGGACAGTCTCCAGCACTGTGGGCTTGGCTTTTTGCCCAGGGATGCCAAGGATTGGGGGCGGGAGTCAAGACCTCGAATCTCCTGGGCCTTCCTGTCCTTATCAAGCTCCCAAGAACCAGCTCCTCCCAAGAACCAGCCTGAGAGGAGAAGGCTGGGTCAGAGCTAAGCTGGTCCCCAAAAAGAAGAGGAAAAAAAGTGTGAGAATGGACACCACAGCCAGCCCTCCGTCCTGCCCCCAGAGTACTCACTCTATGGCCTGAGAGGCCGTGGTCTGGGTTTGAGCTGAACCTCCATGGCCAGGCCCTTCAGGTGCTTGGCAGTAGCAAACTGCCGCTCTGATGGACGCAGGACAGGCTCACACGAGGCCTTGGGGAACCTCCACCAAAAATTTGTCAAAAGCGTCCACCAATACACAGTAAAAGATGACCAGGAACATACGGGAAAACAGAACATGACTGAGAACCGGCGGGGGGGATGTCCCAGCTAACCTTCTGACTATATACTACAATAATGAGATGCAGATTTTCAAATAACTTTATATTATTTTTAGATAAATAAATGACAAGCCTGAAAATATATGTAGAGAGCAGGAGAGTGAAAAATTGAAGGATTTTATTCAGAAACCAGACAGATTCTAGAATCATTGTCCAGTATGGTGATCAGCTGCATGTAACTATTTTAATGTAAATCACTTGAAATGCTGTTTCCATTTGCGTTAGCTGCTGTGACCCCGGGCTCCCTTAGGAGCCCACCTGTAACTGTTTCTGTCATTGCGGGATGTCCTTGTAGCAGCACTATTTTAGAGCTTCGTCACTACGATGAAAAACTCAGTGTACGTGTGTGGCTGTCAACAAGTCAGGGGAGCAGAGGACAGAATTAGAAATTAGAAGATAGATCAGAAGAGTAATATCCGGAATACAGCACGGAAAGCTAAACGGACCAGAGAGGATTAAGGAATAAAATGTTTAAGTGACAGAGCAGATACTTTGAGATAATCTGCTGTATGTTTATTTAGCCCTGGCTTTAATTTTATTTCACTTTTTATTATGTAAAATTTCAATCATATAAAAATTCAGTGAAGCCCCGTATATTATAATTACTGTTTAATTGAAGTCCTAGATGGAGAGAAAAGAGGAAATATTTGAAGAGGTGATGACTCAAAATGTTGAGAATTGTTTTAAGACACGAATCCACAGATTCACCAGACTCAGTTAATTCTAAAGCAGATACATCAGAATACATCCACATGTCCTAGTGAATCTGCTGAAAACTAAAGAAAAAAAATTAAAATGGATACTTCCCCCGATAGAGGTAACTGAGGAACATTTATTCAAGAAAAAATAAAAATCAGAAAATCTCATAACCTTGCAATATTTTGAATTAGTCAAAAATCCAGCCATATAGTGTCCCTCAGTGGGACACCACTTCAGCAGGCAGCGAGGCCACACAGACACAGACTCCTGCCGAGAGCGGACAGGAAGGAAAGCGGCGCGCGTCCCGCAAGGCTAACACACCTTAGAGTGTGGTAAGGACAGGGTGTCGGGAGAATGCTTAACCCCCAGCTCCCGGGGGCCCGACATGGATGCCGATGACAGTCAATAAATAGAAATTGTATTTGTAGAAGTGGATGCGTTTTAAATTCCCCAGTGGCGCCGACTGTGTATTCCGACGGGGCCTGACCAGTCCCGGAGCGGGTGCAGCGTGATGCCCAGACTGAACGTTTTAAAATGTGTTTGTTACTAGAAAAAGTCATCGGCGTGCTCGCCGCCTCCCTGGAGAGTGAGAGTCGGGACGTGCAGCGGGTCGGAGCGGCCGCGCTCTGGGCGCTGAGTCACAATTACCCCAAGGTCAGTGGCTCAGGGGGTCCCTCTGGGGGTGGGCAAGCCCGACGCCCCAGGGTCGCCGAGGAGGGCCAGCCCGGGAGGCGCCCCGCGGTGGTGACCTTGCCGACCGGAGTCCCGGTTCAGAGGTGCCCCTTTGCGTTCTCCCCATTAACGCATGAACTTGCCATGTTCAGGTGGGGGTCGGGGAAGAAAGATACGGGGGTCAGCTGGGGAAGGGTGTGGGCGGGGTGCTGGCACAACTGATGTATAACAGGAGATCTTCCAGCTGCCTCACAGGTTTTCTGAAATTCTGTTAGCTCCTGCAGTCCGTGACAGAGCACAGGGGGCACTGTGGTGCCCCCCTGCTTAACCCGGAGACTGAATCTAACCGATAGATCTTTCTGCGTTATCTCCAGGCAAAAACAACTTTGAAAAATCCATTAATAAAAAGAAGAGTGGATGAAGCTTATTCCTTAGTGAAGAACAGTAAGTTTCTTTAAGAGATTCGGGTCACCCTTAGACGCTGGACAGGGTTGGGGCCGTCACAGTCACAGCGCAGACGCAGTTTTACGCACGCACGTTTCACTCTGATGTTCGAGGAGCTTTTCTGTTGAAGGTTTGGAAAACATGCCAGTATTTGGTCCTTTCTCTTCACTGTAGCATTTTTCAAATACTACAGTGTTCAGACAGATGATGATTCAGAGATACGGCGCTTCTTAGACACGTCTGTGATCTTCCTACAAGTCATTTTTTTTTTTCCCCCTCGGAATTCCTTTGCCAAGGGCTGCGGCCGTGTGCACGTGTGTTCTTAGGTGGTAGGAACTCAGCCCAATTAGAATTGACCTTGAACAGAAAACTGATCTGACATCAGGGAGCTGAATCGCAGTCGTCCAGGAGTCGCTGGGCCCAGTGCCCTTGTCCGCTGGCCCGGGAGGTGGCCGTGTCGCGCGGCTGCCGGCTTCTCAGAGCCACTGCCCCGGGACAGACCGCGTCTGTCCCGCCCTGTGCTAGAACAGCTGCTTGTTGATTTGTGTTTTTATTGTGTGATTTTTTCATTTGTGGTTTGGGCTTTGGGGGTCTTGTCTTGCTTCTGTGACCCTGAGTTTCCAGAGGTCACGGGATCCCTCAGGGAGAGGTTGTTTTTATTCTCTGGCTAAATCATTGGTAAAAAATAGGAATTCTGTACCTCTTAATTTTTTGAAAAAGTCAACCTCATAATGCGAGTGCATCGAGAGCTTAAATAGAACTTTGGATATAAATCCTATCCGTGTGTGTGTGTCCACCCTTACGTGTCCTGCCCAATTTAATAAACTTACTCTCCCCTGTTCTTATTTTTCTACCTCAGCTTTCTCAAACTCAGAAGAAACCCCTCTAAATGCCTATTATTTGCAATGTCTTGAAAACCTGGCCCAGCTCCTCAACTCTTCATGAGCCTATGCGGGCCTGGCCCTGCAGCTGGTGGCCACAGGAGGGTGCCCGGTGCACCCAATCTCGGTGGCAGCTGTTTCCTAGACAGGCTTGTTCCTGCGGGTGTGGACCCCTCCCTGCAAGGAGAACCGGAACGGGGGTGTCCCCACCCCCCGCCCCTTCGGACTGCTCTCCGTCGGTAAGAGCCGCCGATGGGAAGATGGTGAAGACACGGAAAGCTCCAGGAACACAGAAGTTCTTACCTTTATCTATGCAATTTGTTTTGTAAAAATTCTATTTAACAGTTATTTAATAAAACATTTTTAGAAACTGAAAATTGACGACTAATTGCTGCTTGTAGACTTTTCGGGCTCATGAATATAAATGTTAGGAATTGAAAGAAGGCGTTGTTTTCTGAAGTTCTATTTTAAAAAATGTTTTACATGAACTGGGGCTCTTGTCAACACAAATCCTTATTTTTCAAACCTTTATAGTGTCCGGGTGAAGGAAAACTCCCGTGTTTTTGTGAAGAGCGTCTTTCTGTAACTTTTAGTGACATTAGCTCCTCTCTCTACAACTGGTAAATCTGTCACTTTTCATAATTCTCACCTTCTAACTTCTGAAATGCTGGGTGGTGAGGACGGAGGGTGAGTGTGGTCATTCAGACCTGGGTTCAAATTCTAGCTCAGCCAGAGCGCCCTGAAAAGCACTTGGGGAGCAAGCTGTGGGCGCCGCGGCCCGCTCCCCGCCCAGCTGTGGTTCTGAACGTGGAACTGAAAATCAGCTTGAGTACTCATCGCTTTCAGCAGTTCCCCCAACTCTTGGAAGATAATTGTGTCTAAGAAAAGAAACATAAAAGCTGCAATAGGTGTGTGGGGGTGTATACATGTGCACACACACACACTCACGTTCCAAGTGATGAGTTACGGTTAAATAGAACAAAGTTAGCTTCTTATTAAGCACCATTAGCAATGCGATGTTCCTTAAGCTGAAAGTAGAGGACAAAATACACGCCACGTGTGGCTGCAGCATAGACGCGTGGACCGTGGGGAGTCACTGGGCGGAAGTCTGGGGGATGGAGGCGGGAGGCTGAAAACGCCCTGGGCGGCGGACGTTCCTCTGAAGCGGTGACCGTGCCGACGTCCTGAAAGATCCTCCAGTTCTCAGAGCCGGAGGCTCAGGACTTACTTCTCCTCTTCCTGGTTTCCTATCACCCGTGCCATTGCTTGGAATGCCGTGGTCACGCCCCGTGGTGAGTAATGACCTGGATTTCTCTGTGCCGCCATCTGAAGAGCGCCCCAGGGCGTGGGTGCGGGCCTCAGAACGTTTATTGCTGAATCCATCTTCCTCTAAAGCCAGCTGCTTGCTGGGCTGGAGGTGAATACATGCGGCTGCGAGGTGGCGTGTGTCTGTGGCTGCTAAGTGTTAAGTTGAGACTGGAACAAAATGACACTGATAAGCCTGAGGCGTTAGCCACTGTGCTACTCGGCTTTTTTTTTTTTTTTTTTTTTTTTTTTGCATTGACATTCCTGTCTTTGTGTTTGGATCTTACAGATAACTTCCATTTTCCTACAAAAATTAGGTGTCTTCAGGGCTCCGATTATTTCCTTTACATTCCATGATGATTTGACACAGCAGGGAGGCCTCTGCCTGGCTCTCTGGCATCAGGAAGAACTGCAGTTGATTCCCCACCCCCCCCCAACTCCCCCTGCAGCTTGAGGTAGCACCAGAGGGGGGTTTAGCCCAGTGGTCAGAACCACTCAGGGACGCCCCCGCTGGAGCCTGGAAAGATACGGCCTGGGAAGAGGAGAGAGGCCACAGCTTCAGGAAAGGGCGGTCTGCTGGGGCCCCAGACCCTGTGTCTTCACAGCCATGCAGGGAAGTTGTGAGCAGAAGGTCCCTGAGTTGGCGCTTGCTATTTCAGCAGCTCTCCGGGGGGGCTCTGCCCTGGGGACTCACCGGCATCCCCATCTCCTGGGGTGCTTCTGGAAAAGCAGAGTCGTGGACCCGCTGAAACAGACCGAGGCCTGTTTCCAGAATTGTTGGCAAGCTCCCCGGGGGGCTGCCAGCTCACACCATTTGAGAACCCCTGGTGGAGCGCCCTGATTGTGCACTAAGCTGCCTGGAGCCTGCAAACATCTCTCGGCTGCTTACTGATGGGGCCAGGACTAGAATCTGGGCGTCTGGAAGGCGGGTCAAGTGTCCTCCAATCACGCCGCTCTCCATCTGGGACTGGCCTGGGCTCCCGGTCCCCAAGCCCTCTCCGTGCTGGGTCAGCGTGTCCGGGCTCTGAGGACGCGGCCTTGCTGGTGCGACAGGCAGACCCAGGAGCTGAGGCCGGGGTCTGAGACCACTAGCTGTTGCAGGGAGGAGGCAGCGCTGGTTTTGCAATCAGCAAACACTCAGGGTAAGCGGCCACCCTAGCGAGTGCCCTTCCCTGGGTGGGCCCGATGGTGTCCTGGAAAGAAGGGGGTGAAGTGTGCGCGTTTCCCTACAGAGCCTCGGTTTTCCCCTGCAGTGTTTACTCCTCATCAGCCCCTGAGTGTTTGCAGCTGCCCTCTCCTCCGTGGCCTGAGATCGGCTTCTCCACGCATGATGTTCCCCAAGTTTGGCGGCTCACTTGATGCCATCGCCAGGGAGCCAGTGGCCTCGGGGAGCGAGAGCCAGGCGGACCCAGCACAGCATTAGGGCTTCTTCAATAAGGAAAGGGAGGAACAGAAGCGTCTCGCCTTTGGTGCCCTCCGTGTTCTCGGCCCAAACCACCTCACTCTGGAAGCGCAGCAGCGGCTCCCGCGGCCATCAGGGCCTTGTGCCTCCGGTGCCGCATCCAGGGACAGGAGGCCGACTCGGCCTAAGGAGAAGAGCCCACCGGGGCCCCTGGGGAGCTGGCCCCGCAGCGCTCACTGTCCCGGGTCGGCGCAGGGCTGCGTGTCGTCGAATTGGGTCCTTCACTGGGGCGGACACTCTGCTTTGGCACAAATAACACCCAATGCTCGGGACAGCTTCCAGTTTCAGTTTCTGGAAGTGGAGCAAAAACCAAGACATTAAACCCCAACCTCTTCCAGATTTTTTTTTTTTTTTTTACCATTTTACCAGGAATTCCTCCAGATTTCTACTATTTCTAACTTTCCATTGCAATTAACTTGCACACTGGAGTCAACGGCATGTTGTAAGTGGCTCCTTCTTATTAATTCTCTGTAAAGCTTTCAACTCAATTCTTATTAAAACAATTGCACGTCATCTCACTTCTGTCATTAATATTAACCAAGTCCTTTCAGGAACAAGTCTGCGTGCACGGATGGTTTGGGGTCAGGTACAGCCAGGTCTGGGTCAGCCTCTGCTGGGGCAGGGAGTTATTGGGAGATGAGAGAATTGTTTTATCTTTGCAAGTCTGATCTGGTGGCCAATGGAGAAGTTATACTACACTGTGAGCTTTTAAGCACTTTTAAGATTTCTTGAAACTTTGAACTTCCTCTTGTTGGTCTTTGTGGTGAATCCTTGCCCGGCTTCCTGGCTTAAGAACCCAAAATCACCCGGGCTGGAGGGTGTGGACTGCTCGGGTGCCAGCGAGCATCCTCTCGCTTGCTCATCCACCCCTTTCTTGTCCTGCCTCTTCTATAAGTTCCTTCCACCCCTCTGCCTCTCCCCTGAACATTTCCATTTCTGCCTATTTTAAAAGGCCAACCTCAAATGTCACCTCTCCCATGAAGCTGGGTCAGATTCCCCAGCTGGGAGGAAGCTCTCTACTCTGAGTTTCAACAGCACATTTGTTTTTTTTTTAAGTTCTTGTGTCACTTTTCCATCCCCTGGGGCGGCTGCTGAGCCACCCACAATTCTGTTCCCACCTGACTTCTGCGCTGGTCACCCTCTGCTCTCACGGTGCCTGTCCCAAAGCAGATGCACATTTATTTGAATGAATGAATGAATGAATGACTGTGGGAATCCTTTGTTCGTAACAGCTTTGCAATGTCACAATGTCAGGCTTCCATTGTGTTGACTTTGTCAAAAGATGCACGACCATGTGTGTACGGGCAACAGACCGGGAAATAAAAAAGGAAAGCAACAACAACAACAAAAAAAACACGGCTCAGAAACACCTAAAGATCTTAGATTTTTTTAGTTCAGTAGAGAAAGAGAATAAAGCCAGAATCTTAGGGATGACTTGAAAATATACCAGCCTCGCCCTGAACTAACACAGTCGTATCAGCTGGGATGATCTGCTGCTGACAAGGGGCCTCACTTGGGATATTCTTTTGGGGGAGGCAGTGAATAGGGACCAGCTTTTTAAAAGGAGAAACTGGGGCCTCTCCGGTGGCGCAGGTGGTTGAGCGCAGCACTGTGAAGCTGTCCGCAGCCTCTGCAGCACGGGTTCGATTTCCAGCTGGCCGGGGAGCTACCCACATGGCGCAGCAGACCTCTCCTGTCTCCCCGCTTCTCCTGCCTCCCCGCTGCTCCCCTCAGCAGTGTATTTTGGTCTATCTGCCTGTTCTGCTCCCTGCTGTCTCTGGTGAATCCTCTCACCCCATCTCTGGCCTGTACCCCAGCTCTTGTATGCATAAATAAATAAATCTTTAAAAATTATTTTAAAAAATTAAAAAAAAAATAAAAGGAGAAACTGAATAATGAATCCCTATGAGCTTCGGCCCAAGCCGCATGGATAAAACCCGCTGGGTGGGCACAGGCAGGGGGAGATGCAGCCCCTCCCAGTCAGGCTGAGCCCCGGTTGGCGGGGGGCTCTCTGGGACCCCCACCTGAAATCAACAGGGCTGCACCGAGAGGATGGGCAGAGCCGGTGCCGTCAGACTTCATAAGTGGGGGATGCCCGTTGCGGGGTGCTGTGGCCACGGGGACTGGCATCTGCTCTGGATTCACTCACTTCTTCACGCTTTCTCCTCACCCGCGGGTGGCAGCTCACAGGCCCGCCGGTGAGAGAAGGACGAGACACCGCCTGTGCAGCCTTTCTGAAGTCTGACCCGAACCAGAAAGCTTTAAGGTCACAGTGACTGATTCAGAACCGGCAGATCCAAAGCACATCATGTTGGCTCTGGGTGTTGTCCAGTTTCGAAATGGTTAATGGTGCAGAGCTTGATTCACCAAGACGCTGAAGTCTCAGGACTGCTGAGCCCACCCCCCAAATTCCCCCCTGGACAGCGAGGGAGGGTGGTGGGAGGCAGCACTCCTGAGTCTCAGACGGCCGGGCCTGCTGTGTGGATGGGCGGTGGGTCTCTCATCAGAGGCAGGAGGCGCCCAGCAGGGGATGTCTTGGTCTGCGCCCGCCGCTGCCAGCCACTGCTGGGGAGCAGTGCCGTCCCGGCCACTTGCGGGTC